AGTAGGAGGAGAGATAGAGACAGGAGGTGTGAGTGGGTTTTATATGGGTGGCGACTAGGGTGAGATTGGGTTAGAGCAGGAGAGAGAGAATAGAGAAATGAGTGCAGGGCTTGAGATGAGAGAAGGGGGGAGTGTAGCAGAGAGGGATTAATGTAAATGTTAGTGTTTTGTTGAGGGAAGTGGGTGGAAGGGGATATTTTGATCCTTAGGGAGATGAGAGAGGAGAGGAGGAGAATATAGAGCATTGCTCTGATGGGTAGGTAATTAGAGGAAAGGAGAATGAGCATAAGGGAGGAGAAGGAGTGAGTGTTAGGGGTTAAGAAGGTGGATTGTGCTCATTACGGGTAGTGTTTGCAGCTGCTATTTGGAATTATCTAAAGTTGTGTGTGGGATTCTATCTATAAATGTAGTAAGGAACTTGGGGTGGGGTGGGCGGGAATCTGAGCACTGTTCAGGTTTGCTAGAAGTGGTCTTTTAAAACTCAGACTGTGGAAGACAGAGATGATAGGGTCAAAACAGGACTGCAATAAAAGCAATGGAATGGAGATGCACAGAGGAGGTGAGGATTGGTCAAGCAAGACATTCGGGTGGGTATCAATAAAATAAGGGGGGGGGGGAGAAGAAATAACAGAAAATCTTTAGAGATAAGCAGGATGTTGAATAACATTTAAGTTAACAAAACCAATGTTGAGCAGGGCAGGGAGCAACTAGCTTTAGCATGCAGGACAAGACAAACTGCAGAATATATGTGTGTATGAGCAAACACACACACACACATATATATATATAAATACACACATAGAAAATGCTTGCTGAATCAAATTATTTAAAAGGACCACTCTAGGCACCCAGACCACTTCAGCTTAATGAAGTGGTCTGGGTGCCAGGTCCTTCTAGGGTTAACCCATTTTTTTATAAACATAGCAGTTTCAGAGAAACTGCTATGTTTATGAATGGGTTAAGCCTTCCCCCTAATCCTCTAGTGGCTGTCTCATTGACAGCCACTAGAGGCGCTTGCGTGCTTCTCACTGTGATTTTCACGGTGAGAGCACGCAAGCGTCCATAGGAAAGCATTGTAAATGCTTTCCTATGCGACGGGCTGAATGCGCGCGCAGCTCTTGCCGCGCGTGCGCATTCAGCCCAGGAGGAGGAATGGAGGAGGAGAGAAGGAGGAGAGCTCTCCGCCCAGCGCTGGAAAAAGGTAAGTTTTTACCCCTTTCCCCTTCCAGAGCCGGGCGGGAGGGGGTCCCTGAGGGTGGGGGCACCCTCAGGGCACTATAGTGCCAGGAAAACGAGTATGTTTTCCTGGCACTATAGTGGTCCTTTAAGGCTGATTGCCTGTGCATGATTTGGACGTTATACGTACAATATGAATTGTATCAATTAGAGAGACATTCTGCCTTATAAAAGCCTTTGGGAGCACGGAGTAAGGAAACCTCATTACGTCCTGATGAAGCCGTCTGAGAACAGCGAAACGCGTAGACTACGTCAGCGCGCACGTAAGGTGGGATGAGCCGAGTGGAAGCTGGGAATTTTGAATGGTGATTGTATCACAGCGGATCAGCTTGCAATCTGGACTCCATATATAGGGACCTCGCCTGACTTACCTGGAAGAGACATCTCCCAGTGTGGGAAAGCGTGCTTGTGAGTCACGGGAAAATATACTGCTGTACTCTCCATCAACTCTAATAAGCAGTAATCTGTTTACCATCTTTAATTCAATTTTGAGTGTTTTGTATTTTGTATTTTTAATGTTTTAATGTGAATAAATGTTTATTCTATTATTAAATTTATCAAGTATATAACATAATACATGTGTTAATTAGCACTACATATAAAAGTGCAATTTAAACATTATATATACAGATCTGCACTATCATTATTTTAATTATTTTTCTATATGCAACATATGATTTTGAACATGTGACTGCTACCCATTAAGGAGTATAAGTATATTTATTCCTTCATTTCCTAATTTTGGTTGCTTGTGGGAAGGGGCTGATCACCTAAATGTCGCTCCACTTCTTGAAACTTATTTTTTAAATAAGAGAAATTAGAAATCAGCCAGTAGGCTCAATTTAATTGCTCATTTTTTAAAACACAAAGTAGGATTGTATACAACTATAGTATAAAATGTAAATTGTTTATACTATATTTGAATATGAATTCTTTACACCAGATTAGCATTTGGAGATCTCAATTTTACCTTGCAGAAATGCAAATCCCAATAATGCTGGCTGCATTAATGTTTAACACCTTATGGAGTTATATGGCTAATTTCCACATTTATCGCAAGCAGATACCAACAGGCCTTTTATGTTTAAAATGACTCTGGGAAAGTTAGTGACTTGCAGTTGTTACCTTGCCACATCACTTCACTGTTAGAAGCTGCTGCTACTTTTAATCTCTTCTACAGAGATGAATTGGACTGCATTAACTGGATTGAATGTTGCCCCTATTTCACTATAGGACAGTTGTATTATCCATAAGTCTGGTGGAGCCTTATTTTATGTTCATTTTTTTCACCATACTAATTAGCTGTCTGGGATGTAACCCCTACATTTTTTTTGTGGTATGGGGTGTTTCCTGGTGTTTTTCTGTTCTGGCACATATTTTTTATTTACAACAAAAGTGCATATATAAAACTCTATATGCAGCAACGGCACCACAACACCAGTATCAATAAATTATATGATTACCACTCTGTTATGAGGATATGACATTCCATGGGGATAGAGGTATTCTTATATATAAAAGTAAATGGGAAATTCACCATAGTGTACTAGGTAAATATGATCAATGAAAGATAAAACAACAATTAAAAACAAACTCACAAACAGAATTGCACATATATAGACAAATATGCAATGAAAGCAGTGCCAAAAAGGGCTCAAACCCACATCTTGGAGGACATCCTTCTCTTTTTCAGAGAAAATACAGTGTTTACATGAGAGAGGCTGCAGGGAGCTATAGTTCTCACCTGAACAAACTCATTAAGCTGAAGTTGTTCAGGTGACTATAGTGTCCCTGTAAAGAGGGATAGAATTTTTTTTGTAATCTTAACAACCCTGACATGTCATCTGTCTTAAAGGAATGAGAACATTGACATTCCTCCCTGAATATAAGTAATAATGCAAATATATAAACTTCATTCTCATTCTGACCTGTTTGGTGTTCTTTGAATTTAGTGAATTGTTTTTACAGTTACACTGAAACTGACAAAATATTTCTCATTTATCTCTTGACTATTTAAATCTATTATACAAAACTCTGTTCTTTTTAGAAAATAACCTTTCTTAAATAATGACCAAGATGATTCTTAATTGATTTTATCGATAACAGATATGAAAAATAAAAATACACACATAACAGTTACACACAGAGAACACAGACACACACATAAACACACAGAGGACACTGACTCACCCACACAGAGGACACTGACACACAAAAACTTACACACAGAGGACCACTCACTAATTTGACACACACACACACACTTACACACAGAGGACACAGACACACACATATTTACACACAGCGGATACTGACGCACACACTTAAACACAGGGGTCAATCACACGGATAAAACCGACACACTTACAAACATATATTGCTAACACTGGTGTTAGACTACATGTCTAGGTCCCTGGCTGCCCTCAGGCTGGAGATAAAAAGTAGCTTTTCTTACCTTTTCTCCAGCGCCACATTGGTCTCCCCGTGGTTGACCCTGCCTCCATGGCTGAGAACATCAATGTTGATGATTGCAGGCAATCCAGTGCTTTCCTATAGGAAAGCATGGGGAGGCTATTGCACACGTGCAGCAAAATGTTATGCCAATCAGAATCTCCTCATATAGATGCATTGGCTCAATGTATCTCTATGGGGAACGTTCAGTGTCTTCATCCAAGAGTGGAAACACTGAACGTAGGTACTACACTGTGTAGCACTGAAATAGGAAGCACTGCTAGTGGCTCAGTGACTGCCACTAGAATTGTTACCAGGTTGCAATGGAAACACTCTTTTTCCTATGTCCCTTAAAAGGCAGCATTTTCATTGCTCAGCCTGCAGAGACAGGCTATAGACACAAGAACCACTACATTAAGCCACAGTGGTTCTGGTGACTATAGTGTCCCTTTAAGTTCTTGCGTGCAATTTTACAGTTTGCAACACTAAACTGCAAACAACTGACTAGAGAATTTGTTTTGACCTTGGGGAGGGAATAAGTGAGGAGGCATGATGACATACGGGGTTCAAGGAGAACCTCTCACATCACTGAATTTAAAGGACCACTATAGGCACCCAGACCACTTCAGCTTAATGAAGTGGTCTGGGTGCCAGGTCCAGCTAGGATTAACCTTTTTTTCTATAAACATAGCTGTGTTAATCCAGCATCTAGTGGCTGTCTCATTGACAGCCGCTAGAGGCGCTTCTCACTGTGATTTTCACAGTGAGAAGACGCCAGCGTCCATAGGAAAGCATTGAGATTGCTTTCCTATGGACTGGCTGAATGCGCACGCGCATTCAGCCGATGACGGCGCTGGAGAAAGAGGTAAGTTTAACCCCTTCCTCCCCCTAGAGCCCAGTGGGAGGGGGCACCCTCAGGGCACTTTAGTGGTCCTTTAAGTTAACTTTTATTTTACAGGTTTAATAATTTTAAAAGAGGTGTTGGCAAAAGGTACTAGTGCCCAATAAGGCATAATATATCTCTATATAATTAATTTTAATTTAAAAATGGTTAACATTAACCATAGAAATATGATGTTTTCCAAGAGCAATACATTTTAATATGCTGGTACTGGGATTATGTACAGGGAGCTGTCACTGTGCTGAGCTCTCTCCATTGTATTAACACACACACACCGTGCAGAGCAGCCCGCCCGCCCGCTAAATGGCAGCACTGAGTGTGAACACCCAGCTATCACGCTGTCACTGAGCGCTTCCTGGACAGCACGCTGAGCCGTGCACGCCCGCCCCCCAACTCTATCACTTCCTGTCTGCTCGTGTTCCATGACGGGCAGCTTGGTGTCTATGGTGCCGCGCCGCGGTGTTTGCTGGGATACCTCCGCCCTCCCCGTAGTCCTCCCAGTTTGCGCTGCCTGAGGTCCGTGTCTTGTAGCAAGATGGCGGCGCTGGGCTCGGGCTGACAAGACAAGCAGAAGAAGGAGGAAAAAAAAACCCAACAACAAATCACAAAAAAAATAATAAAACAACAAATCAACCACAAGCAATACCCGCCGCCGGTGATCTGAGTCCTCGCTGTTCTCGTCGAGGTGTGACAGGCCCTGATATAACCCCCCACCGACCCCCGGTCTGGCTGGCTGGCTCTCCACACCCCAATAGACAGACACCCGAGACAGACCGCGGCCCCACACTCACAGCATCACTCGGGCTCTGCATATAGGGCAGCAACGTGGTGTGCACACACACACACACACACACACATATATATATATATACACACACACACACACACACAGCATAATTTACTGTGCAGAATAGGTAGCCATTCATAGTGTTGCTAATATTAGCCCTGACAACTTGATGAAAACTGTCAAATGAGCACACAGCAGTGACACCCTAAGTACAAAACCCAATTGCACCTCAAGGGCAAATACCAGGGGCTCATGTATATCTAATAGCTGCTTGCAAACCATCCAGGAGCGGAGAGGCACATATAGGAAGAGCAGGGACTGAGCAATCTGCCTAGTACACACATTTTTGATTATTACAACTGTTTGCATGGCCCAAGGGTCTGTGATTGTGTAGTAGTTGTGGTTGTTTGTTAGCGGGTTCTCGCATGAGTTCCCCGGACCGGAGTCGGCGGCAGCAGGAGAGAGAGGGAGCCCCGGAGCCCGAGAAGAGGAAGACACAAACCCCCTGCAGCAGCCAGGAACACAGCCCCGTTGGAGACAGGTCAGCATGTGCATTGATGTATTCTGTAACGGTCATGACATAATTCTGTTTTGTATTTTTTATTCATTTCATCTGTACATTGTGCTAGCCGAACCACAAAAAGCTGTAGCCATGACTGCCAGAAATGGATGATAGATGCTGTCTGTGATGACTTGTGGCATGCCGTTGCATGGATGGGTGGCTACATATGGAGCCACTACTCTTCTATCTGGCAGTCACCATGGAGGGGGTATATACATTCTTCCAGCAAGTATATTCATTTTTAAAAGGGGATCTTTGCATGTGGATTTTTGGAACAATCCAATAGCTAACAAAGTCAGCTGCAGGTTGTATAGTTATTGTTTAAAAAAATCTAAGCAGATTTCTTATACTTTTATGTTGCATGTTTTTTAGGTTTTTGTATTTCGGCATCACGAGGGTACATGCACGCTCATATGGCGCTGTGGAAGAAATGTCTGAGAAGCATTTTTCAACAGCTGCACAAATAAGCACGTGCGCCCAGAACATCACGAGTCTTTTAAATCACCCTAAACATGGAAATATCTCCACTGCATGGCTTACACCATTAAACGTTTCCAAAGAATTTTCTGTGGTGAGAGAATGTGGAACTAGAACCTCTAGAGTTATAGTTCCACATTAATCTGTACTTAAATGAACAGTCCAAACACCTACAGCACTTTAGCTTGCTGAAGTACTTTTATGTGTGAAGAGTGTGTCCTCTTATTCTTGTTTAAAAAAAAGGGGGGCAGTTTTCAATAGAAATTCACACTTTTTAAATATCAATTAACCTTGTTAAACTCCTTGGCTATAAATCACACAACCATTCCTGGTACTTCCTGGTAGTTTTAGCATATTGAAGCTAAACTGAAGATTGGGGAAGCCCCGAAATGAAAATTCAGGATGCCCTTGGCTGAAAACCGAAACAGAAAATGACCTTTTTCCCCCAAATGATTTTAAAAGCTTTTTTTCTATGATTTTATTATACTTTTTAATGAATTTATTGAATATAATATAAAAAAAACTACAAGCCAATAAAATAAATAGCCACACTTTTATTGAAAGTAACACACCAAAATTGGACAGAAAATAACTTTAAAAAAAATAAATCTGTTAAATCTGTTTGTTATATAGGACTGAAGAATAATATATTGTTGATATTAATTTAATAACAATATACATTCTTATACAGGTCTTGATGGTAAGGTATGTCTTTTTGCTGATGATACTAAGATATGTAACAGGGTTGATGTTCCAGGAGGGATAAGCCAAATGGCAAATGATTTAGGTAAACTAGAAAAATGGTCAGAATTGTGGCAACTGACATTTAATGTGGATAAGTGCAAGATAATACATCTTGGACGTAAAAACCCAAGGGCAGAGTACAGAATATTTGATAGAGTCCTAACCTCAACATATGAGGAACGGGATTTAGGGGTGATTATTTCTGATGACTTAAAGGTAGGCAGACAATGTAATAGAGCAGCAGGACATGCTAGCAGAATGCTTGGTTGTATAGGGAGAGGTATTAGCAGTAGAAAGAGGGAAGTGCTCATGCCATTGTACAGAACACTGGTGAGACCTCACTTGGAGTATTGTACACAGTACTGGAGACCGTATCTTCAGAAGGATATTGATACCTTAGAGAGTTCAGAGAAGGGCTACTAAACTGGTTCATGGATTGCAGGATAAAACTTACCAGGAAAGGTTAAAGGATCTTAACATGTATAGCTTGGAGGAAAGATGAGACAGGGGGGATATGATAGAAACATTTAAATACATAAATGGAATCAACACAGTAAAGCAGGAGACTATATTTAAAAGAAGAAAAACTACCACAACAAGAGGACATAGTCTTAAATTAGATGGACAAAGGTTTAAAAATATCAGGAAGCATTACTTTACTGAGAGGGTAGTGGATGAATGGAATAGCCTTCCAGCTGAAGTGGTAGAGGTTAACACAGTAAAGGAGTTTAAGCATGCGTGGGATAGGCATAAGGCTATCCTAACTATAAGATAAGGCCAGGGACTAATGAAAGTATGTAGAAAATTGGGCAGACTAGATGGGCCGAATGGTTCTTATCTGCCGTCACATTCTGTGTTTCTTCATTCAGTTCTATGTAACAGAATCAAATTTAACAATTTTTTTTAATATATAATTTTTTTTTTAACAATTATCCAAATAAAGTATACTCCTAGAAAACTATTATATGCAAAATAGTAAGGGCTAGGTAAATTACAATCTAGATTTAGCTATATCACCAATTAAGAAGCACATAATTAACTGCATGCATGTTTTCATTGGGTTTATATCTACGATATAGTATTTTGTACTCGGGCAGTAGAGTGTCCCTTTTAAGCTTTCAACCAAGATATGTCTAGCATGGTTATTTACTAAAGTGAGAATTCAAAGTGAATTTCAATTCTAAAGTCAAAATAGCCACACTGGAAACAATCTCAAAGTCAGCTATGCTCTTAGGCTACTCTGGCCTCGTATTTGATATTCACCCTGAATTAACATTGGATTCTCCCTGCTTTTGGATAACCTTGCTAATTTGTCTGAATCTGTCAGCCACTTGCAGAAGCCACTTTAATTTGATAAATATCTATGTGTTGAGTCTGTTCAATGTATCTTATTTTGTTTCTAAGACACAACATACTTTAGTTTTTTTACTGACTGTAAGAAAATCCAAAATTAATGTCATATTAGGTTCCATTTAAACCCTAATACTTCATTAGACAAAGCATATATCATTGAATAAAGTGATCAATGGTGTACAGTTTTGCTTAATGAAGATATTGGGTTAAAACTTACATCCTGTCTAGCACAGTGAACCTTGTGTGTGTTACACTAATTATTTATATAGTGCCAACAAGTTCCGTAGCGCTGTACAATGGGTGGACTAACACGTATTTGTATCCGGACAAGTTGGATGCACAGGAACAGAGGGATTGAGGGCCCTGCTCAGTAAGCTTACATGCTAGAGGGAGTCGGGTATAGTGACACAAAAGGTAATGGTAGAAAAGTAGGTTGCTAGGATAGTGTTCATTGAGGGCTTATTATTCTATCTTGATGACAGTTTCAGGAGAGGAATCAGGGTGTGAGGAGGGAAAGCTGTTCACAGTTTAATTGATATGCTTTTCTGAAGAAGTAAGTTTTCAAAGATTTTTTTGAAGGAGTGGAGACTTGGTGAAAGTCTAACAGAGAGGGGAAGGGCATTCCATAGGAACTGTGCAGCCCTAGAGAAGTCTTTAAGGTGAACATCAGAGGTAAGAGTACGAGCATAGGTTAGACGTAGGTCTCCGGCAGAGCGTAGGGGACTTGACGAGGCATATTTGTGTATTAGTGAGGATAAGTAGGTTGGAGCAGCATTGTGCAGTGATTTGTAAGCAAGTATCAGGATCTTTAATTGAGTCCTATATCTTATGGGAAGCCAATGTAGGGACGGGGGAGGGGGGTAGGCCTTGGCCGGCAGGAAGATGAGCCTCGCTGCCGCATTTATTATAGACTGTAACGGGACAAGAGGTGGACAGTAATTAGGTGGAGCCATGGATGAGGTGGCGATATGAGGTCATTAGAGTCCCCTGTAATTTTCTTTGTGGATGGATGCCAACAGCATATAATTCTGTGCTGGTAGCTGATTGCTTGACAGGTGGGGTGAGAGACATTACTTTAAAAAAAAATAAATAATAATTTAAAAAAAGTCCATACATTTGCTAGCACAATATATAGATAAATCACAGATTTGTATATGCCAAAACTGTTACACTTTAAAAATTGCCACCCTTAATGGACCACTGTAGTCACTCAGACCACTTCAGCTCAATGAAGTGGTCTGGGTGCCAGGTCCCCCAGGTTTTAACCCTGCAGCTGTAAACATAGCAGTTTCAGAGAAACTGCTAGGTTTACATTGCAGGGTTAATCCAGCCTCTAGTGGCTGTCTTCCTGACAGGTGCTAGAGGCACTTCCCTGACGCTAAATGTGAAAATCGCTTTGTGCACGCAGAACGTCCATAGGAAATCATTGAGAAATGCTTTCCTATTGGAGTTTTTAAATGCATGCGCATTCAGCTCCACGTGGGACGTCGTGATCCTTTAATGTAAAACCTAACCAAATTATGTTAACAAAAATCTGTATAGCCAAACTCTAGAATATCTTTCAAAATAAAATAGAATTATGAAAATAAGATAGCATACAGGGCATGTTTTGGGTAATGTCAAATTTAGGCAATAAAGACCATATGACACTGGTGTAGATTGCTGTCTTGGATTTTGCATGGTTGGGTTAAAGGAACACTATAGTCACCTAATCAACTTTAGCTTAATAAAGCAGTTAATAAAGCCGTTTTAGTGTATCGATCATGTCTCTCAGGTTTTACTGCTCCATTCACTGCCATTTAGGAGTTAAATCACTTTTTCTGTTTATGCAGCCCTTGCCACACATCCCCTGGCTATGATTGACACAGCCTGCATAAAAAAAACAAAAACTGATTTCACTTTCAATCAGATGTAATTTACCTTAAACAATTTTATCTCTTGCTTTGTAAATTGAACTTTAATCACATGCAGGAGGCTCTTGCAGGGTCAAGCAAGCTATTAACATAACAGCGGATAAGAAAATCTAAATTAAACAGAACTTACAATAAAGGAAGGATAAACTTTAGATGACTCTTTACAGGAAGTGTTTAGGAAGGCTGTGCAAGCCACATGCAGGGAGGTGTGACTAGGGTTCATAAATAAAGTGATTTAACTCCTAAATGGCAGAGAATTGAGCAGTGAGGCTGCAGGGGCATGATCTATACACCAAAACTGCTGCATTAAGCTGAAATTGTTCAGGTGACTATTGTGTCCCTTTAACTATCAAAGTCACCACATCAAAGGCATTTAGTGAATCATTTTTATCTATAGTATTACACTACAATGGTTTTATAGTTTTTTTTTGTTTTTTTTTTGTGTGTGTGTGTGATTGTTGAAAATGAGTGTATACAGTATAGTGGAAATAATTATTAGCAGTATGGTTTTGTAGAGCTAAGTGACCGAGCTGTGTGTGCAAATTAAGCCCTCTTCAAGGACCACTAGAGGCACCCAGATCACTTAAGACATGAAGGGTCTTGGTGCAGAGGTCTCACCACAGCCCTGTTATGTAAAAAATTGTAGTTTGAAGATTCATATATTGTAGCTGTCTTCCTGACAGCCATTAGAAGTGCTTTCTCCAGAACTGTGTAAAAAAAACCTCAATCCTGAATTTGAATGCAGCTGATAGCAGCATTTAATTGGTGGAATGCTGTGTTTTGCCACACGTTTTCTCCAATCCAGTTCTTCTCTATGAGAAGCATTGTATTAGACAATATCTCAAGTGACATCAGCGTGGATGCGGACATTGACAGAGACTGAGCTAGAGGCTACTGTGGAAGAGTCTTAACGCTGGAAACTAGGTGACTTGTCGTTATTTAACTTGGCTTTTACTGAGCAAAGGGGAGTGGACAATGATCACAACGCTTTAAAGGAACCTATAGTCCCAAAATAATGATTATTTTCAGGACTTTAGGTTCCCTTTAAATTTATGGTTCTATCTTCTGTAAATTGAGTGTTTCTACCAGGACACAGTGACCTTTTCTCTTTAAGTTGTTAGCATATTGTGTTCATGTAAAACTTGTTATTTTCTTTCACACTTTGTTCATATTTTAAAGTGATACTCCAAGCACCAAAAACTTAAACTTAAAGGGTCACTTTAGGCACCCAGACCACTTCAGTTAGTTGAAGGGGTCTGGGTGCAGTAAACTCGTTTGAGCAGGGCACTCATCTATCTGTTGTTCCTGTGTCATTGTGTAATTGTCTCATTTATTGTAAATTTCCCTCTTTCATAATATTGTAATATATTGCACAGCGTGCAAGGCAGCAGGAAGATCACTCCTCCCTCGCCCCCTTCATAATCAGTCAGCCGCCTGCCTGAACGAATCTTGCGCTATGAACCGCCTGCCTGCCTCTGTCTGTCCAGCCTCCTGCCTCGGCTCACTATTAGCCGCCTGTCTGTCCGGCCACCCGCCTCGGCTCACTATGAGCTGCCTGTCTGTCCAGCCTCCTGCCTCGGCTCACTATGAGCCGCCTGTCTGTCCGGCCACCCGCCTCGGCTCACTATGAGCTGCCTGTCTGTCCGGCCACCCACCTCGGCTCACTATGAGCCGCCTGCCAGTCAGCTAGGGGGCTGAAGGGAGTCACTAATTTCCTAATCGCCATGGCAACCTGGCGCCTGGGATTTGTCAAGCCCTGCCTTAACCCTGGAAAGGTGAATATTGCAGTTTTTACTGAACTGCAATAATTACCTTTATAGGTTAACTCTACCAGACCGCCGCTAGAGGGGCTTCCGGGTCGCTAGGCGACTTATGGTCGCCTAACTGATGCTGGTCGTCACGCTATGCATGAGGACATCCAGAGTCACCCGAAACAGCATAGGAAAAACATTGTATAATGCACATTAGGTCTCCTCTTAAGTAGGCGGGGGAGGAGCGAAGGTGGACTCCGAGACAACGCAGAGGGACATCAGTGCTAGAACAAGGTAATGCACTCGTACTAATTAGCCCCCCTGTCAGAGGATGTGGAGCGCTGAGGGAGATCGACGATGGGACTGGGTAAGTGTTCAAATATTTTTTTTTTTATTCCTTTCCATGCAGAAGAGGGGGCGGGGGGGTCGGCAAGTTTGAGAGGGCCAGAGGGAGTAAATAGAAGAGGAGGGAGGGAAGGGGGTTAAAAAAATTGTGGATGGGCTAGGGAAGAGGGAGGGATTTAAGAAGTGTAGTTGGGAAGGAGGAATGGGAGATGAGCTTCTCCTGTGCAGGATCTTGCAGTTACATCTGTTGGCAGCATGCAGTGCGCACTGAAGACATTGTTTTTATGCACAGAATTTACACTAGGCAGCCTGCCTAAGTCACGTGTGCTGGGGGTGCAACTTGCTCCCAACACACAATTAAAAATATCTCTGGATGTGCAGAGAACAAAAGCAGAAGTGGTCATGGTGGCTTGGGTAGCCCTTTATTGAAGCTGTTTTAATGTGTAGATACTGCTCAATTTTCTGCGATGTAGGCATTGAAACCTTTTCGTTTTTGCTTATGTAGCACTAGCTACACTTTCCTTGGCTTTTACTCATGCATCCAATATGACAATAATGGTTTCATTTTCAATGAAGTGGTCTGGGTGCCAGGGCCAGGTCCAGCTAGGGTAAACCCATTTTTTTTTATAAACATAGCAGTTTCAGAGAAACTGCTATGTTTATGAATGGGTTAAGCCTTCCCCCAAGAGGCGCTTGCGTGATTCTCACTGTGAAAATCACAGTGAGAGCACGCAAGCGTCCATAGGAAAGCATTGTAAATGCTTTCCTATGCGACTGGCTGAATGCGCGCGCAGCTCTTGCCGCGCGTGCGCATTCAGCCGACTCGGAGGAGGAGAGCTCCCCGCCCAGCGCTGGAAAAAGGTAAGCTTTTCCCCTTTCCAGAGCTGGGCGGGAGGGGGACCCTGAGGGTGGGGGCAACCTCAGGGCCCTATAGTGCCAGGAAAACGAGTATGTTTTCCTGGCACTATAGTGGTCCTTTAACTCCTGACTTGGAAAATAATTGACCCGTGAGACTGCAGGGGCATTATCTATGCACCCAAACTGCTTCACTAAGTTAAATATTTTCCAATGTCTATAGTATCCCTTTAAACCTTGCATCTCTCTTTCAAGGGACTATATAGGGAGACTGTGATTACGGTTGCAGAAACAAAGCGAATTGGCAGAGAATTGAGCTTAAGTTGTTTTGCATTGAATCAGCATCTCCATGTTTAGCGTTGTGACGCTGACTGTCACTAGAGGTGTCCTTAGGCAGTATTGTAAAATGCCTACAGGGACAGACTATACACACTAGAACAACTATATTATGCTGTAGTTGTTCTGGTGACTATAGCGTCCCTGTAAGGATGTAGTTTGGGATACTTTGCATACTTAAAATATTGCACAAATATATATTTTTTAAAGGAACACTAAAGGGTCAGGAACACAAACCTGTATTCCTGACCCTATAGTGTTTAACCCACCATTTAGCCCCCTCTCCCCTATAAAAGTTTAAAACTCACCTTATTTCCAGTGCAGCCCGGGTCTGCCGTGCTGCCTCCGCCTCCTTTGTGACATCATCAAAAATGTCTGATTTTTAGCCAATCCAATCCTTTCCCATAGGGAAACGATTGGATTGGCTAAAATCAGCACGGGGGCTGGACCAAATGCCATTTTGTCCAATCAGGACCTCCTCATAGAGATGCATTGAATCAATGCATCTCTACAAGGAAAATTCAGCGTCTCCATGCAGAGCGTGGGGACGCTGAATGTCAGGGCCAGTGGCCATTTAAGGAGTGTGGCCACTTGGACGTGTCCCTAGAGGCAATGTAAACACTGCATTTTCTCTGAAAAGGCAGTGTTTGCATGAAAAAAGCTTGAAGGGAACTATTATACACCCCAGAACAACTACATTAAGCTGTAGTTGTTCTGGTGACTAGTGTCCCTTTAACTAGTACAAAGATGCTGAATAAAGCTAAGCACAAAATAATTTACCATCTTTGTGTATTGTTTCAGGATCTCTTTACTATATTACATTATGTTAGCCAAAGTTTCATTGGCACATCTGATCAATAAGTGACATTTCTGAAATCTGGAATTAAATGTGTTTGTATAATTGTGACTGAGTGGGCTTGTTTTGCAACCACATATGTAGTGTGGGTTTAGAGAATATAAATCCATGTTTTACTGTTAATTTAAACTCGCTTGAGCCTATTGTACCAGAGTTGTTCTTTCTTATGCAGAATTCTAAAAAAAAAATTCTCATAAATCATTATTATTACATGTGTGTGTATTTTTACTGCATTATCAACTACAGCGTGCGGTGCTCTTTAAACATGGTAACTGTTGTACATACTACATTCTCTCATCACCTGTCACTTTATATTTGGTAGCAGGGCAGGAGTTGATGACATGTAAATCTGTATTTTATTAATGTTAAGGAGTGCAAAGGCATGATAAGTAATATTCAAAGCACTCCTTATTTGTAGATGAACCATTTTTAAAGTGACTCTCCTTCAATTTGCACTCCAAATAAGCTTGGCCATTTTAAATTATCATTTCAAATTTTAGTTTAAATATTGTTAAGCACTTGCTTGCCAAAAGTTTAAGTATAATATATTACATATAGTGTTTTACAAATGAATACTTTATTGCAAAGAGGGCTTATAAGGGCAATTTGCATAGCAAATATTATGCCCCAAGTTTTGTGAGCTTAAAGGTGGGAGATTTGTTGTGCGAACAAGCCAGGTTATTAACCCCTTAACGCCGTTACGGCGTTCTATGCCGTCGCGCATTAAATGGGCTTTAAAGCCGTTGCGGCCCCAGAAGGTGAGATTTACTCACCTCCGCCGCGATCCTCTTCGGGAGGACTGTTGACAGCCCAGGCAGCCCTCTCCTGGCAAATGAGGTCCCCTGGGGCCATGTGATCGCTCTCCAAGTGCGATCACATGGCTCCCTACAGCTGGCTGTGGATCTGCCAGCAGGGGGACTTTTTGAGCTCTCAGACAGTCCCCCTGCTGGTGGGAGGAATAATAAAAATAATATTAGACAAGTTTAAAATAAAATAAATGTAACCTAACCTAACGCTACTCTGATCTGTGCGTCAGATGTGAAGTCTGTTTGAGCTCTGGAGTTGCTGAAGATGCTGAAGTAGAGGGTATGTGCCACTTCGCTCATAGAAACCTTTCATAAAATAGGATTAAAATAAGATACTCCTCGCCCATAAGACACTTCAGCAAGCCAAAGTACTTTATGGATGAGTAGTGGTCTTTTAAAAATGTAAGTCAATTTCAAAGTTGATTGTTTTTTTAAAAACAAGATGTTGCTTGGTTATTTCACCCATTCAGAATACATTTAAGACAGAAGGGATGCTTTACTGAAACAGTTCAATTTGCAGAGCAGGAGATAAAAACTTCAAGTTAATGTCCGATTGGAAACTAAACTATTTTTTTTTTCATGCAGGCTGTGTTAGTTATGGCCAGGGGAGGTGTGACTAGAGCTGCATAAACTGAACACCTAAATGACTGATAATTGAGCACTGAGGCTTCAGGCGCATGATCTATACACTAAAACTGCTTCATTAAAGGGACTCTATATAGTCATCAGAACAACTACAGCTTATTGCATTTGTTCTGATGAGTAATCATTGCCTTCAGGCTTTTTGCTGCAAACACTATCTTTTCAGAGAAAATGCAGTGTTTACATTGCAGCCTAGTGATAACTCCACTGGTCTCTACTTATAATGGCTGCTAGAGGTGCTTCCTTGGGCAGTGCTGCAGAGTAAGCAGCACTGCCATTCAGTGTCTCCACCCTCTGCATGCAGACAGTTTCCTCATTTATTCAATTCATCTCAATGAAGAGATGCTGATTGGCAGAGGCTGTGTTTGACTTGTGTTGGCTATGCCCCTGATCTGTCTCATTGACAGTCTCAGCCAATCCTATAGGTAATCACTGTGATTGGCTAAAACCACCACATCTGATGTCAGCAGGCAGCGTCAGTTCACAGACGAACAGGGGCAGAGCCAGGAGCTGCAGACTTGAATAAAAGTACGATTTTACTATATTTACGGAGACAAGAGGAGATTACACTATAGGGTCAGGATTACATGTTTGTGTTCATGGCTCCTTCGTGCTCCTTTAAGCTAAAGGTTTTTTGATGTCTATAGTATCCCTTTAAGTAATTTATCTCCTTTGAATTTATACTGTTAGTGTTGACAGAAAATGGCAATAATGTTGCATCCAGTGTTCTGTCTAACAGTGCTGGCCCAGTTACACTCTTTCGAAATACACCAAACCTTGGAGCGCTAGTTATAGGTTTTATTGTTCTGCTTTGGGTGGATGATGCGTAATTTCTGCATTATCCGTGCAGTTTGAGTGGCTTGAGTTTGACTGCCAGGTATTTCAAAGCGTATGTCATACTAATAGAGCACTGTGTGAGCTGTAGTGATTATGATGTATAGAGTTTATCTAATCCATTATGACAGTTTACTTCTCTATAGATTTATATAGTGCATAGGCATAGATTCAATTTATAAAAGCGCACATTAAACAATTATAGTTGTTTGAATGTCTTTTGCTGGTTTTCTCAAGGATTTGAGTCACCTGTACTGCTATCTACTTGTTGACGGTCTCACAATCATTCCTATTTTTAAGTTAATAAGTTGATTTTTCTCTTTGATGTAAATGGACTTGCAGTCCATTTTTAAAAAATAATACCGAATAGTGCACGTAATCATGGTTGCTTTAAACTAATCAAGCCAATTTAAATCATGAATTTGAAATGTAAAGACTCATTGTTGCTGGTTGTAATCTTATAAAGGACCACTATGGGATCAGGAACACAAAAATGTATTCCTGACCCTATAGTGTTAAAACCGCCATCTAGCCCCCCCGGTCCTCCCTTGCCACCCTACATGTAGTAAACGTTTACTTGTATTCAAGTCTGCAGCTGCCCCTGACCTGCCTGCTTACAGCTGACCTAATCAGAAGTGATTCTGTGAGGCAATCACAATGCTTTCCCATAGGATTTGCTGAGACTCTCAAGGAGGCAGATTAGGGGCAGAGCCAGCACAAGTCAAGCACAGCCTTGGCCGATCAGCATCTCTTCATAGAGATGAACTGAATCAATGCATCTCTATGAGGAAAGTTCAGTGTCTGCATGCAAAGGGTGGAGACACTGAATGGAAGCACTGCACACTATGCAACACTGCCACAGGAAGCACTTCCAGTATCCATATGAGTAATGCCAAGTGGATTTATCCCTAGGCTGTAATGTAAACACTGCTGTCTGAAAAGACTGTGTTTACTGGAAAAAAACTGGTGAATGATTCTACTCACCAGAACAAATACAGTAAGCTGTAGTTGTTCTGGTGACTATATTGTCTCTTTAAAGGAAACCTGAGCCTCAGGTATACAAACCTGTGTAAAAATAGTGTTAAAATCACTCCTGGGGTGCCCCCCTCCCATGGGGCTGAAGGGGTTAAAACCCCTTCAGCCACTTACCTGAATCCAGCACCGATGTCCCTCGGCACTTGGTCAAGCTCTTCCCCTGCTAACATGAGCCGACGGGGGAGACCTAATATGCATGCGCGGAAATGCCCGCGTGCGCATTAGCCCTCCCCATGGGAAAGCATTATTCAATGCTTAACTATGGGGAAAAACTGACACTGGACCTCCAGCGTCAGATAACGGACCAAAAGTCTGTTTGGATTCCGGAAGCCCTCTAGTGGCTGTCTGGTTGTTTTACATTTCAGCACTAAGTGCAAAAGGGTCACAACACCTAGAATTCTGCAATTAGCTGAAGTGGTCTGGGTGCCTACATTGTCTCTTTAAAGTTATTGATGAGCCTTTTAGCCTTTTATGTGGAGCCTCGATGAGCCTTTTATGTGGAACAGTGTCGTAAGCAATGTCTGCTGCATCACCCTGATCTATTATTTTCGTAAGACAATCTTTTTAAATCTTTTTTAAATGTGGTAATTGTAGTATCTGCAAAGTAATGGGTCCCCCATATGGGAAGATTTCCAGCTTCCAGTCCTTTGTTACGAAGAATATTTTTTTATATAAAGGACTGTATCACTTTCTAAACAAATAATGTATTTATTTATTAAGCTGTTCCTGCGGAATTCAGTATGTAGGACAAACAAAAAGAATGCTAAAAATTAGACTTAATGAACATGTGCATAAGAGGAAGTTTGAGATACACTCTATCTAAACACTATTTGGACCACCATGCAAGTAACCCAGGATGTCTAAGTTACTGCGGAATTGAAAGTGTTAATATTCCGTGGAGAGGGGGTGAATTGGTGAAGAGGTTAACATATCAGGAAATGTGGATTTATAAGTTGAAAACTTTAGCACCCTTTGGCTTGAATGCTGACTTTGAGCTATCTGGCATTTTATGATTTTAATTAGTGTCCTATGAATATCTATAGACTCGATATTATATGAACTAGGTTTTTTTAACTTGTAGTCCTTGAGAAAAGACTTTGGTGTTAAACTGTTAACGGTTACCTAAAAGTAAGCTGGTCCCAGGGATTTCCTGGCACCATAACAACTTCATTCTGATTAAGTTGTTCAGGTGCCCAGAGAGTTCCTTTTTAATATATGCACAATATATTGCTTTAACACCACTTAAGGACACATGGTGGAAATTTTCCTTCATGATTCCCTTTTATCTCTGAAGCTGTGTCCTTAAAGGACCACTATAGTGCCAGGAAAACAAACTCACAGTGAGAAGCACGGAAGCGCCTCTAGCGGTTGTCGGTGAGACAGCCACTAGTGGCTGGATTAACCCTAATGTAAGAAACTGCTATGTTTACAGCTGCAGGGTCAACCCTAGATGGACCTGGCACTCAGACCACTTCATTGAGCTGAAGTGGTCTGGGTGCCTATAGTGGTCCTTTAAGGGTGCTTTAATGACTTGAAAACATATGGAACTCAAAAGGCAGGCTAGGGTTCTGACATCATAAACCCAAGACTTACGTAGTGATTCTCTAAAAAACATTCTATATTATTGGTTACCTTACAGAGAAAAAAATATATAATTCATTTTATTCAGTATATGATAAGATTGAAAGCGCTGTTAATTTAATGTCATTAGGACTCCAGTTAACTTATGGTCTTTGATGTGTGGAATACTTTAAGTGTATAAGTGTATAATGGATTGAGCATAGATAAAAGCTTAATGGAAGTATGAGGAGAAACTAATGCATCAAGTAGGCATATCTAAACTGTTATGCATAAAGTCTGCCATCTCTGGGTTTCAGGATAGTATTTGTCACATGTTCAGTGGCAGTTGTTTGGTTACCTTCTTATCTGGGATCAACCAATAAAAAATTTTAAGAGCCGATTGCCGATAACTGACAAACACAATTTCTACTTAAATTCATTAACTGAACATGTTAACTGATCCTGAAGAAAGTAGCGGCAGGGGAATGAAATGTCGATAACCATGGAATTTTGAATCAAATAAATATTTTAACTGAAGACCGTGAATGCAGCCCCATCTTCAACAAAACCTGAATTTTATATATAGATATATTTATATTATTACATTAGTTAATAAATAATTTTAAAAATAACTTTTACCTATGGCCAGTGATGGGGACATTACACTCTGTGGTGTAGTGGCTTTGTGAATGCTGCCAGGAGTTTGCACATTGTAGTCAGCAGTTTCTGGCAGGTCCTCTCTGCAGCAACTATTTGATGGATGTGGGCTTGCGAGAGTGCTTATGGTGTCTCTGTAACTCCTAATGAAAGAGAATTGAGCATTGATACTTGTAGGGGCATGATATATACACCAAAACTGCTTCATCAAGCTGAAGTTGGTTTGATGACTAGAGTGTCCCTTTTAAGGTAGTGGTGTTTAATGGAAATCCATGAAAAGATCTATCTATAGAACTATAATGTAATCTTTCAAACACAAGCAACAATGACTTGATGTAATTTTATTGCATGTCATTATTTATGTTCTACTTGGTTTTATTCTTTTGATGCGGTTTACCATGCTCATACCATTGTATGCTAAATGCACCTTAAAATGCAATAGTATTATTTTTTTTTTCTAACATTACTAAAAATGAATCTATAAAGAATTAAAAAATAAAATAAGGTTTTTGTAAAAACTAACATGGTTATTCACTAAATTGAGAATTGTCTTGAATTTCACATTGAAAAGCCAAATTGCTGAACTGGCAAACTTATTCAAATCTGCTAATGTGTCTATTTTGGCCTTAAATTTTACATTCAGTTTGTATTCCTGACAATTCTCATTTAGAATTCCTGTAAATGCTCTCTCTAGCAAATAACCCTGCATAAGTGGCAAAGGTTGTATTTTTGTGTTGCTGTTTGTGCTCAAAGCATGAAGCTAGTAATTAAGTTTTAGGAGGAAAAATGCTACTAAATTTTCTTCTGTTACATACACACAGTGTGCAATTTGCATGTCACATTGCTGCAAAAGTTATCAAGGTTTACAAGTTTATATAAAAAAAAAAAAAATAATTAAAAAAGTTAAGGCCACAAGATGGTGCACTTCTTCCCTATGATAGAAACAAGATGAAATTAGACATGCTTTCTTAATTATGAAAGTGAAAGTACACTGAACTATTCCAAATGTAAATTATGAATAAATCTATGCTAAGGAAGTGAATCCGCTATATATTATATCAATGCTTTTTTTTCTTAACTGGTTATCAAAATATCTCAGGGAGAAATATCTTGATTTCTGTGATCTTTATGATAATTTTGACTTACAAATAGGGAGTTCAGCATATTTAAAATGCATTGTGCAGTTGAGTGACATGGTGTACATAACCTAGTATTGACCTTCGGTTTGTGACTGCCTGCATTATGATTAAATGTGCACCTGTCTTTGCTGTCGGACTTGGAATCACTTTCTAGGTAAAAACCTTTCATCTGTACATTTTGTTTACCAAAGTACTAGCTAATACGTAGGTTAAAGGAACAGTTCAAGCACTATAACCACTACAGCACTTTGTGTGTTTTAAAAATTCAAATTGTCAATCTTCTCTTTCTTGGCCGCTTACACTCTCCATACACTAGAAAAGGATTAGTAACTCAGTTGTTCTCGTTCTGTGATCAGTGCAACGATTAAGGATTGTATTTACAACTTATGCTTTTGGAGCTCTCCATCATTTTTCATAGGAACACTCCCATAGTACTTACCGACATTATTGGTTTACTGAAGGACCATAAACAGAAGAAAACTATCGGTTTAAAGGACCACTATAGTGCCAGGAAAACAAACTCTTTTTCCTGGCACTATAGTATTAATATGTCCCCCCCCCTCCCGCCGGGCTGAAGGAGGAGGAAGGGGTTAAAATCTCCCTCGGCGCTGGGGACTCTCCTCTTCCTTCGGTCGTCATCGGCTGAGCCACGCGCGCATTCAGTCAGTCCATAGGAAAGCATTCTCAATGCTTTCCTATGGACGCTGGCGTCTTCTCACTGTGAAAATAACAGTGAGAAGCGCGGAAGCGCCTCTAGCGGCTGTCAATGAGACAGCCACTAGAGGCTGGATTAACCCATATGTAAACATAGCAGGCAGAGTTAAACCTAGATGGACCTGGCCTATAGTGGTCCTTTAAAGGACCATTCTAGGCACCCAGACCACTTCAGCTTAATGAAGTGGTCTGGGTGCCTGGTCCAGCTAGGGTTAACCCATTTTTTTTATAAACATAGCAGTTTCAGAGAAACTGCTATGTTTATAAATGGGTTAATCCAGCCCTCAAATCCTCTAGTGGCTGTCTCATTGACAGCCGCTAGAGGCGCTTGCGTGATTCTCACTGTGAAAATCAGTGAGAACACGCAAGCGTCCATAGGAAAGCATTGTAAATGCTTTCCTATGACACCGGCTGAATGCGCACGCAGCTCCTGCCGCGAGGGCGCATTCAGCCGAAAGGGAGGAGAGGAGGAGGATCGGAGGCGGAGGGCTCCCTGCCCGGTGCTGGAGAAAGGCAAAACACTGCGCCAATAAGCATCGCTGAACGGAGGAGCACTGTGCAGCACTGACCCAGGACCCTCTAGTGGCCGTTTGATTGACTGTCACTAGATGTGTTCCTAGGCAGCAGTGTAAACACTACCTTTTCTAAGAAAAGGCAGTGTTTACATTGAAAAGCCTGTGGGGACAAGCGATAGACACCAGAACTACATTAAGCTATAGTGGTCCTGACTGCATTTAAGAATTGCATTTTTCTCGTTTAAAATGAAACTTTGTTAGTTGATTTATTTATTTATTTTTAAACCTGGCTCCTAACGTTTTTAGTTGGCTCCTATAGTCTAAAAAGTGTGTCAAGCCCTGGGTTCTGTGGCATTTTTGTGTTACAAACTCCAGATTGACAGAAGTAAAAGTATGTATAATTATTTCTAAACAACTAAATGTACACGTGACTGTTTAACCTTCTTTGCCTGCTCATTTTCATTTGTATTTTGGTTAAAGGATCACTATAGTGTCAGGAAAAGCAGTGTTCCTGACACTATAGTGCTCTGAGGGTGCCCCCACCCTCAGGGTCCCCCTCCCGTGGAGCTTACCTTAATCTAGCGCAGGGCTACCTTGGCGCTGATGACCTCTCTTCCCCGTCCGACGTCAATGGAGCCGAATGCGCATGCGCGACAAGTGCCGCGCGCGCATTCAAAGTGTCCATAGGAAAGCATTTCTCAATGCTTTCCTATGGACGCTTTGCGCGATGGAGGCGAAATTTGCCTCCAGCATCGCAGATGCGCCTCTAGTGGCTGTCCAGAAGACAGCCACTAGAGGCTGGATTAACCCCAAATGTAAACATAGCATTTTATCTGAAACTGTTATGTTTACATGCGAAGGGTTAAAACCTGAGTGACCTGGCTGAAGGGACATTTAGCTGAAGTGGTCTGGGTGACTATAGTGTCCCTTTAATATAACTGTTTAAGAGGCTTGCAGGTCTTTACGTGAGACTTAAAAATGTGGGTTGGGGCAAATGAAATGCTAGTTGTGTATTCACTTGAGCAATTCAATGAAAAATGTCTGAAGTATTAAAATGGTGAAACAACTGAAATAACCTTGACAATTATATCTTACAGGTCACCAGGAGATACTCATTCAGATAACCTAGAAAATAGCCGGATGTAAGTAAAACTCTTTCGAAAATGTTTCACTTTACGTAAACCAGCTTGAAAGCAGTTTCCCCCTCCCCCCCCCTCTCTCTCTCCATAATGTTTACCAGGTTTCTGACTACTTTTCATCAAGATTGCAATGATCATTGATTAAATATTCTTATTTTTGTAGCATTGAACAGTATGCCATTAGATAGCTTTGTTCAATTGAAATTTAGTATAGTAAGTGAACAGTACAATAAAAATATGCATTATAGATTCCTATAGCAGTGATCGTTACCCACAAACAATGCAATGCAAGTCCTACGAGAATCTCAAGCTGCTTTTAATAAAGAATGTGCATAAGAATTTCTAGCTCCATTGCATCCTTATTCCAATTAAATTTGCATAAGAAAGATATTTAATCCTTTATCTGTGTGCTGCACACACTAGTTTATAGACGTTCCCTCCATTTAAAACGAGATATCCACCATGTGGAACATCTTGAGTAACTAAGTATTGCCTCTAGTACTGACCCATTAGAATCTAAAGCTGACCTATTATTGAGTATTATTTACATTTAATCAAAATTAAATTTGCTCCTGGAAGTCTATCCAGCTTGGGGCGGGGGAAGGGGTTCCTGAACCACTTTATGCAAATTAATCCAAGGTACAAATTACATCTGTCTATCCATTGATTTTTATTTTGTAATTATGTATATTTAGTTTAGCAACTTCTGAGTGCTTTGTTTGTTGTTTTTTTTTTTTTTTTTTTCTTTAACCATCCATTCTTAATTTTTTAATGTCTTTTCTTCTATTATTAATCATTTTAGACAACTTTTTAATGTTTGGTTTAAGTGTGGTATAATATAAAACTATATGCTTTTCTGCATGGGGAACTTGACACATACATGATCTTGAGCTGAAACCTCATGCATGCTTTTTGTTTTGCAAAAGTTGGAAATGAGGATGTTCCTGGACTGGATATTGCAGTGGTGTGGATGAGGCATTTTAAAAAGGCACAAATCATAGGGAACAAGCATGTGCTCCTCGAATGGGTGTATTTATAGAACCATTTGCTGGATAGTTGCCATGTTTTGCATGTCTGGAGACATTACAAAGTGCCTTTAGAGAGTAGGTTTGCAATGTGTCTTTAGTGGCTGTTCATGGTTTTGCTGAGAGCAGTGTAGCAATCTCTCAACACTAAGAAAATAAAATCCTGATGTAGAGCAGAATAATCATTTTTGGTGTATATGGTATGCATTTTTAATGTATTTGTCAGGTAAACGTCAATGAATGACATATGCTAGTCGTAGTTTTGCTTCAATGCTTCCTTTAACTACATGCATACTTAGAAAGACAGCGAAATATTTTTTTTATATATATGAATATGGGACTGGCTGAATATACCGGGTTTGCCACACAATCCTTGAATAATTTATTAGAAAATCGGTTTAAATTATGTATTTTATGTACTATATTTGGTTTATTGCCCGCTGACATTCTATGTACAAAACGTTGATTTATAATAAGGCAGTGTTTAAAAAAAAAAAAAATACATATATATATATATATATATATATATATATATATAAAATAAAAAAGAAGTGCTCAGAATATGCAACTCTGTAAAATTCCAAGTCAGTGTGAAAACAAATCAATGAAAGCCAATTTCCTGAGCAGTGTTTAAACACTGGGAAATGCGAGGATGGAATAAGAAGTAACATACTTTGTGCACCTGACAAGCAGTACCTACATATTATCATAGACTGAAAGTGCTTGATTTAACCCCTTAAGGACACATCATGGACATTTTCCATCATATTGGCCTTTTACTTCTGAAGCTGTGGCCGGAAGGGGGTTAATATGAGGTAATTGTGACTACAAAATGATTCAAAGACAAGAAAGAGATGGGTGTTTTTAAAGTTACACTGCAGCGCTCTGTAGTGATTATAGTTCCAGGTGTTCCCTGGCACAGACCCTCCACTTTGTACGTAGTCAAACTGTTTAGAACAGTTTGATTTCTCACCTGGTGTACACTGGGCTTTGCTCCCTGCCTCGACTACATCAGACAGAGAGCCAGAAGCTCCCTCTTTGAGCTAAGCCCTGCAGTTCAGGACTTACCTCATTGCCCGAGAGCAATCAGCCAGCCCTCTTAATGAAGTAGCCCTGCACTGCAAGGCTTGGCTCACGAGTATTAACTAACTGAAGCTCCTACTTACGTGCTTCTTCTCTGCCTTAAGTTGTGGAGGGTGGGTAGTGGCACCCAGTGGATCCCAGGTAAGAAGTCAAAAACGGTTTACCTACAAACAAGTGGGTGCTAGAACATTACATTACAGCAGACTACAGTTGTTATGGTGCGTGAACTATTCCTTTAATGCAACTGCAGTTAAACTGTTACTCTATTATTTAGGCTTAAAAACCAGAAAACAGCCATCTATTGCTTTCCTTGGGTTCCATGCCTTAACCAATAAAATAAGTTTTTCTTGCACAAATACAACATGCAGAAGTGATTGCACTAAAATGACCATTAAAGGAGCAATATAGGGTCATGAACACAAACATGTATTCCTGACCCTATAGTGTTAAACCCTCAATTTAGATGGCTTGTTCCCCCTCAGCCCCTTTAAAAGGGATTAAAACACACCTTGTTTTCAGCGCCGAGCAGGTCCACCAGCGCTGGTCCCACCCTGATCCGCCTCTTTGATGACATCATCAGAATTGCAGATTTTTAATTTTTTTGGGCCAATACAAGGCTTTCCCATATGGAAAGCATTGGATTGGCTAAAATCACCACGTAGGTGGGATGGGGGCATGGCCAAACAGCGTTTTGGCCAATCAGCACTTCCTCATAGAGATGCATCTCTATGAGGGAAATTCAGCGTCCCCATGCAGAGCGTGGAGACACTGAACGGCAGTGGTGCCTACTGTGCAGCACTGCCCCAGGAAGCATCTCCAGTGGCCATGTGAAGAGTGGCCATTTGGAGGTGTCCCTAGTGGCAATGTAAACACTTTTCTTTGAAAAGGCAGTGTTTACATTGCCCCTAGGGACTAGTGATGTCCCGAACGGTTCGCCGCAGACTCTTCATTGAGTAAACTTTGACCCCGTACCTCACAGTAAGCAGACACATTCCAGCCAATCAGCAGCAGACCCTCCCTCCCAGACCTTCCCACCTCCTGGACAGCTCACTAAGAATGCAGCTTCACAATGAATGTAAAATGGATGCTGTCCAGGAGGTGGGAGGGTCTGGGAGGGAGGGTCTTCTGCTGATTGGCTGGAATGTGTCTGCTGACTGTGAGGTACAGGGTTAAAGTTTACTCAATGATGAATCCGCGGCGAACCGTTCGGGACATCACTACTAGGGACACCTCCAAATGGCCTTTGAAAGGGCAGTGTTTGCATGAAAATGTCTGAAGGCAATGATTATACTCACCAGAATAACTACATTAAGCTGTAGTTGTTGTGGTGACTATAGTCTCCCTTTAAGGCCAAAAGAGCATTGAATGTTTGAATGTTCAGAGTATTGAATGTTCCACAAGGAACTGTTAAAGGACCACTCCGGGCACCACAACAACTTAATTAGAATAAAATTTATGCTGCAACGAGATCCCAGCACAAACTTACCTTTGTGGTTAAATCTTAAATGAGCAGCTCTGACCCTCACTTCACCAGGTGCTGCTGGTGAAAAGTTCTGTATCTTTTTTACTCTATTTTTGTGAATAGGGAGTTACTGATGGGCTGAAAGCGTCAACTGATCTCAGCCTATCAGCACTATCCTGTATGAGGCTTCCTGATTGAAACCTTGCACTGAAATGGAAGTAAAGGGGCCGAGCAGACGGCAGCTGATTCAAGATTTTGTGGTGTAACTATTTAACTGAAATAAATCCGGAAAATATGTTCCCAATTTTTTTTTATTGTAAATTTGAATAATTTAATACATAATTCAATTTGTTTACAAATATTCACCTAGAACCACTCACTAGAAACCCTATTATTTGTACCCACTAAATGTAAAACATGTAGTAATACACAGATTAAAATCTTAAAGCAATGTACTGGTGACTCCTCTCTATCATGAGCCGTTTCAACATTTCCATGTCTTCATCAAAATGTCATTCTGTCATAATACGCACTTGGAGATTTTATGGTGACAGTCACTTTAAATTTACCACTGCATCTGGATAATCCAGTATATGAATATACTGCACAAACAATGGCAACATGATACATGAAATTACTTTCAAATTGGATTTGTGTCTAAAATGAAACTAAAAAGTAAAACAAAATATTTAGCTTGTGCAGCACTGAAGTTCAGTGTCTCCACATCCTCCATGCAGTTGCTAAATGTTCCTCATAGAGAAGAATTGATTTACTGCATCTCTATGGTGCAGCATTTTGCTGCCCATGCGCAGTAGCCTCCTAATGTTTTCTTCTGCGAAAGCTTTGGATTTACTGAGATCATCAAGTTTGCTGCCACCAGGCTAATGAGAAATCTATTATTTAATGGCCCCGTATCATTTAATTACACAGGCCTATTGTGCATTTTTGCAGTTCCTTATCACCTGGAGAAAATGGAAACCAAATTATGGTAGGGGCACGCTAAACACCCAAATTGCAGTGGTTTTAGTCTGTGCTTGCCATCCCTGGTTATTGTTCAAACAATACTTAAGTTCTTTGACATAAATGATGGCTCTCTTCAGCTCACATAACCTATCCCTCTGAGGCTGCTCTGGTAAACTCCTACTCTTTTAGGCTATTGTTACTGCCCAAGATTAGACCCTTACGTACAAATGTTGCTTAAATAGTATTAGTGTAGCCCTGGTTTGTGCTATTCCACTCAAAATGGTGTCATACAGTGAGCTGAATTGGTTATGGTGCTTAGAGTGCCACTTTAATACCAATGTTTCAAACTTTCATTAAACCATTGCCAGAGATGATTTTCGAGAGTACCTTATGCATGCACAGCTGACGTTCATACAATATTTCTGCATGCAATTTTATATTTCCATGGCAGTTTAATCCTTTATTTTACCTTGATAATTCAAAATTCATCTGCTCTCTAGGGATGGATTTCCATAACAGTTGTGGAAGTTTAGTCATTAAATGTTCCAACAACTGTTTTTTGTTCTTTTGTATGACTTAAATCAGTAGAAAGTAGTCTGTAGGTATTGTGTGCGTTTCTAACAATGTTTAACAATTTTGATTATTGTTTTATGTATATTTTAATTACACTTGGCAGGTTTCCAATTGTTTTCTCTTCATTGGTTTTTGTGGGGATTGATTATTATGTTGTGAATTAACAAACACTGAACAATGGCTTCAATGAAATAGGCAAATGTATTAGTTTAGCTTTAAGCATTAATATTCTATTGCTTTGCATTTAAAGTGTCTGTCACACACACTCACTCCAGCATGTCAGCTTGCTGAAGTGTTTTGTGTGTCTGGAGTCTGCTATTTTTAACCGTTTATAAAATGCCAATTTCAGCAAAAATGTACACTTTTTTTTTTAATTGGGGGACAGAAAACCCCTCCTTGGCTGTCAATCAGACTGCCGGGAAAGTTTTCTTCTTCTTCATCTGTTGGTTCGACTGAGCGAATGGAAGTAGCAGACACGGCTGGATTCCCCTCGTCTCAATAAGCTGTACTATGTTTCATTAAGAAGCATTGAGAAACCTCTCATTGGTCAATTACCAACACAGGCTGCAATTCTGTGCCTGGCAAAGATGAGAGGGCTTGCAAAAGGCTTCAGATATCGCCAAAGAAAACGTGCATGGATAAAATACATGTATGTTTTCTTTGGCCGTACATTTACTACATTGAAAAAAATATCAGTTAAAGGACCACTATAGTGCCAGGAAAACATACTCGTTTTCCTGGCACTATAGTGTTAGGGTGCCCCCACCCTCAGGGTCCCCCTCCCGCCCGGCTCTGGAAGGGGGAAAGGGGTTTAAACTTACCTTTTTCCAGCGCTGGGTGGAGAGCTCTCCTCCTCCTCTCCGCCTCCGTTACGACCCGCCGGCTGAATGCGCACGCGCGGCAAGAGCTGCGCGCGCTTTCAGCCGGTCTCATAGGAAAGCATTTACAATGCTTTCCTATGGACGCTGGCGTGCTCTCACTGTGATTTTCACAGTGAGAAGCACGCAAGCGCCTCTAGTGGCTGTCAATGAGACAGCCACTAGAGGCTTTGGGGGAAGGCTTAACCCATTCATAATTTATAGCAGTTTCTCTGAAACTGCTATAATTATGAAAAAATGAGTTAACCCTAGAAGGACCTGGCACCCAGACCACTTCATTAAGCTGAAGTGGTCTGGGTGCCTAGAGTGGTCCTTTAAGTGATCCTTTAATATGCATTCGCTGATTGCTGTAATATCGATTGCCGTTATTGATAAAGTGGATTTAGAAGCTTGTACACTAATGCAGTGGCCATTATAGCGAGAATTGTCACTCTAGCTGTATCATATTGACTTTATTATCTGGCTCACTGAAACTTTCCATTATCTGAAACTGTTCGTGCATTTACTATATATTTTAAATAATTTCATCATGTGTTACTGTTTAAATGCCAAACTAACACTGCTTCACTAACAATGTGAATGAGCTTGGTATATGAAAGCTGTACTAATCCACATGCCTGTTTGAATGTTTGGTACAGGAAGCGAGCAGCTGCCAAGCATCTAATAGAACGCTACTACCACCAGTTAACTGAGGGTTGTGGAAATGATACCTGCACGAATGAGTTTTGTGCTTCCTGTCCTACTTTTCTTCGTATGGATAACAATGCAGCAGCCATTAAGGCCCTCGAGTTATATAAGGTTAACGCAAAACTCTGTGATCCTCATCCCTCCAAGAAAGGAACCACCTCATCCTATCTAGAAAACAACTCGAAAAGTGCCCATAACAACTCGTGCACAGAAAGAAAGATGAACAGGAAAGAAGTACACGGACCGCGTGATGACTTTAAAGGTAATACCTACAGAATGTTTAAATGCAGCAATGGACTCCTAGTGTGCTAGGACTCTGGGGGGTAAAACAAAATTTACAACAAAAATAAATTGAATATTCTGTCTACAATAACTGTATTGGTCAGGTTTCTTTTATCTTCTCTATTGATCTGGGGTGATTAAATTTTTAAATCAGACAATATGTATGTATGTATGTGCATTATAGAATGTGCAATTGTGTCTATATCTAGATATAGACAGATTTCTGATCAGCCTTAAAATTTCAAATTCTTTACTTATTCAAAACCCATTTACTTGTCACTGCGAAGTTATCTCTGGAAATGGACAGGGATGTAGAACGTGCAGATATCAACCCCATATAACGTGAATATCATTTTACAAATCCTTGGAGTTGCAGGAATGCTGTGCAGTTGGACGTGCACTATATATATGTATTTATATCTATGTTGCAGCAAATGGTAACAAAAACCCAGCAGCTTCTGATGCTGTTCCTACTTTAAGTGTTTACCATTTTGAACAGTTTACCACTGTGGCAACACATAGCCCATGCACCGGTGGAGGTATGGCTAAAGCAAAGATTACACACTTCCTTCTAGACTGATATCAGCGATAAGTGATGTTGACACTCTCAGCCTACCACAGCCACTCACTACTGCTCAGGCTGTTTCCTCATTAGCCCAAGTACCAGAGAGGGGTTAGGCTGCTGCTCTGCCTCTAGCTTTAAAAACTTTTAACTTTTACCTCTGAATAAAAAGGAGCACTGCAGGAAACTCTAGACACTGTAACCTCTTCAAAGAGATGAAACATTTTCAGTGTCCTTTTAAATAAGCAATATGAAGGGTAGACATTGCAAGAGCGTAAGGGATGAAGATTTTGTAGTAGGGGATTTATGCGTGAAGTAGGGTCAAGTCAAGAGACATTGATTCCATATCTGATTGTGTTACTCCCCTGCCACTCAGAGTTGTGACTCTGGGTTGCTTGTCTTTTATTTCTGCCCAGCTGTATGTGTATAGAAATAGGAGAGAAGAAACATATTTGCAGGTCTCTCCCATAAAGCCATCGTATCTTGTCAGAAGGCTGGTTGTTCTCCCTTCACCATTCTTCATTTACCATGTGTAGAGTGAGTCACCACTCAGAGGCAGGCTTGGCCATAGTGGTGAAAGGGAGTATATATGAAGGAGGGGGGCTTAAATGGTTACTCCAATCACCATGATCACTTCAGTGTTTTGAAGTGGTTATGATTGTAGAAGTCATTCTGCTTGAAGCACTGACAATAAAGTTATTTCCACTTGTGTGCTGGGGCTAGTTACACCCCCATCCCCAACACTCGTGATTTTGCTCCGGGCTGTCAGAAGGCGTTTCTGTGCATTAAATACATCCGTTGTCTGACAGCACACTTACAGTGAATGTATTGAGCTTCCTGCAAGGGAAACAGTTTTTCTCCCCTCCCTCCTAGAGTTGAGCCTCCGCCGCTTCCCTATAAAATCGATACTGCTATTTTTTTATTTTTTTTAAATTAAATAAATTCCCCACTCCCTCTCACCTCAGTGGCACATATTGCTGGTGAAATAGTCCAATCACAGCCTTCTTTATGAAAAGCTTGTGATTGCACTGTGTGAAACCCTAACTGATGTCAGGAAGGAACGTAGATTCCTGGCTAGTAAATTATTATTAATAATTTATTTATTTTTTTACCGGTTCATAGCATAGTGGTTGGGTCTACTTAACCCCTTAAGGACGGCGGGCGTTCTATGCCGTCCTTAAGGAACCGTCTCTAAACGCCGGAGGGCGGCATAGAACGCCCAAACCGTCCTTTGTACTTACCCGGTGGCCGGCGATGGCGATATGGGGACTTACCTGGGAGTCCCAATCCATCCTCTTCGCCCGCTGAATACAAATATTAGTGTTTCAAAACAGTAACATGTGTTACGACGATATTGTCAGTGAAAGTGACATTTTTTGCATTTTTCACACCCAAATGGCACTTACACGGACAATATAATTGTTGTGATACGTTTTACGGTTTTGAAACACTAATATTTGTGTTCAGCGAAGTCTCCTGAGTATAACAGTACCCCTCATGTACATGTTTTATGGTGTTTTCAAAAGGTAGAGAGTAAAATATAAGGCTTGCATTTCAGTTTTTTCACATTGAACTTCGCCAGATTGGTTACGTTGCCTTTGAGACTGTACGGTAGCCCAGGAATTAGAATTACCCAAAAGTAGACAACCCAAGGTATTGCAAATGGGGTATGTCCAGTCTTTTTTTAGTAGCCACTTAGTCACAAACACTAGCCAAAATTGACTTTCAAATCAGTTTTTTGCATTTTCAAATATTAACACTAACTTTCTATATAAAATGTAACATGCTATATTTGACCCTGTAACTTTCCAAAACACCATAAAACCTGTACTTAGGGGGTACTGTTTTACACGTGAGACATCCCTGAATACAAATATGTGTATTTTATTGCAGTAAAATCAAACAGTATTATGACATTCACAGTTAGAATGTCACGTAGAACTAAACATTTTTAAAAATTCTTATTTTCTCCCATTTTTTAAATATTTTATTCATATTAAATTATGTTTTATACCTAAATATTTGATGTTAAATGAAAGCCCTGTTTCCCCTGAATAAAATAATATATAATGAGTGTGGGTGCATATAATATGAAAGAGGCGAATAACGCCTGAACAGACATATAGCGCAAATTCAAGTTTTTGTTTACATTTTGTTTTGATCACAACATGTACATTTGGCTCAGTCCTTAAGGGGTTAATAGTGCCCAATAGCACATTTTATATAGAAAAAGGTCCACCCCCTTCCAAAAAATAAAATAAAGGGGGGTTGGAGTAACACTTTAAGAGGGCAGTGTTGAAAACCAATCATCTTCATCTGTTATTTTTTCTGCTGCTTACGAATAACTAATAATAACGAATAATACTTACTTTCATCTTTCTCAGAACATCATTTCACTTATATTTTTGTTTCTTGTAACTTATGAATTGTCCAGTGATTCATGTGCTTTTTTGGGTGTGTCTAAGTTTGTTGTGTTTTAGAATTTAAAGAAACACTATAAGCATCATAACTAATTTAGCTGCATAGAGTGGTTTTGGTGTATAGATCATGCCCTGCAGTCTAACTGCTCAATTCTCTGCCATTTCAGATCTAAATCACTTTGTTTATGGAGCCCTAGTCACGACTTCCCTGCTTGTGACCTACACAGTCTCCCTACACATTTACTGTGAAGATAGATCTAATGTTTAATTGTCCTTTATTGCACAGTGTGTTTAATTTAGAATTTCTTATATCCTGCTTTGTTAATAGCCTGCTATAGTCTGCAGGATTCTCCTGTGCGTTTGATTAATGTTCAATTAACATAGCAAGAGTTACAAATTTCTAAAGTAAATACACTGCACTGACTGAATATTAAAACTTTTTTGTTGTGTGTGATGTTTGAGTGTGTGGCTAAGACGGCATAAACAGAAAAAAACATGATATAACTCCTAAATGTCAGAGAATTGAGCAATTGATATAATCTAAAAACAAGGTGGATTGATTTGTTTGTTGTTTTTTTTTTTACAGTGTACAAAAAATGTTTGTTTAATGTATGTATGCTAGTATTTTTCTTTTTCTGTGTTCCAGATGTGGCTTTCTTATCAGAAGAAAAGGTGTATGAAATCCTTGAATTATGTAGAGAAAAAGAGGACTACTCTCCTCTTATTCGAGTAATTGGTAGAGTTTTTTCCAGTGCCGAAGCCTTAGTTCAGAGCTTCCGAAAAGCTAAACAGCATACAAAAGAAGAACTAAAATCCTTGCAAGAAAAGGATGAAGATAAGGATGAAGATGAGAAAGAGAAAGCTGCCTCATCTGCTGCTGCTATGGAAGAAGATTCTGCCGCATCGTCCTCAAGGTTAAGTGACAATGCACAAGGAGATAACAACATTCATAAATTAGGTCCAGAAGAAGTGTCACTAGATATTGAAGCAGTTAGACGGGTCTACCACAGGTTACTTTCTAATGAGAAAATAGAATCTGCTTTTCTTAATGCACTTGTGTACCTTTCTCCCAATGTGGAATGTGACTTAACTTATCATAACGTTTATTCTCGAGATCCCAACTATCTCAATTTATTCATAATTGTGATGGAGAATGGTAATCTCCATAGCCCAGAATACCTGGAAATGGCTCTACCATTGTTCTGCAAAGCAATGAGTAAATTGCCCCTGGCAGCACAGGCAAAGTTGATCAGACTCTGGTCAAAGTACAGTGCTGATCAGATTCGACGAATGATGGAAACGTTTCAACAACTGATCACATACAAGGTTATAAGTAATGAGTTTAACAGTCGCAATCTAGTTAATGATGATGATGCTATTGTTGCCGCATCAAAATGCTTGAAAATGGTTTACTATGCAAACGTTGTGGGGGGAGAGATTGAAACCGATCACAATGAAGATGAAGACGAGGAGCCCATCCCTGAATCCAGTGAACTAACCCTTCAAGAACTTCTAGGGGAAGAACGAAGAAATAAAAAAGGCCCTAGAGTAGACCCTATTGAAACGGAGTTGGGTGTTAAAACTATTGATTGCAGAAAACCGCTCATCCCTTTTGAGGAATTTGTTAATGAACCATTAAATGATGTTCTTGAAATGGACAAAGACTATACGTTCTTTAAAGTGGAAACTGAAAATAAATTCTCCTTTATGACCTGCCCTTTTATCCTGAATGCAGTAACAAAGAATCTGGGTTTATACTATGATAACCGAATCCGCATGTACAGTGAGCGTCGAATCACTGTGCTCTACAGTCTAGTGCAAGGACAGCAACTTAATCCTTACTTGAGGCTCAAAGTCCGGCGGGATCACATAATTGATGATGCACTTGTTAGGGTAAGTTAAAAAAAAGTTTACTATTTATTTACCTCTAATTCTTCCTATTTACCATTACACCTAATTTCATGTAAGAATTATTCCTGGATAGCTCCAATTCAATGTGCATTGTATACTAAGATAGGATCCACACACTTTCAATTGTTAAAGTTAACGCTACAAAATGTAAAAATAATAAATTATTGAATTGTTTGTGAAAGGCTTTTGTATTTAAAGAAGATTTAAACATTGTATGTCACTGACCCTATATTGAGAGACTTTATTTTGTCAATAACTATCAATAATAGGCTAATTCCTAGCAGGTATATATCTCTTCACCACCAAATAGCTGAAGCCATGCTAGTGATGTTTTAGGCAGATGGAATCAAATTATACTGACACTTTCTCTTAATTCCAGCACCTGTTTGACTTGTGGGTTGTTTTTTCTGCCTAGGCAATAGAACCAAAAGTTCTTTACTAATGTTTATCCTTCCATTCGAACAGAATCAGACCTGTTTGCCATGCCTCATGTACTGACTGTTCTAAATATGTTTACAAGCCCTCATAATGACAGAACCAAGAAATTCTCATGCCAAAATTCCAGTCAAAGGAAATGTAGAAAAGACACTCGCTTGGTTGATCTGTTTCTGGAGATTGGCTTCTGCCCCAGATATTTAGCATTAAATTTAAAATAAAGTTGTTCCACTCTCAAGGTTTAATGGTGGCTACTGTGGTAGTGAACATTGCTGGGTCCACCTGTTGAGACTTGGTTAAAAAAAAACTTTACTTACCATGAATGCTTAACAACTTTTTTTTTAAAGCCAAATTTCCAATGGGAGAAAAGCTGGGATCGCTTTTTTCTCTGAAAAATATCTACAAGAGACAGCTGGTTGCTGAGTCAGCATTACAAAATCTAGTTTTTCAAGCCCCCCTCTGCAAAGTTTTTAATTTCTTCTGTTTGATTCATGAATCTTCAAGTTATTCTAACAAGATGGTCTCAATCAATTTATGAAAGCTCCCTGTGAAAAGGCAGCAAAAGATGTAGCTCAAATTTTTCCAATAAAAATAAAAACTAATTACTTATTTTGACTGACACAGATTTAACACTGTAAGTAAATATACTAAAAAGAGAGATTCTCATGAACACAATATCTTTTGTATTTTAAATTCTCAGGAAAGACAACACGTTGCTTCCAGAGATCTCATAGGTGCTTTTGCGCATTCACATCTGTCCTTCATAAGGGAAATCCTTGCATCTGGCTTTGTTAGTTAAAGGAAAAGTCAAGAACATTCCATTTTTATACTTGCCTTTTGGGCTCAGCAGAAGAAGTAAAAATCAGCACTTATTTATTTGGAGTGCCCTATCCCCATACTTGCATGGCACTAACTTTTGGACTGTCATTGCTACCCTGAATCTTCACAAAGATCTTGAAATTGTTGGCAGCAAATCTAAGCATACAGGTGATCCATGTAGTTCCCTACCTTCCTTGGTGACTGACTTATGAAAGTCATCTCCAGCTTTCCTCTGATTTCACCAACCTTGAATTTTGTGAAACAAGCAAAGATCATGAAGTTTAATATTTTCCAATATGCTTTTTAAGAACAGCAATGCAGGTCCCACGGCTTTTGACAACATCTCTGGTTTGCTTCTGTGCAGGAAGTGAAGCAGGAAAGACCCAAACAAATGCTTTCAAAAGCCCTAGAACCTTCATTGCTATACTTAAAAAGCATACTGGAACATTCTGAGAGAAAGACAAATAAGATTTCTTGATCTTTGTTTCAGAACACTGTCTGACCTAAGGTGCATGTATATCACTGAAGGATCCTGCCATCTAATAAATGCAGTGATTTATTATTTTTTTCTCTCCTTTTTTATTTTTAATATACTTAATTTAAAATATATATATATATATATATATATTCCTTTCAAAAACTGATGATTATTATCTTAATTATGAGGTGAAATTGTCTGGTTTTAAGCTCAGTTGGACTGATTCCTCGGGAAGATCACGGTGGATGGGACCCTCTGTTACTGCAACCCTATGCTTTTTGCACAGGAGGTCCTGGTTTACTAATCTTCTCAGACTGTCCAAGGGCATTTGCTAGAGATTTCCTATTCTACCAGAGGTTCTCCTCAATCCAAACTCAGTGCAATGCCAGTGAGCTTGCATATCTGTATCATCCATGTGGTTGAGGAGATTCATCAATGTAGATATAGGAGACTAGATATCTTTTAGAATATATTATTACTATAGATAGTGTGGCCTTGGAATTTAATTTATTCAGAATTTCATTTTTTGTGAGGTGATGTTTTACATTTACAATCTCTTTCTTCAGCTAGAAATGATTGCCATGGAAAACCCTGCTGATCTGAAAAAGCAATTGTATGTGGAATTTGAGGGAGAACAAGGAGTAGACGAAGGAGGTGTTTCTAAAGAATTTTTCCAACTTGTTGTAGAAGAAATTTTTAACCCTGACATTGGTAAGCATTGACATCATTGTGTGACATACATGCGCTTTATTCACCTCTATGGCAACATATGCTGTTTTTTGTATGTAATTCACTTTTTGAGATCATAATTTTTGTTGGGCATTAAATCACTAACATACTTTTATATCTGACTGCGCAAAGTGGGTAGGTCACCTAAAACTTTCTTTTCTCCTATTGTTTCCTCTTATCTTCCTCTTTCCCAATCTGTTCTTATTTTCTGATCTATTTCTTAAAACATAAGACCATGTATTTTTCCTACGCTTAACAAATGTGACAAATTGGTGGAGCTTAAAGGGATACTATAGTGCCAGGAATACAAAGCTGTATCCCTGGCACTATCGCTCCCCCCTCCCTCTCTTGGGATAAAATCTGACGCTGGATGTCCTCCTGCAGAACATGAGGACGTCCAGCGTCAGATACGAGACCAAAGGTCCGTTTTGACCCAGGAAGCGCCCACAGTGGCTGTTTGGTAGACAGCCACTTGGGGCAGACTTAGAGCTGCAATGTAAACATTTTCTCTGGAACTGCAATGTTTTACATTGCAGCACCTAGTGCAAAAGGTACACTGCACCCAGACCACTTCAATAAGCTGAAGTGGTCTGGGTGCCTGTAGTGTCCCTTTAACCAAGCTCCACTTCTTTTGTCACAAAAATTTCTTCCACATTACTCACCTTTCTGTCCTTTCTCCTTGGCCTTGCAAGACCTTTGTGCGTCATTTCTACTAATAGGAGACTTCAGCTATTCATCCAAAAGATGAATGAACGATTACAAATTACAACGAATGAAACTTGCTGGACAAAATTTCTTTGGTTTATTAATTTTATTTACAAGGAGGGAGCTACCAGCTCACAGCTCCTTCATTGTAATATTTAAAAGGGACACTATAGTCACCTACACAACTACAGCTTATTAGTCCCTTCAGCCTTTTTGTAGGAAACACAGTCTTTTCAGAGAAAAGGCAGTGTTTACATTACAGCCTTGAAATGCTTCCACTGGCCGTCCTCGGATGCTCACTGTACAGCACTGTCATTCAGTGTTTCCACTCTCTGTATGGAGACACTGAACTTTCCTCATAGAGATCAGATTGGAATAAGGGTAAGATTTTACTTTGCGCGGTGGAGGGTTCCTAAATTCCTCAAAGCCCCTCTCACCCTTGGCCTATGGGTATACTATGACCCCCATATTAGTTAAGGGAGGTAAAATCTTCTCTCCTGCCCCTACCTTCCAAGCTGCGATTAGGGGCATGTCTGTTAAACAGCGAGCAGCCAGTGAAAAACTCTTTCATCAGAAAAGGTTAGCGACTATAAAGCGGGACCTAGCATTGATCCCACAATGCCCCACGGTGGGGAACATAATAAAATAACTAACTTGAGGAAACATTTTCAGAAAAAGTATGATTCTAAAATCTGATGCGAACAATGCTGTATTTTTATCCTTGTAATAAGGATAAGCCTGGTTAAAGCAGCACTGTCATGTCGAACTTACCTTTTCCCAATCGATTCCTCTTCTCTCCCTCTGTTAGGATCAGTTCTTAATTTCTTCCTGTCTGTCCTAATTTTCTTTAAAACTTAAGACAAAGTAGGGGCTATTTTGTCTTATGGAGGTTTCCTACGCCAGACCAGCGGTGGAGCAAAGTGTGCTCCGTTTCCTGTTGTCAGAGAAATTTTCCCACAATTCTTACCATTCCTCCGTGATTTTGCAATGCTTCCTGTCCGTATTACCAAATGTCCTGTCATTTAGACAGGACGCTGGCGAAACTACCAAATTTCGTCCTAACAATGAGCACAGTGTGTTCATTCATGTTAGGAAGCAATTCAGGACTTTGTTTGGATCGGAATTTCATTTGAATGAATTAAATTCTGATACGATTGGTGCCGGGGCTGCATCTTGCAGCCGCTTTGTAGATAGCTCCCTTATACAGTGGGAATGAGTGAGTTATCTACAAAGTGAGGCTTCGTGAAATTGCTTTCAGCCATTTCACGAATACTAAGTAAATATTTATACGTATTACTTGGCCGAAATTCTGCCACCTATCAGTACTCACTGTTGTAAAAGCAAAAATAAATCTTGAGGACCCTACCGGGCTCGCTGTGCGCGTGCAAGTAGAAGGGCTAATGTAAACTGAAGAGGACCCACGCATTCCCTCCATGGCTGGCTGGTGGGGGGCCTTAATGAAGCCAGGGGGGGCCCTATACTTCACCTGTACAGGGAGAGCGTGGTAGGTCTTTAAAATGTCTTTGTGTAGGGGGTAGGTGACTAGGGGCGAGGTCTTTGGCCGGTCACCCAGCCAATGGCTGCTCACTGTTTATGGAAAAACATACACTACTCACAGCATAATAGCAAAAAGGCAGGGGCATTGAGGACTTTGACTGTCTTCCTTATGCTATTATGGGGGTCATTTTGACTGGTAGAAGGGAAGGGAACATGGGGGCTTAGCAAGTGGCAGGGAGCACTGCTTCCTGCAAAGCGTCTATTCACACATATTACAAGGGAGGGAGGGAGCTGTCTTGCTTGAGGTCTTAGTTCATTGGTTTGGGGAAATTTCTGGCTAGGCATTACGTCTTTTCTGATGTGTTCATCTTCATCTACCCACACCAAAAATAAAAGATTAAAAATAAGTAATGGCCAGGGGACCTATGGACATTTAAGGGGGTGACTAATTAAGACAATTAGATGAAGTGGAGTCGAGGGAGGGTTTTTTTTTTTTTTTAAAAGGGGATTAGAGCCATGACAGTGCAGCTTCAATTTAATTACTTCATAGCTTTATGTGAAGCTTATGGCGTTTTATAGAAAATGGCCACACACATGCTTTATTGTATATTTCTCATAAGTAATAAAATCAAGACTTTTATATGCAGTAATAAACGCTGCATACTTATAAACTAGATGGTAGATACGGCAAATTAAGCTTGTCTATGTTAAGCTACACTAAGGTTTAAGACAAATTGTATAATAGGGGCTTGTTGATCACAGATTTCACACTAAGCAAACTGCTTTTATATACCTAGATTTAAAGGATTAAACCAAACCAACTACTTAAAGCTAATTTTAAAATAACTACACAAAAACCCCAAGGAGATCTTTAAAGGAACACTGGTTACCTAAACAACTTTAGCTTAATGAAGCAGTTTTCGTGTATAGATCATGCTCCTTAAGTTTTACTGCTCAATTCTCTGACATTTAGGAGCTAAATCATGTTGTTTCTGTTTGTGAAGCCCTTGTCACACCTCCCCTGACTCTGACACAGCCTGCATGAAAAAATAAACTGGTTTCACTTTCAAACGTAATTTACCTTAAACAATTGTATCTCTTTCTCTATAAATTGAACTTCAATCACATACAGGAGGCTCTTGCAGGGTCTAGCAGGCTATTAACATAGGGGATAAGAAAATCTAAATTAAACAGAACTTGCAATAAAGGAAGGATAAACTGTAGATGACTCTTTACAGGAAGTATTTAGGAAGGCTGTGCAAGTCACATGCAGGGAGGTGTGACTAGGGTTCATAAACAAAGGGATTTAACTCCTAAATGCCAGATAATTGTGCAGTGAGACTGCAGGGGCATGATCTATACACCATAACTGCTTCATTAAGCTAACGTTGTTTTGGTTACTATAGTGTCCATTTAATATACAAGTAAGCAACTATATTCTTTTGTGTCTTTAAATTAATCGTAGTGTGTACAAAGCAACTATATTTCATTAATCATGCAGTCATATAATGTCCTCTATCTTTACCTGTCTATAATAATCTAAAGAGGTCAAGAGTGCATTTTGTTTCTGGCCAAATCATGATTCGATCGGAATTGGTTTTTCAGTCAAATAACTAAACAGTCCATTTACAAAGGAACCAAAATGGCCAGTGGCCAAGCCATTTTAGTTGCTTTACGTTTCCAATTTCATTATATGCCCACCAGCAGGCTAATGGTTGCAGAAAACCATCGGGGTTAATCATGTGGCGGGTGGCACCCACTTGCTAACACACCACCATTTTAGCATTTTTAACCCCTTAAGGACCGAGGATGGTTCAGGACCGTCATCGGCATTTTCCCATTGCCGACCTATGACGGTCCTGAACCGTCCTAACGGTCCTAGTTACTTACCGGATCGCTGTCGTTCCCCCGGCGCCGATCAGTGTTGCTCCACACTGGATTAGGACCCCTGTGGCCATGGGATCGCTCAACATAGCGGTCACAATAGGTGTCCATGTGTCTGCCTGCAGGGGGCCTGTCTGTGCTGACAGGCAGTCTCCCTGCTAGTGTAAAATCATTAAAAAAAAATAAAGTTAATGTTAATTTTAAAAAAAAAATAATTATATATGTGTATATAAATGATATATAGACATATATTATATTTATATAATATGTCTATATATATATATATATATATATATATATATATATATATATATAATGTCATACTAAGTGTATTTTTATATTAATATGTACATATATTAATATAAAAATATACTTATAATTAAAGTACACCCGTGTGTGTGTGTGTGTGTATATGTATGTATGTGTGTGTGTATATATATATTTTATAATGCATATATATATATATTATAAAATATAAATAAGTAATTTAAATTAAAAAATTAAAAAAAAATTTAAATTCTATATCTATATGAAATTTTATTCTAACTGTATTTTAAAATTATATAGTTATATCAAAATACACTTAGAATGAATTTGTATATATATCTATGTATATATAAATAAAAATAATACGAAATATACATATGTCCATATACAAAATTACATAAATAATTATATCAATATACACGTAGACTTCAAATATATAAATATGCATATATATTTAAATTCTATGTGCGTATTTATGTAATATTTTTACATAATTAAGTAATTTTATTGATTGCAATTTGAGGGACCTGCCTGCCAACCCAGGCCCAAATTCCAGAGAATTTAATTTGCTAGCACTGTATTTTACCCTGTAACGTTCTACGACACCCTAAAACCTGTACATGGCGGGTACTGTTTTACTCGGGAGACTTCGCTGAACACAAATATTAGTGATTCAAAACAGTAAAACATATCACAGCGATGATATTGTCAGTGAAAGTTACTTTTTTTGCATTTTTCACACACAAACAGCACTTTTACTAATGATATAATTGTTGTAATACGTTTCCCAGTTTTTAAACACTAATATTTGTGTTCAGCGATGTCTCCCGAGTAAAACAGTACCCCCAATGTACAGGTTTTATAGCATTTTTGAAAGGTCCAGGGTCAAATATTTTTACATTGAAAATGGCCAGGTTGGTTAAGTTGCCTTTGAGAGCGTATGGTACCCCAGGAATGAGAATTACTCCCATGATGGCATACCATTTGCAAAAGACAACCCAAGGTATTGCAAATGGGGTATGTCCAGTCTTTTTTAGTAACCACTTAGTCACAAACACTGGCCAAAATTAGCGTTCAATTTAGTTTTTTAACTTTTTTCACACACAAACAAATATGAATGCTTACTTTGGCCAGTGTTTTCGACTAATTAGCTACTAAAAAAGACTGGACATACACCATATTGAATACCCTGGGTTGTCTACTTTAAAAAAAAATATGTACATGTGGGGTGTTATTCAGAAATTTATGACAGATAATAGTGTTACAATGTCACTATTGATAAATTTTAAAAATGTATGTTTTGAAACCGCAATATCCTACTTGTACCTATTGCTCTATAACATGCAAAAAAAAAAGCACGTAAACACTGGGTTATTTGAAACTCAGGACAACATTTTGAATCTATTTAGCAGTTTTTTTAATTCGCTTTTGTAGATGAGTAAAAGATTTTTCAAGTAAAAGTCAAAAAACATGTATTTTTTTTTTTTCAAATTTTCATCATATTTTTTTTATTTTTTTTAAATTAAAATACATGAGATTATATAAATGATGGTATGTAAAGAAAGCCCTCTTTGTCCTGAAAAAAACAATATATAATTTGGATGGAAACAGTAAATGAGAGAGCGGAAAATTACAGCTAAACACAAACACCACAAAAGTGTAAAAAGAGGCCTGGTCGCAAATGTACAACATCGCAAAAACAGTCCGGTCCTTAAGGGGTTAATAAACATTTTGAATTTTTTTTTTTTTTTTGACATGCCCCTAGTCACCATGCCACATTTTGGGTTATTTCTATTACGCGGTAAGCAGCCAGTGACTGCTAACTGTAATTAAAAACTGGATATTGCTGCCCAGTCTCTAATAAAATACAGAGGTGACCTGGCAGAGAGCAGATGGGTGCTATTTAATAATCAATGGAAGGACATGCTATAGATCACCCCCCACACATGTACCTCATGTGGAGGGTATTTAATATCCAACTGCTGCCAACCCCTAATAAGTAAAATAAAATCCATCTACCCCTTCACTCTAAAAACAGTGAGGGGTGGCCCCATACATCTAATATCTTTAAAAATGCATCTAATACCTGTTAAATAAAATGTAATACTTACCATCAGACACTTTTTTTTTTATTTTGATTACATTTTCTTACTTTTCCTCAGCTCTCAAAAATACCTAATAAAACTCCTTAATAATGATGTGACTACTAAAAATTAAGGCCCAATTAGCAAAAAAAAAAGTAGAATTTTGTTATGTGTAAGCCAACAAATCAAAGCTTTCTGACTTAGCTTGCATATTGTGGACTGGTCCTTTGCTTGCAAGTTTATTTTTTTATTTTTATACGTCGTTGTCACGGCAAAGGTGTATAATTTATTATTACACTATGGAATATCATCTTTTAATGTAATTTGTGTAGTAAATAGCACAAATTACAGAGATGCTATTGCTGAGGTCAACAGGGGTTACATCTTTTGAAGCTGGGACCCCCACAGAGGTTAGATGACAGAAGGGGTAGTGTGAATTGAATAGCAATGTGAAAAGGATTTTACTATATGGATGTGAAGTAATCAATGATCTGCAAGGTGTGAGGTTCTACACTTGGAAAAAGTCTGAATGTCTCTTCATCCATTTGGCATGTACCTTGTAAAGGATAGTTCAATCATTTGAAATGGTAATGGGATTCGTTTCATGAAGATCCTTGTGTTCCAGTATCTTATCCAAGTGAAACATTCATACTTATCCACAGGTTAATAATTAAGCCTCATTTTTATTATATTTGGAATGGGACAAGCCCAATCTTTTAATTAAGCCCAAACATGAGTTGCACAACTTAAACCGTGTGGCAGGACTTGTGATGTCCATCCTATTGGATCGTGGGGGGGCGTGCAACATGTCTTTGGAATGGGAAAACAATAACAAATTCATAGAGGCAATTATTATTTCTGTGGCAAGTACAGTAGAGGAGATAAAACCAAGTTTATATGTGGCTTTTGGTTTCTGGAACAAAGGAGGTGGTCACCTAGTATCCCTGTTGCTCCACCCCTGGTCACAGGATATATCTCCTGTGATTCTGAAGGGTGTTTGTGTACTTGCTTGGGGCCAAGATCTAATTTTGAGTGAGTCACCATCTTTCCTTGCCAGAGACCCCCTGGACAGAAGTTGTACTTTGAAAACCTAAGTGAGTTTCTGTATTTTATCCTTTTTGTTTTTATCTGTTGTTGGTGTAAATAATTTGTTTATCATATATTGTTATATGCACTGTGATTCATTTTTGCTCATAATAAACATTCATTTATTAAGTTCTGCCTTTGTCTGGTTAAGAATCACGTTACCTGAAGAGATTAGCTAGTATTTTTGTAATTCCTTGAATATTGTACTAAGTAATATTTGGTGGGTTTTATTGTTGATTTACCTGGGGGATCAAGGCACCCCATTTATAAATTGTCTTGGTGGTGGCAGTGTTAAAATAGTAATAGTTATATTATTATGTTTAAGTGTGGGTGGTGTTAAAGGGGGATTTTGTCATTATTTCCGGTCTAGTGCAGACAAATAGTGAACTTTAACCCTTTCACAACCACAACTACGTCACACGCACTCTTGGAGTAGGGTGTGTTCGTGACAGTCGTGATTTTTTTTATTTTTTTGCTGTGTGCTTTTGTTTCTTAGAGGTGGGTGTTGTTTGCTAATAGGGTATTTTTAATCGAAGCATTGGTTATTAGATTTTTATTTGGCCTTTGTACGGCTGAAAAAAGATTTAAGAAAAAAAGGCATCTAAATGGACGTGTGTATAATACATATTTATTTACAAGTATTACAGATTATTTAAACCCCTGCTCACTATTGGTAGGGTGAGGATGGAAGTAGAATAATTATGTTTTTATGGTGGGGATTGGGGTGTAACTAGGGGCTTTAGGACCCCATGCCACATGGAGGATACTTACAGGGTTGGTACCCGGGCACACTTTTGGGTGATGGGCAATGGCGAGTCCCATCCCCATACACACATTGTCCTTAATATCCTCACACCTTAAGCTCATTAGCATATATACTCCGATTTATTAGGGGGAACAATAGCATGTCCAACCCCCTTATTAAAACTAACAAAGGCCCACCTTCTGGCCATGGGTAGAGTCTGGGAGTGGAACAGAACACTATAGTGTGTGTCCACCACATTTAATGAATAACCGCCACCCATGGGTGGGATCTGGGGAGACACCAGGATATCGGCCCCCAGTTTTCTTTTTATTACCTAGGGCCCTCATCGGGTCACTGATTGCTTACTATTTAGTATACATGCCCCCATATTGTAAACCTTATACCACTTTAACCTACTAGGTACGTCCGACAAAAATGGTCCTTAAAGACGTCTGCGGCAAATCTATTAACAAATCTATTACTTACCTGATTGCCGGCGGGGGTGTTGCTCCCAGTCTGGGGGGACTGCCTGACAGCCTGGAAATTACGCCCCCCGCGGGCCACATGACTGCAATAGGAGTCCATAGTGCTGCCTGCAGGAGAACTGCCTGAACTGACACGCAGTCTCCTTGCACCAGTAAAATAAAACATTTTTTAATGAATAAAAATATATAATTATATTTGTATAAATATGACATATATACAAATATAATATTTATTTATAACGTCATACTAAGTGAATTTTTAAATTAATATATACATATATTAATATAAAAATACACTTAGAGTAAAATTACACACACGTGTGTGTGTGTGTGTGTGTGTGTGTGTGTGTGTGTATATATATATATATATATATATATATATAATATAACTATATATTATGTGTATATATATATATTTATATTAGAAAAAAGATGATTAAAAATAAATTTTAAAAATGTAAAAATAACAAACTATGTAATTTTATTCTAACTGTATTTTGATATTAATATATATTTATATCAAAATATACTTAGAATGAAATTATATATCTATGTATAAATAAATAAAAATTAATACAAAATATGTATATCCATATACATAAATAATAAAATATACACGTAGACTTCAAATATATAAATATGTATATATATTTAAATTCTATGTGCATATTTATGTACTATTTTTAGATAATTAAGTAATTTTATTGATTGCAATATGGGGGACCTGCTTGACAACCCAGGCAGAAAGTCCAGATAATTTAATTTGCTAGCACTATATTTAACCCTGTAACTTCCAAGGCACAATAAAACCTGTACATAGGGGAGTACTGTTTTTCTTGGGAGACTTCGCTGAACACAAATATTAGTGTTTCAAAACCGTAAAACATATCACAGCGATGATATTGTCAGTGAAAGTGAAGTTTTTTGCATTTTTCACACACAGACTGCACTTCCACTGATGATATCATTGTTGTGATACATTTTACTGTTTTGAAATACTAATATTTGTGTTTAACGAAGTCTCCCGAGTATAACCGTACCCTCCATGTACAGGTTTTATAGTGTATTTGAAAGTTACAGGGTCAAATATAAGGCTCGATTTTCTGTTTTTTCACATTGAAATTTGCCAGATTAGTTATGTTGCCTTTGAGAGCGTATGGTAGCCCAGGAATGAGAATTACCCCCATGACGGCATACCATTTGCAAAAGACGACAACCCAAGGTATTGCAAATAAGGTATGTTCAGTCTTTTTTAGTAGACACTTAGTCACAAACACTGACCAAACTTACCGTTCATAATTGTTTTTTTGCATTTTTAATACCCCCCCAAAATATAAATGCTAACTTTGGCCAGTATTTGTGGCTACTAAAAAAGACTGGACATACCCCATATTGAATACCCTTGGTTGTCTACTTTAAAAAAAGATATGTACATGTAAGGTGTGATTCAAAGATTTGACAGATAAGTGTTACAATGTCACTATTGATAAATATTAAAAATATATATTTTGAAACCGCAATGTCTTACTTGTACTTATAGCCCTATAACTTGTAAAAAAAAAGCTAAGAACATGTTTACATTGGGTATTTCTAAACTCGGGACAAAATTTAGAAACTATTTAGCATGGGTGGTTTTTGGCGGTAGTAAACGCAGAAAAGATTTTGGGGGTCAAAGTTAGAAATGTGTTTGTTTTTTGGGGGAGGGGGTTTCATCAGATTTTATAAATAAAATTTATAGTAAATTATATGATATGATGAAAATAATAGTATCTTTAGAAAGACCATTTTCATGGAGAGAAAACATGTATGTAATATGTGTGGGTATACTAAATGAGTAAGAGGAAAATTACAGCTAAAAACAAACACCGCAGAAATGTAAAAACAGCCCTGGTCTTTAACGGTAAGAAAATTAAAAACCGGTTGGTTAGCAAGATGATAATTAGCACCTGCACCACCGAGTTGTTTGGGAATCATGACCTAATTTTGGTCAAACCATCACATTGACAAGTGTCAGACATCCCAAACAAAATTTGAAATCCAGGAAATTTTATTCTGAAGAACCGAACGTTGGCAGCATGCACAAGTCTAAGTGAACATAGTCTTGCTCAAGTGAGAACTTGACAAAGTAATAAAGGGACAATATAGGGTCAGGAACACAGACATATATTCCTGACCTTATAGTGTTAAAACCACCATCTAAATATACTAAATCTTACTTGTATTCCAGTCTGCTGCTGCTGGCTCTGCCCCTGATCTGCCTGCTTGGCTGACATCATCAGAAGTGTTAAACAAAAGCCTATAACGCCTGTCAAGGAGGCAGATCGGGCAGCCAAAACACAGCCCTGGCCAATCAGCATCTCCTCATACACATGCATTGAATCAGTGTTTCTCTATGAGGAAGGTTCTGTGTCTCCTTGCAGAGTGTGAGAACACTGAATGCTCCAAGAAGCACCTCTAGTAGCCATCTGAAGAGTGGCCAATTGAGGTATCTCTAGGCAGTAATGTAAACACTTCCTTTTCTCTGAAAACAGTGTTTAATGCAAAAAGCCTGAAGGGAATGATTCTACTCGCCAGAATAAATACAATAAGCTGTAGTTGTTCTGGTGACTATAGTGTCCCTTTAAATTTACCTGTGATAATTCCTATCCCTTATCGTAATTATTCCTTGTTAAAAGACCTGTACATATTTTTTATTTTGCTACATGTAAGATGTCCTGTTTAGGTCCATTTAATTCTCACTATATATGGAGATTTATACATTTGCAAATTGATTACGAATTATCACCTTTCCTTTTGCAGGTATGTTTACTTATGATGAATCTACTAAACTGTTCTGGTTTAATCCATCATCTTATGAGAACGAAGGACAGTTCACGCTAATTGGAATTGTTCTGGGCCTTGCAATTTACAATAATTGCATTCTAGATGTTCATTTTCCAATGGTTGTTTATAGAAAGCTGATGGGGAAGAAAGGAACTTTTCGTGACCTTGCAGACTCTCATCCTGTAAGTTACTTTTATGCATCTTCTGTACCTCTCACTACACTACCATGTTTCAGTCTTAAAAACACACAACAATTTCTTGTAAAATGTATTTTAAAAAAAGAAAATGGGCCTTTTATACAAGAAAACTACTAATTGACCAAGTGTAAAAGTTTATTATTGGATTATCTGGTTATGAATAGTTGTCAGTAGCACCCACATAGGAGTGTTTATGAGCAGTCTTTGATGCCTGCTCTAATATATACTTTTTTTTTTCTTCTCTCTCAACTTATTTCTCTGCATTTGTTGTACACCAAACTATTAATGTTTAAAACACATATTACATATTATTTCAACTGATTGGTTTCAGATCCATCAACTCACAAGGTTTGTTATCCATGTTATCGCATAATTTTCAATGATGTCATCCATATAAACTGCAGAGGTTATAATTCAAGAAGTGAACATCTCTTCTGTCTCTGCCAGTGTGTGGCAGCTTAGTTAATACTGGTCATAGCGGGGAAATGATCTAGTACTTCTTTTTCACTGTCTAAGCTTCAGGCTGTTTGCGGCAGAAAAATAGTTGTCTTCAATGTGGATGTGTTTTATGTGTGGATATAGTGTCTTTAAAGACCAAGGCTATTTTCCACCATAGGACCAGTGCCTATGTGTTCTTGTTTTTTTGTGTAAATCCTAATTATCTTCAATTTTAGCCCTCATAGTTTGCTCCCTGTGACCTTTTAAGTAAATATTGAACCAGTGGAGGTGTTCTTTAAATGGTTTACCCCAACTGAACAGAAAAAACAGAATAACCTTTTCTGTGGTAGTCTGTTACCCATGCAAAAAAAAACCAAACAATTAGTTTTGCGCAGTGTGCTTACAAGAGTAAATGTTTTTTTCTTTCAGGTTCTCTTTCAGAGTTTAAAGGACCTTTTGGCATATGAGGGCAATGTTGAAGATGATATGATGATCACTTTCCAGATCTCTCACACTGATCTGTTTGGGAATCCTTTAATGCATGACCTGAAGGAAAATGGCGATACAATCCCTATTACCAATGAGAACAGGAAGGTAATGAGAAAAATAAAGTGTTTGTTAACCTTAAATTTCTCTTTAAAAATAGTAGCTGTAACGGACCGTTTTGCACACAAGAGGTTAAAATGTACGGGTGCTAGCGTTGCCCTCAATTTGTGACTCCACGAACTGGTGTTGTCTTGTAGCTGTCCTTCTGGGCTGTGGGAATGATCCCGTCGCTTGCCACCAATTGTAACGGACAGTTTTGCACACAAGAGGTTAAAAACCGTTTAGGCGATATTCCCCTTTCCAGATGCACGGGCAGCTACTGCAAGCACCAATCTCCCGAGCTGCAAACTACACGAATCCTCCAACTCCCGAACCGGAAACACACGAATACTGGAAACAGCCGAACAGGAAAAGCACACAATCAGCTTACACTCCTGGCAATCAGCATACAATCCAATTTCCCCCAAGAACGAGACGACGCTTCATTTTGAGGGTCAAGCACAATCTGGTTTACTGGGGCTACCTGCCCGGCTTTTATGCAGGTCTCCCTCCTGGTGGACAGATGGAAGAATGGGACACAATGGGTAAAAGGACCAATCACAGACTTACACATTTCAACAATCCCATAATGCATGACAATCCCTCCTCTCTGGCCTGGAGATAATTGGGAAGTAATCCAATTATCTCCAAGGACAGAGGCAAAACTCCATTACACACATTTTCAGTAAAAAGACACAAAATTACATACGGTTACCTTTATCATATAAAACATGCACATTCTACATATCCCCAGATAGCTTAGATCTGAGCGCACATTATTACCGAATGGCGCTCAGATCACATACATACAGTTCTGTCGCCATGGAGCGTCTTTTCCATAGTCTTTCGTTACACGAATAGGCTCCATGGCATAGCTAACTGGGGTGATGCTGTTCATACGGTTAAACTACCGAATGAACAGTCATTTGGTTCCACTACCGAATGCAGAGGTAAGGAGGCTGGCGGCTTCGCACAGTTAAGTATCCGTTTCCAGTTCCATAGTTTGGGTGCTGAACACCGCTGGCCGTTCGGGAGTTAAAATGGCCGCTGCCACGTGTTCGCCAAATTAACAAAGGGCACCCAACGTTCGTCAATTAAGCTGCGGTTAACCGCAGCTTCTGGGCGGTCAATTGACGGCACACTCCAGTTCCCAGGTGCTCAATCGTTCGGTACTTTGTTCGGTAGATTGAATCTACCGAACACCTCGGCAGAAAGGCACGAATACGCCTTTCTGCAGGGAAAATAAAAGGTTTTAAATGCCGGGCCATAGTCTAAAGGGAGCAGGTGAGCAAACAGGCTTCTCCAGTGGACAGTGGCAAGGTTGGTTCCGCCACAGTAGTTTTCAGTCACAAAGGTACTCTGATAAATTACCGATGTTATCTGAACCATGCAAGTAAAAATACTAAAATTATTGAGCATTTAAAGGTCTTCAAAACGTAACATAAAAATAAATTTATTCAATATTCAGATGTCAACATATTTATTAACACGTTAAGACATGTCATTACGTCCTAACTATAACTGGCTTTAAAGGCTTTAGGGCATAGTGACACGTGCAGTTTTGGTGCATTTATCATGGGCCTCAGACTTTTTGATGCGCTGCATGCAGTTCTGAAAGTCAGCACTGCATATAGCCCTTTAAATCCATAGAGAACACTACATCTGAGTGATCAAGTTCAGACACTGGGATTCTCTCACTGGATCTAGAGATTGGTAGACCCCTAGGGTCTGAACAGACCTTGGAAGGTCTCCCTCCAAGCCCCAATGGCATTTTGATCCGTGCTGAACTTTGTCATTTGCCCAGAACCAATGTCAATCTATTTGGCATATATATTCAATGAAAAAGATAGGAAGTTGTCATACTGGAAATAGCCAGGAGATGGCAGCAACATACTACTCTGTTTTAGTTTAGATTTCCTTTTGCTATTATTATTACTGATATTAGCCTAGGGAAACCTTTGTGTTTATTATTAAATGTATTCTATAGTGTCAGGAATACAAATCGAAATTCCCAACACTATAGTGCCCTCTGGTACCCCCTCCCTTATGGGCTTTGTGCACCCAGGAATACCTATCAATCTGGTGTTCCTTTAATAAAAAAAATTGATCCATCAATCAAGTTGCTTTTATTCAAGCGATTTCCTTATAAGCTATATTTTGATAGCAGCTACATCTTCTTTCCCCAGATACTGATAATCACCTTATATACCATCTATTAAAGAGGTTCTTTATCTAGCGCTAGATAAAAAAAACAGAACATTATGAATTGGCTCTTAGACAGCCATTCTCTATAGTTCTCTCTAACTGACTTATACTGTTTAATAATTATCATTGTCTAAATAGTTTACACTTTTAACAGCCCCAGCAGCGATGTTTGCAAATATTACAAAGTCCCCAGACGTTTACAGTGCTGTTTTAAGGCGTTAGATAAGTGTAGTTTTTGTCCTGTCAGGACAAAAGCATAACACAGATTTTGATGTACATGGAGATCTGAGTAGGAGCCTCATGGAGTGAAAGTGAAACACTGTTATGTGTATTATTGTTCTGAAATCCTAAACTACTTATGTGTGTATTTCTCTATTCAATACATTCAATCTGCTCTAACACGAAGACCAATTTGCAGTACAATTTCTGAAAGCTTTTTTTTATTTTTTGTAGTGGAAATTTTAGTTTGGTACTAAAATCCTCTGCCATATGAAGCCAACAAATATTTGTGCAAGCTTAAAATGCTTCATATAAAAAAAAAAATATATAGACTTTCTTTCAAATTAAGGAAAGCCATTGTGGAAAACCTCAATCACCACTACGCTATATAACCTGTCTGTCTTTGTCCAGACACTATAAAGACAATGAATTGGAGCTTTAATTCCATATTAATGTACACAGGATTATACTACCTGTATTTTGAATATACCATGTGCATGGTGACAGCTGAAAGTATAAGTAGAATTTGATTTACATATGCTCATGTTTCTTCCATATATTATGATACATCTTTACTATGACTGCAATGATTTTCAGAAAATCGCTGTTTAATATGCCTTCCCCCTCTCTTTTTGAGATCTATGAGTAAGCCCCTAACTAGAAGTGACGATGAATGAAGCCTTTATTGAAACATGCCTTTAACATACTATTCTCTTATTTTAGGAATTTGTCAACCTTTACACAGATTACATCTTAAATAAATCAGTAGAAAAACAGTTTAAAGCATTCAGAAGGGGATTTCACATGGTTACCAATGAATCACCACTGAAGTATCTGTTTAGACCAGAGGAGATTGAACTCCTCATCTGTGGAAGTCCGGTAAGTATTCTTTGAATTATTTATTTTGCTCCTAAAACATTTCCAAGCCTTATCATCTGTAGTTTTTAGGCTGGTATCCGTAAAAATTTTTTGTTTAGGTCACAAAATGTAATTTTTAATTCTCTTTTTAAAGGCAGACTTGTGCATTAATGCTTTTCAACTAGTTACTGACAAATCAAATGCCTTATAATCTATTCGGGAGTTACCAGTGGGTCTTATACACTGAATAGGACTCGGCATGTTAGTCCTAGGCATTTGGGCATAGATTAAAACGATTTGGATTTGTTCATACCAGCTGAAAAGTCGATTTAAATGTTAGTGTCATGAGACTAATGATAGAAATGTGATTTTATACTTACAGAATTTAGACTTTCAAGCTCTAAAAGACACAACGGAATATGATGGTGGCTACACTCGAGAATCAAATATTATTAGGTGGGTGCAGAGCTGTTAATGACAATGTTACTGTGAGCCATGTAAAATAGTGTGTGCTATGGTGCAGTTACACTTCTTATGCTAACAACACAGTGATTAGTAAAGTTTGCAAATGCATTGTAATCAAATCATTGCCAGATGTTTATGAGCAGATAGGACTGATTCATCGATGAAATGTAACACCTGTAAATGATGTTGCAGAACAGGCTGAGTTTGTACTTGAATTTGAGAGAACTAATGTTGCCTCTTTGGCCAGTACAGCTAAATAGGATGACATTATCTAGTGCTGTAGTATTGATAGATAAGGAGAAACTGTCAGTGGGGAGAGGGTGAGTTGCAGATGGAGGATAGTTTCCATTTTGTTTTTTAAATAAAAGAAAGAATAGTATTGGAAAAACATTGTTAGCTGTTATGCATTTAAAATACCAGTGCCCAAGTCTGTTAAAGACATAACCAAATAGAAAATAGCGGTATCTATTTGCTACATTTAAGAATACTGAAAAATTACAGATCTACCTCTTGTCCCAATGTGCTTCAATAAGGATTACTTTTAGCATCGTATTCGCTAGCATATATTTACCATGGACAGCAAGTAAACCAATTATTATATTCTAAAAATTAGATAAAAGTTTCAATATTTAGTTTTAAAAACAAACTGTCATAATTTTGTAAGATTAGACCTAATTACAAGCATTATTTCAATTGATAAAATTAATAATTTTTTTCAATTTCACAACTGCTATCAGAAATAATAGTGACCAATTTAAAAAAAAATCAAGATATTACTGTTCCTTAAAGGGACACCGTAGGCACTGTATCTGCTTCATCTCATTAAACTGGTTATAGTGTATGGAGTCCCCTGGTGCCATCATTTCTTTCAGCATTAAACAGTTTTTAATGTTGTAATGTTTTAATGCTAAACAAGAGACCACGGCAGTCCATCCCCTCTGTGCTGCTTTGGCTAATAAGGAAGTATTACCCTGAGCAGCAATGGGCAGCTGTGATTGGCTGAGAGTGTCGGCTGACTGCTTTTAACCTGTCAGCGCTCCAACTGACGGTATGAATGGGTATGACAACAAGGATGTGTGTAATCTCTGCCTTAGCTACACAGACAGAAGGGGCCGGACTGTGGGTGGCCAGGGACTCTTATTTTGTGGGATACTGCACAAACATGGTGCAACACTGAATGGAGGCAGGGCCGGACTGGCCCACCGGGATACCGGGAAATTTCCCAGTGGGCCGTCGGCACGTGGGGCCGGCAGACACCTGGGTCTGCTGGTGGCCGCTGGGGAGGTCTTCTGGGGGCTTCTGGCGGCCGCTGGGGGACTTGTCCTGGCGCCCGCTGGTGGAGCTGCGCTGGCTCTGCTCCCCAGCGCGCAGCTGAATGAGACCGGCGCCGGAATATGACGTCATATTCCGGCGCCGGTCTCATTCAGCAGAGTGCGAGGGCGCGAGAGCAGAGCCAGCGCAGCTCCCCCAGCGGCTCCCAGAAGACCTCCCCGGCGGCTGCCAGAAGACCTCCCCGGCGGCTGCCAGAAGACCTCCCCGGCGGCTGCCAGAAGACCTCCCCGGCGGCTGCCAGAAGACCTCCCCGGCGGCTGCCAGAAGACCTGGCGGCTGCCAGAAGACCTGGCAGGTATTAGTAATGTGTCTGTCTGTCTGTGTTATGGTGTGTGTCTGTCTGTATGGTGTGTGTGTCTGTTTGTCTGTGTCATGGTGTATGAATGGTCTGTCTGTGTCATGGTGTCTGTCTGTATGATGGTGTGTCTGTCTGTATGATGGTGTGTCTGTCTGTCTATGTTATGGTGTTTGTGTGTGTGTCTGTGTTATGGTGTCTATGTATGGTGTGTGTCTGTGTCATGGTGTCTGTATGTATGGTGTGTCTGTCTGTGCTATGGTGTCTGTCTGTATGGTGTGTGTGTCTGTGTTATGGTGTCTGTATGGTGTGTCTGTGTTATGGTGTCTGTATGGTGTGTGTGTGTGTGTCTGTCTGTGTTATGGTGTCTGTCTGTATGGTGTGTGTCTGTCTGTATCATTCTGTCTGTATGGTGTGTGTCATGGTGTCTGTCTGTATGGTGTGTGTCATGGTGTCTGTCTGTCTATGTATGGTGTGTCTGTATGGTGTCTGTGTCATGGGGTGTGTGTGTGTCTGTCATGGGGTGTGTATCTGTAATGGTATATGTGTGTTTCTGTGTCTGTCATGGTGTAAATGTGTGTTTAAAAATAGTGTTTTTGTTCACCTTTTTTTTTTTTCAACCACGCAGCGTGCTGGTCTCCCCTCGACTGGCCCTGCCTCTATAGCTGAGATCATCAAGCTTGATGATCTCAGCCAATCCAATGTTTTGCCATAGGATTGGCTGCAAAACGCCACTCCAATCAGCATCTCCTCATAGAGATGCATTGAATCAATGTATCTCTATGGGGAACGTTCAGCACCTACAGAGTGTGGAGGCCCTGAATGTGGGTGCACTAACACAGGAAGCACCTCTGGTGACCGTCTGAGTGACTGTCACTAGCAGTGTCACTTTGAAGCAATGTAAACACTGCCTTTTCTCTGAAAAGTCAGTGTTTACATTGAAAAGCCTGTAGGGACATGCTATAGACACCAGTACCACCACATTAAGCTGTGTGTGTGCGTCTGCTAGTGAGTGAGCTTGCTTGCATGCGTGTGCCTGCTAGTGAGTGAGCTTGTGTTTTATGTCAATGAGCTGATGTATATCAGTAAGATTGATTGTCTATGAGGCTGTGTATCAGTGAGCTTGTGTGTGTCATTGAGATGTCAGTGAAATTGCCTGTGTCTGCATGTGAGTATGCTTACTGTATAATTAAACGTTTTACCCTGAAAGGACCAATATTTTATATTAGAAAAAGCAATATATATATCCAAAAACAGGATGCACTCACAGGTCTTAATTAAAGTAAAAAAAAGGTTGTTTTAATTATTCCACGTGAAATATACAAAAAATCAATCAACGTTTCGACTTTTTACGTTGATTTTTTTGTATATTTCACATGGAATAATTAAAACAACCTTTTTTTTACTTTAATTAAGACCTGTGAGTGCATCCTGTTTTTGGATTTCTGCATATTTCTGGCGTTCAGGATAAAGCACCCAGGCAAGAATTCCCTATTTATTTTTAAAAGGACTGCGCCAAGCATCCACTTTGTTGTTATATATATCTATATATATCTCAATCATCTGTCCTGGCAAGACATAGCCTTACATATTACACGCGACAATATATGGCGCAGTGACTTATGGGGCTGGCACAAATTTTTTTTCCAGGGCTGCTTTGTATCCCCAGTCCGGCCCTGAATGGAGGGACAGTGCCAGGGCACTCCAGGCACTATAACCAATTCAAAGAGACAAAGTGGTTATAGTGACTACAGTGTCCCTTTAAAGGGAATTGTTCCTTGCTCTGATTACTCTTTACTGTATTTTGTGATTTATAAGTTTTGTTTGTTTTTGTGCTTTGCATGTGTTATGCCTGGTCGGATGCAGGCTTTGTAGTTTGTAAATCATGAGTACTTTTTAAGAATAATTAAGCCATTCGTATAAAACCAAAATTTGAAGGGGAATTGACAAAAAGCTTAAAAAGGTAGCTTTATATATCATTTCATACAACCCCTCTGTTCCTGTGTGTCCAACTTGTCAGGTTACAAATATGTGTCTGTTAGTCCACCCATTGTACATTTGTTGGTGCTTTAAGAAGAAGAATAATAATACATTGCATGCCATTACTTGAGGTGTCTTGATCTTCCTTAGGATCCTGGCTTCAAGATTATTTTCGGGGCTATAGGTTCCATTTAAGCCCCTGCTGTGTAGATGTTTGCAGAACATTTCCATAGGTTACAAGATGCAATCAATGAAGTATATTGAAAAAAATGTTTTACAGATGACTGTGCAGATATTCTTGTTCATTGATTCTAGTTAGATTTCTATTTTCTTCTTTTTCTACTTCAGAGATTTCTGGGACATAGTCCATTCATTTACAGATGAACAGAAAAGGTTATTCCTGCAGTTTACAACCGGCACAGACAGGGCACCTGTGGGAGGACTGGGTAAACTAAAGATGATTATAGCCAAAAATGGCCCTGACACAGACAGGTAAGCTACCTATTTATCACGTTGTTTCAGACATGACTTATTAAGGACATTGTGATCATTTGCTGATATATCTTAACGGGACACCATAGGCACCAAGAACACTTCATCTTGTTGATTTTGATCTAGGTGCAATGTCCATGTCCCCTTAACACTGCAGGTGCAAACATTTCAGTATTCGAGAAACTGCAATGTTTCCATTGCAGAGTTAAGACTGCATCTAGTGGCTGTCTACATGACAGCCACTGGAGGCACTTTGTGCAGCTTACCAGACTCCGTGAAACAAGGTCTGATGTCCTAAAGGCCTAATGCACGATCAGTGCTCGCCGGGCATGCGCTTTAGGTTCCCGAATCGCAGTGACATTGGTGGATGAGGAGCCTGACTCTTCTCCTAGGGACATTGATGCTAAAATCAGGTAAGTGAAAACAGGTTTAACCCTTATTTGCGGTTGAGGGAGTGGCGAGGAAGGGGTGTGGCAGAGTTTACTACAGTGTTAGGAATACAGTTTTGTATTCCAAACACCAGTGTACATTTACGTAAGCTGGAATGTAGAATCTGTATAGTTTACATGTTGGGATGGAAAAAGTTGCAGAGAGTAAAAACATAGCTTGTAGTATAACCTATTACCAAATTTCTTCCATATAAACTGGTTACTTTGAAGTGGTCATGGTGGGAAGAGCCTGGATGTGCAGCATTTCAGCTTGAAATGTAGTTGCACCCTCGGCACACATGGCTATGGCACTCTGGGACACTTTACTGTATTGACATTTGGCAGTCCAGAACAAATATGACTTTATCAGCACGCACTGTGCGCTGGCAACAAAAGTAACGGATCTTCTACCTTGTAGGCAGCGAGCCTTCATGGCGAAACATTCTCTCTCCCCCTGTGCAGTCTCTCTTGTGCCTGATTTTTTGTTTTGTTTTTTTAATTACATTAAAAATCCCTCCCTCGCTGGCTCAAAACGCATGCATACACTCTGATCCTGCGACAGTGGTCAAAACAAAGGCTTTTCTATGAGAAGCCTTTGATTGGATTTGTCGAGTGCACGGATGGCATAAGACGGGGCGTGGAGCTGGGCACCAGGATCTTCGTCTGGTAGTAGATTTCGTGTAGGTTTTAAAAATTTTTTTATTTATTTATTTTTTTTTTTACACGTTTTATAACAGGGGTCCTATTAGTAATGCCCAATAGGGCATTGTAAATCAAAATCCATTTACTGTCAAAAAGGGTTGGACTAACCCTTTAATGAATGTTTGATTTTTATTGCAGTATGCGTATATGTATCTTTTATTTTGTTTCTGGAAGAAACTCACTTCTCCTTACTTTCTTGCAGGTTACCAACATCTCACACATGCTTTAATGTCCTTTTGCTTCCGGAGTACTCCAGCAAAGACAAACTGAAAGAGAGATTGTTAAAAGCTATCACATACGCCAAGGGGTTTGGCATGCTGTAAAATGAAAATGGCAAACAAGCTCAACAAAAGGGATCACAATAGTTGAAATTGATATCCCTGTTCAAAAAGGCCATAAGATAGCAAGCTACAACTAGTCGACTGTGTGTGCGCCTACCTTCTCCTTTGAGGACAGTGGGCTGGAACAGCAGATTTCAGCTGCTTATATGAACAAAAATTATTTTGGGGTTTTGTTTTTGTTTTTTTCTTTTTGATTTGTTTGGGGACTTTTCCAGCTAGTGTGAAAGTGTTGTACAATCTTTCACATTGATGTACAGAAACATTTTCCTGAATATTTATTTTTAAGGGTTAAATCACTTTTGCTTGTATTACATACTGCTTGAACTTGAACCTATTTGAGTATTGGAAAATGTACTACTCTCATGTGAAAAATTTGCCATCATTAAGCAGAAAACCTATCTTTCAAGTGTATGCTTATTTGTCTATGACCATGTGTCCCTGCAGCTAATCGGGAACTGTGCTTTCTTTTCTTTTTCCTTTTTATTTTATCATTATTATAAATTTGCTTTTGAAACTTGAATTCATTGAATACCATGTGATGCAATGACTGCTGTTCTAGCCCCAAAGAATTTCTGTGAGAAGATAATGTAGTCAATAAAGATTGAAGGGAGTACTTGGAATGTTAACATGCAGCCTTGCAAACTTTTTACTTTAGTCACAGCACAAAAAATTAAAGAGAAAATCACTTCACTATTTGTTGTCCTCAAGTCTTGTAAACTATATTGTGTTTCGTTAAAAAAAAAAAAGAGAGAGAGAAAGAAATTTGATATCAATGGTATATCAAAGGGATATAGAGTTTAGCACGGTTTTATTTTTCCAATGACAGTTTACTGGCAGAAATGCATTTTTGGCCAAATGTTCTGTGGTAGATGGTGGACTTATTAAATTTATGAGCATTAGCTATTTCCTTATTATAAAACAAAAAGGCGTGTGGAAGTGCACTTAAAGAATATTAATTACATATTACGTTAACAATAAAATAGACAATCCAAAGTCTTCCCTACATATTATGTTGAAATCCTTTAATTTTGTGTTGTTTTGTATTGTATTCAATGCACATAATTTTGTGCTGCTTCATAATTAGTAGGGATTGTTATGGCTTCTCTCCAAGACAGACCAGAAGAATCGCAAAAATAACGTAATAAAAAAATTGTATCTTACCATCTATAAATAGGCTTTATTATTTCTTTTTAAATTAAGGGTTTAAATCATATCGGAATGTATTTGTGTACCTTTCTTGGACTTCTATGTGTAACGTTAACTTCATGTTGCAATAGTAAATAAAGGGATTATTCCTTTTTAACCAAGGATAAAATTAGTATGTCTTTTAGTAAACTGTTGCTGCAGATATACAAAACTGAGTTTGTGCCTTGACAGCTGCGCAAAAACGTTCTGATGGTTTAATAGTTTATTTAAAATCTGCAGTATAAAGGCTATATATTTTCCAGTTTCTTCTAGAATATTTTTTATTAAGTAAGCCCATGAATTGTTTTTTTTTTTTTTGTTTAGTTTTTTTATGTGTGTAAAGTACAGTGATTGTACTAAAGGGTTGTTTTTGTTTTTTTGTTTAACTGCACAGTTAAAGGCCCAATTCATTCTGCTTTTTATTATATAGGTTTGTATCCCAAACTTTAGAAGTCACCATTAATAAATGTATGATAGCAGAAAATTATGTATTATTTAGCTCTTTTCATATACATTAACTGGATATACATATGTAACCACAAATTTTGATACTTCTGGTAATGTGGTTTTGCTAAATTTTGTACTGGAACTATCCAGAAATCATCCCATGAGCTGCCAATAAATTTTATGTGAAACATTTTTCTTTAGTAAGTTTCAATAAATCTTTCTAATTAAAAGGGGGAGGCGAACACAAGCAAGAAATATGTTTATAATCTGTTAATTATATATTAAAGAATGCATTTGCAGGTTTGGTTCTCAATGTTGAATGTATACATTTTACTACATAATAGTTTAGTAATACTTGAGCTCATTGATTTAAACATGTCTTTTAATACACACTAAAAATATACTGAACTCTACTCGAAACAGGGAGTTGATAAATTAATAGCGCAATTAAGGTACGTGTTCGTCTGATAGGAAAAAGTCTCCAACTCTGCCTAATTAGAGAATTTTTATTCCTAACCCTGATGATCTGGACCCAATTTAGCAAGCTTCTTGACCTCAGCACAGCCGATTGTATTGTGGGCGAAATCTAGAAGTTCACAGGTATTATATTTTAAATCCTACATTTTCTGTGCATTTTACTGTTATGAAAACAACCAAATGAAAGATTTTGTAATTTTCAACATCACAGATTTAAGGCTTCATATAATATGGTTTTTGAGTACATTATTTTGTAATATAAAATCTTTTTCGTGCATCTCATACCTTGCCCTTGCTCTGTGAGGGCAGCATTCTTTGGTCTGAACCTTTTCTACTAAGAACATGCACACTTTGAAGGTCTGAAACTATTCCATTGGGTATATTTTAGATGCTGTGTGTTTGAGTATGATTTCAAAATTCATAAACACTAACTCTTATCAGGATTTTTGTATAATAATCTTTTGATTAAAGAGGCTGAAAGAAATGCTCTTAAAAATATATATTTAGTAGATTTAACCAAGAAAGGCTTTTTTTTTTTTTTTTTGGAGGTATTTGAAATGTTAGTTTCCAATAGCTGCAAGTCTAGTATCTACAGCTACTGCAAGCCCTCACCTGCCATGATTAAAAAAGCATTGCGGAACAGCCATGCATACAACCAAAGACTTCTCCGTGAACTGTATAGCTCATTGAGAAGTCTTTCAAAGGGAGTCGAACGGGGCAAGCACTTGCATCCTGAGTTTAGCACCATAGAGCTAAACTAGCAGTATGATACACCACTCAGCTGCCTGATATCCAGGGATGTATAACAGGGTTAAAATAATACTTTGTTAGGAATACAAATATGTATTCCTAACACTGTGTATCTCAACCACTGTAGACTTGAGTAATGTAAAGGGTTATATAACTCTTCATTAACTTACCCAATTCCAGCAGCATTGTCCCTTCATGATGGGTCGTAGTCTGCCTTCCCAGTTATCTGATGGGGTGGACCTAATGCACTCGCATTATCATCATCCATCTATTATTGCCTCAATGCTTTCCTATGGGGTTTTCTCTGATGCTGGATGTCCATCATGGTTGTCGGTTTTACATTGCAGTATTAAAGGGGACAGATACAGTACACCCAGACCACTTCAATCAGATGGAGTGCTCTGGTTGCCCATAGTGTCCCTTTAAGTTGTAAAAGTACCATTTATTTACATTTATATATTAGCACTTTTTTGTAATAAAAAAAACTGAAGTGTTGGTGTTTGGTGTTTTACATTAAAGATGGCTGCCACCAAAGAAAACAGGTAAGTTTAGAGGTGTACTGAAAAGATACACTAATTTATAGGGATGAATTACAAAATAATACACACTGATCCCTATTACATGAAATATTTTCTTCTCTAGAGGCTCTGTATTATTTTTGTTTTATCACCCCCTGTATGTAACGTTAATGCTTTGTCTTCAGCAGGAAGGAGCGTAAGGGAAATAGGCTTACTTAAAGCTCTAACTTACAGGTACTGCCCTCTTCAGCTCTTATTCATCCACCTAGCACCTGTGTCACTGCTATAATCTCGATTTAAATGAAAATCCAACTCCTTTTGCCATGAGTATTTTTAAAGATGTAATGTTTATGCAATGCACAAAATGTGTATATAGGTGTCCAGCATTATAAAAAAAGCCTTCGAATTATATTTGCTTGTAAACGATGTACCAAAACAACAAAAAAAGCTTAAAGCAGTAGTTTTTATGTATACTTCATACCCCTGCAGCCTCACTGCATAAAGGGACACACCAATGCCCAAATAAAAATAATCACTGTTTAGTAGATATACCCCAATTAAACCATGCATGGATTTAATTATGCATTTTTGTCATTGTGGGGCATATCTATGTTGGGGAAAAAACACACCTAAAATCTGTTACGCAATTACAACCGCAAAAAGAAAAACCGTGCTGAATAGTTTTTAAATTTTGTCCTGAGTTTAGAAATGCCAGATGTTAACATTATTAACAAATTAGTGATACGGCTATAAGTAAGTAAACACCGGCTTCAAAAATGTCACTGAGTGACAATCAGCCCTCCATGTGCTCGCCAGAGGAAGCCTGACTATTAGGTACCGACATGAGATCCTCAGACCCCTTGTGAGACCATATGCTGGTGCCTTTGGCCCTGGGTTCCTCCTAATGCAAGACCATGCTAGACCTCATGTGGCTGGAGTGTGTTAGCAGTTCCTGCAAGACGAAGGCATTGATGCTATGGACTGGCCCTCCTGTTCCCCAGACCTGAATCCAATTGAGCACATCTCGGACATTATGACTTGCTCCATCCACCAACGTCACGTTGCACCACAGACTGTCAAGGAGTTGGCAGATGCTTTAGTCCAGGTCTGGGAGGAGATCATCTGCCACCTAATCAGGAGCATGCACAGGCGTTGTAGGGAGGCCATACAGGTACATGGAAGCCACACACACTACTGAGCCTCATTTTGACTTGTTTTAAGGACATTACATCAAAGTTGGAACAGCCTGTAGTGTGTTTTTCCACTTTAATTTTGAGTGTGACTCCAAATCCAGACCTCCATGGGTTAAAAAATGTGATTTCCATTTTTTTTTTTGTGATTTTGTGCAATACACACAATACACAAGATCCAGCGCACTCACCCATCCACCAAATAGCAACTTCAATGTTGACAGATTTTCTTAGTAGTTTTTTTTGTTTTGTTTTTAAATACCCAATCTAGGCAAACATAATGGGGGTTTAGTTACATTATATGATCATACATTGCATAAGCCTGCCACAACATCAATGTACCCCATCTTTGGCAGATCGTGTGTAAAATATATATATATATATATATATATATATATATATATATATATATATAAACACTATAGGGTCAGGAACACACATTACAGGGAGTGCAGAATTATTAGGCAAATGAGTATTTTGACCACATCATCCTCTTTATGCATGTTGTCTTACTCCAAGCTGTATAGGCTCGAAAGCCTACTACCAATTAAGCATATTAGGTGATGTGCATCTCTGTAATGAGAAGGGGTGTGGTCTAATGACATCAACACCCTATATCAGGTGTGCATAATTATTAGGCAACTTCCTTTCCTTTGGCAAAATGGGTCAAAAGAAGGACTTGACAGGCTCAGAAAAGTCAAAAATAGTGAGATATCTTGCAGAGGGATGCAGCACTCTTAAAATTGCAAAGCTTCTGAAGCGTGATCATCGAACAATCAAGCGTTTCATTCAAAATAGTCAACAGGGTCGCAAGAAGCGTGTGGAAAAACCAAGGCGCAAAATAACTGCCCATGAACTGAGAAAAGTCAAGCGTGCAGCTGCCACGATGCCACTTGCCACCAGTTTGGCCATATTTCAGAGCTGCAACATCACTGGAGTGCCCAAAAGCACAAGGTGTGCAATACTCAGAGACATGGCCAAGGTAAGAAAGGCTGAAAGACGACCACCACTGAACAAGACACACAAGCTGAAACGTCAAGACTGGGCCAAGAAATATCTCAAGACTGATTTTTCTAAGGTTTTATGGACTGATGAAATGAGAGTGAGTCTTGATGGGCCAGATGGATGGGCCCGTGGCTGGATTGGTAAAGGGCAGAGAGCTCCAGTCCGACTCAGACGCCAGCAAGGTGGAGGTGGAGTACTGGTTTGGGCTGGTATCATCAAAGATGAGCTTGTGGGGCCTTTTCGGGTTGAGGATGGAGTCAAGCTCAACTCCCAGTCCTACTGCCAGTTCCTGGAAGACACCTTCTTCAAGCAGTGGTACAGGAAGAAGTCTGCATCCTTCAAGAAAAACATGATTTTCATGCAGGACAATGCTCCATCACACGCGTCCAAGTACTCCACAGCGTGGCTGGCAAGAAAGGGTATAAAAGAAGAAAATCTAATGACATGGCCTCCTTGTTCACCTGATCTGAACCCCATTGAGAACCTGTGGTCCATCATCAAATGTGAGATTTACAAGGAGGGAAAACAGTACACCTCTCTGAACAGTGTCTGGGAGGCTGTGGTTGCTGCTGCACGCAATGTTGATGGTGAACAGATCAAAACACTGACAGAATCCATGGATGGCAGGCTTTTGAGTGTCCTTGCAAAGAAAGGTGGCTATATTGGTCACTGATTTGTTTTGTTTTGTGAATGTCAGAAATGTATATTTGTGAATGTTGAGATGTTATATTGGTTTCACTGGTAATAATAAATAATTGAAATGGGTATATATTTGTTTTTTGTTAAGTTGCCTAATAATTATGCACAGTAATAGTCACCTGCACACACAGATATCCCCCTAACATAGCTATAACTAAAAACAAACTAAAAACTACTTCCAAAAATATTCAGCTTTGATATTAATGAGTTTTTTGGGTTCATTGAGAACATGGTTGTTGTTCAATAATAAAATTAATCCTCAAAAATACAACTTGCCTAATAATTCTGCACTCCCTGTAAATCAATGTATCTTTATGAGGAAAGCTCAGTGACTCCATGCAGAATTGCAGTGCTGCACACCATAGGCGTGCGCAGCCTATTGCATTAGGGTGTGCACCCTAAAGCACAAACACGCTGCGTGTATATATATACATATATACATACACACACACACACACACACACACACACACACACACTGCTGTGTGTGTGTGTGTGCTGCGTGAGGGTGCTGTGTGTGTGAGGGTGCTGTTTCTGTGCAGTGTGTGTGTGTGAGGGCGCTGTATGTATGTGGGTTCTGTAAGTGTGTGTGGGTGCTGTATTTGTGTGTGTGTATGGGAACTGTGTGCTGTATGTGTGTGTGTGCAGGGGGTGGAGGTGGTGGTACATTACTTAATATCCCCCCTCCCTTCTTACCTTATGTAGGGAGGGGGGGATTCTTGTTCCTGCTGCTTTCCCTGGTGCTCCAGTGGAGAGTGAACTCTCGCGAGATCTGAGGGTTGCCGGGGCTGAGCTCCCCGGGTCCTCTCCTGCCTCCCTCCATGCTGCAGTGGGGAGGGAGGCTTAGAGCAGAGCCGGCGCTCGGATAGCGCCGGCTCTGCATGAGCCGACAGGGGAGATCCTGAGATCTCCCTTTGCCGGTCTCACTCCATAGGTGTGCTGCGGGGATTAGGGTGTGCCCAGGCACACCCGGCACATCCTGTGCGCACGCCTATGCTGCACACCACAGGAAGTAACTCTAGCAGCCATCTGAGGAGGGCAGTATCTCTAGGCTGTAATGTAAGCACTGCCATTTCTTTGAAAAGACTGTTTACTGCAAAAAGCCTACAGGGCTGTAGATCTGGTGACTATAGTGTCCTTTTAAGCTCATGATTCCCTTTTTTTTCCAGAAGTTTGGTCCATATGGGGTTAAACAAGGTGATTTGACAGAGATTCAAGCAGTAAAGTTAAGGTGGGCAACACAATATGCCAAAGAGAATAATTTATTGTAGAAAAACACAACACAAATGTAAAGTTTCAGCCCTTCATGCCTTAAAGAAAGCCTGTAGGCAGTGTAACTGCTTCACCTCGTTACAGTGGTTATAGTGTCTGTAGTTCCCTAGCGCTGTTTTTACATTCAGCATTAAATCACTTTAATGTTTTCACGGTACAAAATATTTTATTTTATAAACATACAAAACACACAGTTCGTAAAAAGACAGAATATCATCGTCCATCTACTATCAAACAACAGATAAAACATAATTACAAATCAATTATGGACATATAAAACATAGTTGTTCTATCAGTTAAACCATGTTATAACCTTCTTCTAAGTCCCTTTATAACAAAACATATACATTAACAAAAGACAGGTCTGCGCAACCACGGTGTACGTCCCCTCCTTCCCATTTTAATAGAAAAACTTTAAAGAAACAAGAAAAATAAACTTTTCTGAAAATTTTACGCTCTTCAGGATATCTTGTTAACCAAGGATTCCAGATTTTAATAAATGAACCAAATCTTTGAAAAGCAGAAAAATAACCCTTTCCTTTTCCATTTTTCCATTAACTCCTTCAGGACCGCTGGCGGTCCTGAACCATCATAGCGAAAAACGGGCTGCGGGAAGCGATCAAAGATTGCTCCCGCCACTATAACACTGTTACTATCTGCCAGACATCCCAGGCAGATAGTAACAGCCAATTGCGGCGTGTGAGTGATCCGCGATCGCTCACAAATGGCTGCTGTCAAAGTGGGTGTTACAAACACTCACTTTGAGACAGTGATCTCTGCCCCTCTCTCCTCTGTAGCGTTTTGTGAGGCGAGAGAGACAGAGATTGTGATAGTTTGTTGCAGCAGTGTTCAGTGACCATCAGGAAGTATCAGTATTTTATTTAAAAAAATCACCTTTTAACCCCTTCCCTGCCAGATCTGTTACAGCAGTACATTTGTACTGTCTGTATTTTTTTTTGCCCTTAAAGGGTTAAATTTGTTTTAAAAATCTGTGTTTTGGTCTGTCTTAGTCAGTCAGTTTCCTTCCCCCAAATCTCCATTAGATTTGTGTGAAAGGAGTTAGTTTAGGGATTGCTGTTCAGGCTGTTTTAGTAAAAAAAAAAAAAAGAAAAAAAAAGTATAAAAAAAATTTGTGTTTTTTTTAATTTGTTTTAGTCGTGTGTAAAACATGCAGCATATGTATAACTTGCAGGAGGCATATGCCTTCTTGGCTTCAGACTCTGACGCCACTGACACTGCGTCAGATTTTGTCCCAGGTCAGTTTTCTGACACGTCTAGTCAAGATGACGTCATCTGTGTGTGAGCCGGCTGAAGAAAGAAGCTGTGCTTCCTCTGCTACGCCGAATGTGGAGGAGGACTGGGTACCTCCACAGCTAGCCGAGCCCAACGTCCCCCCTTTTAGTGCCAACGCAGGCATTAATGTTAATGTGGATGGCTTCTCCCCAATGCAGTATGTAGAACTATTTTTAGGGGATACCATCTGGGAGGAGATTGCTTCCCAGACTAACTTGTATACTACCCAATTTATTGATAACAATCCAGGTAGCTATACAGTCAGGGAGCATGACTGGCATCCCACAGATGTCCCAGAGCTTAAAAAATTCTGGGCTCTTACAATGCTCATGGGGATAATAAAGAAGCAATCGATTCGCTCATACTGGAGCACTAACCCAATAATGTCTAGTCCAGTATTCTCCCAAACCATGCCTAGAGCCAGATACGAGTTACTGCTGAGATTTTTACATTTCAGTGACAATAGCCTCTGTCACCCTAGAGATCACCCCCGATATGATAGGCTTCATAAAATACGCCCAATGCTAGACCATTTTCAGGACAAATTTTCGGATGTTTATACCCCCCAACAAAATTTATCCATAGATGAATCGCTAATGAAATACAAAGGGAGATTAGGGTTCAGACAATACATCCCCTCAAAGTGCTCTAGGTATGGCATAAAACTGTACAAACTGTGCGAGAGCGAAAGTGGATACACGTTTGCCTTTTGTGTATATGAGGGGAAAGATGGTCAACTGGACCCTCCTGCCTGTCCCTTGGGACAAGTAGGAAACTTGTATGGGACCTACTAAACCCCTTGTTTAATAAAGGTTACCACCTTTATGTGGATAATTTTTATAGTAGTGTCTGTCTGTTTAAAACACTTTATGGTTTACAAAAAATTCCAAAGACTTTCCACGATCTCTCATAGAGGCAAAATTTTAAAAAAAGGAGAATGTAAAGCACTTCGCAAAGCTGAAGAGCTTGCACTAAAATTTAGGGACAGGAAGGATGACCACCATCCATGACGAATGCATGTCAGACGTCTCTGTCCGGGGCAGAGTAGAGTCCAAACCGGTTTGCATCAGGGTGTATAATAAGTACATGGGGGATGTTGATTTGGCTGATCAGCTGATGCAGCCATATCTTATTTTACAAAAAACCAAAGCATGGTATAAAAGGGTGGCTATCTATCTGATGCAAATAGCAACCCACAACTAATTTTTGCTTTTTAAAAAAAATAATCCAGGGAAAACCACCTTTCTCCAATTTCAGTTGAAAATAATTTCTTTAACAATTTATGGAGATGGACAAGTTCCAACAACGGTGCAAGCTGAGTCCAGGCATTTTATTTTTAAGTTACCGCCAACTGCTAGAAACCCCCCCCCCAGAAACGTTGCCGGGTCTGTTTTAAAAACGGGAAAAGGACAGACACCCCTTTTCACTGTCCTGATTGCCCTTCGAAACCAGGACTGTGTGTAGGAACATGTTTCAAGCTGTACCACACAGAACAGTTGTAAGAAGTGTTCCTGAATTTTTATTTTATTTTTTGTTTCTTTGGAAAGCAGCCATTTTTTGTTAGTCAGTTTCCTTCCCCCAAATCTCCAGTTAGATTCTATTTGCAGGAGTCAGTTTAAATATTGCTGCTAAATGTACATTTGCTACCTGCACATTTGGTCTAACAAGTTTTTTGGCAGTAACACATAACCAGCTGGCCAAAACCAGATGACGTATGCATAAAAACCAGAATTTAAAAATTACCACTACACTTTCTCTGTTTTTTGGGGCGGCAAAATGGTTGGGGGAAAGAAGTCAAAACACCCCATCTTCTATAACCTTTGATGTCTACTTTATAAAAATATATACTATATATACTTTCATGATGGTAACATTAACTGGGGGGTGCAAAAATATGTCAAACTGAAGATAGACCAAGCATACCTATATATCAAGTTGAAAAACTGACATGTACAAGTTCTGATTGTTGCCTTTTGGCCCCCAAACAACCCAGCAACCCTATACATGGGGGGTATCACTGTACTCGGGAGATGTTGCTGAACATATTGGGGTGTTGTTTGGCAGTGACACATAACAGGATCTGTTAATTCATGCCTAAAGTACGTGTGTGAAAAAAACTGAAAAAAAATTACTACCTCGATGTTTGACAAAGCCTGGTGGTAGAATTAGTGCATGGAAAGTGTTAAAATACCACCATGTAAAATACCCTAGGGTGTCTACTTTTCAAAAATATATGGTTTGATGGGGGTAAAATACATTGGCCGGCTTCAAAAATGTAAATGCAATGTCACTACTGATACAGTTGAAAAATTTACATTTTGAAACCGCAATTTCCTACTTGTACTTATAGCCCTCTAACTTGCAAATAAAAGCAAAAAAAACAAACATTGGGTGTTTTTTAACTCAGGACAACATTTTGAATCTATTTAGCAGTTTGTTTCATTCGATTTTGTAGATCAGTAAAAGGTTTTTTAAGTAAAAGTCAAAAGAACTGTTTTTAAAAAAAAAAAAAATTTCACCATATTTTATTATTGTTTTTTAATTACATTATATGACATGATAAAAATAATAGTATGTAAATAAAGCCCTTTTTGTCCTGAAAAAAACAATATGTAATTTGTATGGGAACAGTAAATGAGAGAGCGGAAAATTACAGCTAAACACAAACACCACAAAAGTGTTAAACTAGCTCTGGTCCTTAACGGACAAACATCGCAAAAACAGTCCGGTCCTGAAGGGGTTAAATCACTTTCATGTGTTAATGGTAAATAATTCTCCAGCTAAATTGGTTAACGATGAAGCCTTAGTCATAGCAACAATGAGCATGGGTGATTGGTTGAGAGTTTTAGCTGACCATTTCAGCCTATCACAACGCCAACTGCTTGTATGAATTGGTATGCTGATGGCCAGGTACCCTTATTTAGTGTTAAACTGCTCAAAAATTATCATAGTATTCACTGTGTCTCTGTAATCACACATGGCAAATGACACAACTTCAAGTACCTAGAAACACACCTTCATGGGAGATGACACCCAAATAATCTTGAGGCTAAAAAAAAGTGAAGAATGCATAACAGATACATTAATTCCCTATTTAGACCACAGGGTACCAAGTTATACATCGACATCGAGTATGTCTCTAGTTCTTGCATGTCTCTCTCTCTCTCATCTCTAAGGGGGGAATGAGGGTTAAGTTGACAGGGATATTGCACCAAAACCATGTCAATTAGATAAAGTGGTGTAAGTGCCTATAATGTCCCTTTAAGGTACCCTCTGCACTATAACTATTAAAGGGCCCTGATTTAAGGGCTCTTGTGAGTCCCACAACCACCCAAAGGGCCTCCACCACAGGCACAATTGTGGGCTTTATGTTGACAGCCATATACTAAAGTGTTTATGGTGCTACAAGTGCCCTGACACTGCCCGATAGTAAGCAGTTAAACCATTTTTTAACTTCTTACCTGGGGTCTGCAGAGTGCCGCTTCCAACCTCCACTACCATCGCCAGAAAACTTTCCTGTGCTTAATCCTGAAATGCATGGATAGCTCTAAAGTTTTGGTAGGGAGACCCCTGGATAGAAGTTAAATGGCTCAGAAATTATTTGACTCCCTACAGTAGGGAGGGGTGGGGGGCAGGGAGATTTTATTTGATGTGTTCCTTTAACATTTCCAACAGGAAAAAAAAGGTCAAAAAGGCATTTACAAGAATAGGCGGGGGAAGTCTTTCAAAAAGTACTCCAAACACCATAACTACCATAGCACTCTCTTAGAATTTAGATCTTTTTTTTAAAACTTGTAATACAATTTCACAATTTATATACCTGAAAAGATACGACTTATACACCTGAAAAGTATATAAGTTTGTGCACTATCGTAACATATGCACCTGAGGAAGACCTGTGAAAGGTCGAATCGCGTTGTGCTTTATATTTTATGCTTGATAAAAACAATCTTCTTCTTGACATCTGGTTCCTGAGTACCTGGGTAAGAAAATCTACCGTTTCTGGTGGGACCTGATCTCCAGTATACTTACCGTATTTTCCGGCGTATAAGACGACCCCCAACTTTTTCAGTTAAAATATAGAGTTTGAGATATGCTCACCGTATAAGACTACCCCTCTTCCAACGCACACCAAATAAAAAAAATAATAAAAAAACACCTGAGTCCTCCTTACTCACCCCCCTTCTCCCTGTGTTCTCCTTACTCCCCCCTCCCTGTGTTCTCCTTACTCCCCCCTCCATGTGTTCTCCTTACTCCCTCCCTGTGTTCCCCTTAGTCACCCCCCCTGTGTTCTCCTTACTCCCCCCTACCTGTGTTCTCTTTACTCCCCCCCGTGTTCTCTTTACTCCCCCCGTGTATTCTCCTTATCCCCCACCCTGTATTCTCCTTATCCCCCTCTGTATTCTCCTTATCCCCCTGTATTCTCCTTACCCCCTCTATATTCTCCTTATTCCCCCTTTGTATTCTCCTTATCCCCCTCTGTATTCTCCTTATTCCCTCCCCTCTGCTTGTTCTCCTTACCCCCCCCCTCTATATTCTCCTTGTATCCCTCCTTCTGGATTCTCCTTATCCCCCTGTATTCTCCTTATTCCCCCCTCTGTATTCTCCTTATTCCTCTCCCCCCCAACCCCATAGTCTCCTTATTCCCCCATTTGTTCTCCTCACCTCCCCTGTAGAGTGGCCGAGCTCCTCTCCGGTCCGCGGTACAGGAGCTTTTGTTTCCTGTACCCGGCCGGACTGACAGGAAGTGCACACTAAGTGTGCACTTCCAGTCAATCCGGCTGGGCACCACGGACCGGAAAGGAGTTCGGCCACGCTACAGGGGAGGTAAGGAGAGAGGCGGTGCTGCAGCCGCCTGAGGCTCTCTATAGAGCGCTCAGGCGGCTGCAGCATTAGAAGGGCCGGTGATGGGGGCAGCTGCCTAGGCCCGCCCTATAAGACGACACCCGGCGTATAAGACGACCCCCGACTTTTGAAAAGATTTTCCTGGGTTAAGAGGTCGTCTTATACGCCAGAAAATACGGTACTCAATATAGAGAATACGCCCATACAGTCAGAGCCAACTTCTAAGTGGCTCTAAAACTTGTGAGTGTCTTGTAAGTTACCTTGACATTTTCAATATATATTTACAGTTTGCACTATGATGTGTCTGTTTTATATATTACAGGTTTTACCTGTGGTTTTATATTGTGAGGCTTGTTTACCAATCTGTGCGCCAATCACCTTATTTGATTCCTTTGTTTTACAATTTGCCCAAGTCCCACAGGCACCATTAAGGTTTCTCCGTCAGTAGAAGCCAGATGTCTTCACTAAGCTAACCAGGTCTGATACATGACTGCACTTATTAAAGGACCTCTATAGGCACCCAGACCACTTCAACTCAATGAAGTGGTCTGGGTGCCAGGTCTCCCTGGTTTTAACATAGAGAAACTGCTATGTTTACATTGAGGTTTAATCCAGCCTCTAGTGGCTGTCTCCCTGAAAATCACTCTGAGATGACGCTGGACATCCATAGGAAAGCATTGAGTAATGCTTTCCTATGGGTGGTTTGAATGCGCATGCGGCTCTTGCCGCACATGCACTTTCAGAGCTGATGTCGGCAGGGGGAGGAGAGGTCACCAGCGCCGAGGGAGCCCTGCGATGGATTAAGGTAAGTGGCAGAAGGGGTTTTAACCCCTTCAGCCCAGTGTTTTCCTGGCACTATAGTGCTCCTTTAATGTCTGACAGTCCTGCTTGGCTAGATGGAGCCATAACTGCATTTACTGGCAAGCTTGATATGAAAGCAGGTTGTGTGACAATGAGAAAGCCTAGGAAAGTTGTCAAAACAATCTAACACAGTGTGACAAATCACCCTCGTTGAGTGCCAGGGCTACAGAAGAAACGCTGAATGGGAATTGCTGACAGTTCTATTAGGGTAGATTACTAGTCTCTAAACTGTAGAATTAAACTCCAAGTAGCAAAACTGAGGAAACAATAGTTCAACTGTAATCCAATTTGACTAAAGTGATCCAAGAGTTTTGTGTATGGCTATAATTAATTGGGGAGTGTGTACTATAAGAAGCTTTGCAAAATTTCCACCAGATCCCTACAGCATGGAACATTCCAAGCACCATATCCACTACAGTGTGCTGTAATGATTATGGAGTCAGGGGTGCCCTGGCGTGATTATGGAGTCAGGGGTGCCCTGGCACCCCCTCTTCCCATGTAAGTTTAACATTTTTGGAACCAATTTCCACTCCCTGTGTCTGACTGGGCTATGGTAAAACAATGACCTATCCATGTTTTGCTGGGCTCAGCTCAGGAGAGCTAATAAAAGCTCCTGCTTATGAGCTTCTGACTCTCTATTTGAAATAGTGGTTATGGTACTTGGAGTGCTCCTTTAAGGATCGTCTGCTCCTAAGAAGATAATTTGGGTAAGGGAACCGCATACAAAAAAAAAAATCAGGTGATGGTTTATAATTAAATAACTATTAGGGTGAGAAAGGTAAAAACAGAAAAGGATAAGGATAAGAGACAAAGCTGTGATATGGCAGATATAAAGGTGGATGAAAATGGTTGGGATTTAATTAAATTTAATAATTTACTGGACCTTTGATCCAGTAACAATTAACAGAGAAATTAAATATTACCATTAGTTTAGCATCAAAATTTCCAAATGTAATTTCACTAAATTGTTGACAAGTAATGTTAATGCCATGTTAAAAGCTTCGCATACAACATGTAACTGTGCACGATGTACTAATCACACAAAGTTTTTTTCCTAAAGTGATCATTCAGAGGGAAGTTCACATTTTAGCTGCAGTGAAAAAAACATCTCTAATTCAGCTATACTTTCAGTTTCAACTACTCTGACTTTAAATTTGAAATTCCCTTTGCATTCTTAGTAAATAACCCCGACAGTGCATTATATATAACTCTGCTTCCGTTTATATATTAGAGACGGCGATACAGGATTCACTCTATTAATCAAACCATTCCAGGATATATTCACTCACATGGATTAATGACAAGGAGCATGTTTGCTAAATCCAAGGTGAACTTGTACAAATCTAGACAGGTCTAACAATTTAATGTTACACGTGTCACACGTGAAATGATGAACTTAAAACCAGGAAAAACAGGTTATATGATATTTTGGTTCAAACCAGTAACAAAATCCCTGATGATAGCAGCCCCAAAAGCTTTTGACAAAAGGGGCATAGCAGGGATAGCGAAAAGGTAGAGCGAGTTTTTAACTATAGCAATCTATCATGGAGATCAAAATCTACAACATCATGGCTATATAATTTATATTATATTTTCAGCAAAATAGAATATAATCAATGTTAAAGATTATTTTTCTGCATTAGATCCCGAGGCAGCACATGCACTATGAATGCTTACAATATTCTAGAGTCAACACAATCTACCTAAATACAGTGAAACACAGCATTATTCCACATACAAAAGAACACGATGTTAGCCAGACAACTGAACTTGTGTGGCAGGCAAATAAGGATTATTGTTGAACCAGCGTCTTACAGTGAAATTTTCTTTGGTTAGCAATGAATTATATTGCTCCATAAACAAAATATCAATAGGTATATCTTTTCTCGTGAAATTTCGATCCAATTTCTTTATTGTCATACTTCTTTGTTGCCTCTCTTCTCCTGAAGGCATCCATTGTCTCTGCTCTTCTACTTCGTCGCTCAGGGTTGAGATGTCTTTTTTCTTTGCCCCGGCCAACATTCTCTGAGAATAGTAGTCCTTTAATGTTGAGTCTTGTTGCTGTAGGGATTGTATCTTTTCCACAAACAGTTTAACCTTGTTTTTAGAGTCCATGTCTTTATCGGATGTGATTTTTAACTTTGATTCCAATGAGAGGTCAAGTTTGTCTCTATCACCGACAGAATGAAAAGTGGTGCTTTTAGATCTTTTTCTTACCCGGCTTGAGTTTTCTGGCCCGTGCATTTCATGTTTAGCTTTATCTACGGTGATTGAAAATGTTTCTGGCACTTCTTTGATCTTCAGAGTTTCTGTGTAACTTTCGCCATCGCTCAGAATAGCTTCATTTGTTGTCGTGGGATTTGTTTGTAAATGAGGGGGAGCAGTCATGATCAGGTTTGTGTGCTCACATTCATCTTCCCTGAAATCATGGATCTGAACTTGCTTTTGTCCAGTTTGTCTAATTCCAGGTGCAGAATAGAATCTATGATGTGGTCTGTGAGATTTTCTATTGGTTTTAAAATGACCAAAATCTAATAATTCACGATTTGTTACTTGGCCATCTTTTACGTATCTCATATCTTTATCTGACTTGAAGGACATCATGGATAGTGGCCTACAAGGTGCAGATGCTGCTCTTAGAGGCTTGCCATTTTTCAGTATATTTCTCAGTTCCTTTCCAGATTCAGCATCCAGGATAGTATTAAAATTTAAATTGGTCAGATGTTTGATCATGGCTTTGTTCCCAACTAGTCTAGCATGTGCTAATTCTGACCTTCTAAGCTTCAAGGTAAATCGATTGTAGAGAACCTTTTGATCAAGGCTCAGTGAATCTGCTGCTTGCTTCTTCATAGACTCCAATGCTAGAATTTTCTTTTTAAGCAGACTTTCCTCCTTGGCATTAAATGATATGGTCATAGGAGACTTCTCTGCCTCTCTTATTTTCTTATCTGCCATTATGATCACCTGTGAACCAGATAAGGTTAGGATCTCTTTTTCTGTATGTGTTCAAGCAGCAACTGTAGGTATTTTCACCTAATGGCATTTGCAGGGCTCGTGTGGACCTGTTCTCATTTGTTGTAAGAACAAGTTATGGCTTCAATTGTATGTTGTCAGGGAAGTAGAATGGGCTGCAGAAGATCATTGTTTTGCAAACATCAACCTTTAGCCCTTTGGTTAAATGTTCCTCATTGCCTTGCATGTTTAGAAACACACAACTGAACAAGGAACGTGTTATTATGGAAAAACAAATACACAATGTTGTTAGCAACATTAGGTGTTTGTATAGTTCAGGAATGCAGCAAACCTATTAATCAATTAATCTGACATTTCTATAGAACTTTATTAGACATTTCAATAAAGTGTGTAATTTATATCAACGGACTCAAAAAACAGACATTTTGATCTACAAATCAAAAATCAATAAAAGTAAGGTATTTATTTCTATACAGTTAAAGCCTATCTAAAGCATTGTGCTTAAGTGGCCTTTGAAAATTATTATTAACATGACTGATCACTATTGCTAGATAGGTTACAGGGACTCATTTAATAATTATAGACTCTTTAAAACTGTGGATATAAATCAATAGTTTTTTAAAATAAGAGAAAAACTATTTTTTTTAAATTAAACTTTACGAAATGTATTTATTAAGCTTTTTTTCATTAGATTGCATTTTTTTGTAATAAAATGTTTTCGGGTAAAAATCTATCTAAAGATAGTTTTCTGTTTAAGATACATTATAGTACTAAGATTATTCACCATTAATGCTTGGGCCACCTGATGGGCCTTGGTGCAGATGCACCTGTGGCAGTTTCGCCGCTCCACGTGGGGCCTGGGCCGCCGGGCCCCCCAGGGCCGCCGGGCCCGTGACAACCGTTATGGTTGTCACCCCCTGATGGCGGCCCTGACACTGAAGTCCCTGTAGTGGCTGTCTAGTAGACAGTCACTGGAGGTGGAGTTAACCCCTCACGGTAATTATTGCAGTTTCTATGAAACTGCAATAATTATACTTTCAGGGTTAAAGAGATTGGGACACTGAACCCAGGCCACTTCAGTGAGCCTTATAGTGTCCCTTTAAGCACACACTCTGACACACACATTCACTGACAGACAAACACTGGCAGTTACACACACAATAACAGACACAGAGACGTCACTGGCAGTCAGACTCACTGATTTGACACACACACAATTACTGACACAAACACACTCATTCATTGACAGATACACACGCACACTGACAGACACACACTGACACTCATTGTCAGACACACTGATAGTCAAACAGTCAGAGACACACACACACAGACACACACACATACACTCACAGACATACACATACACACAAAAAATTTAAACCCAGCCTCCCTACCTGGAGAGCTGGCATGGATCCGTCCCTGGGGTCTAGTGGGGCTGCTGTGAGGCGGGCGGCTTACCATCAGAATCGGCGAGGGAGCTGTGATCTCTCTGCTCTGCTCCCTCGTGCCGCACGGGCTGTCTACTGATGCCGGAATATGACGTCATAGTCCTGCTCCCACGGCATCAATAAAAGGCGTGTGAGGGAGCAGAGCAGAAAGATCACAGGGGATGCCTAGTTTGCCTTGGGCTAAATACATCCCTGCTTCTATGGCATCTCAGTATTCTTATTGTGTCTGAGTTTATACCAGAGCTCCACAGCAGTAATACAGTAAAGTGTCTTTAACATTCAAAAAAAGATTTTAGAAATCAGTCTGTGTAAGTATGATACTTTATTCTTCTTCTCAATTATATTTTAGTTGCATAAATTATTTGTAAATCACTTGAAATTACTTTAGTATAGCCCCACTTTTGGAAACACCCCAATTCACACTCTAAATTTAAAGTGTCCCTCTTTGTCCATTTGAAATCTTTAGCATGTTAATGTTTTGGGTTTTATGTGTAGAATGGGGTTTAATGTTAAGTGATGTAGTGTGTTAGAGTAATATAGGGACTGATATATGGATGGATAGATAGTATAGTGTAGAGATTAAGAGGATTTACTGTCACAGCAGCACATGTCCCAGTGCAGTCTAAGCTTAATGGAAGTTACAGTACCAGGCAACATCTATTTTATCTTGGCAGGTACCACTCGGACTTTATCTTCCACTAATTTCAAGCAGCCCGGCCATGTATATATCTAGAATATTATCCTGATTTTTCCCAGCATTGGGGCCTCCCAACTGCACAGAGATGATCCACACATTATTAGCTGTTCATTATGGGGCATAATTGCATGGATGATATCACTAACTGTGCAGTACAAGATAACAAACCACGATCCACACGCTAAAGTAATGGGAGATCTTATACTGGGCTATTTATCCAGGGCATTGCAAGCACTATCGCGGCTGACTTACCTTCCCCAAGTCCTTCCAATGCCATTTAGAGGTTTATTAATCCCTCCCAGTGCCTTACCAGGGCATTAAAGCCTTCTATTGACATTACCACCGCTAAACAAGACTATATTTATCTACCTACTCAGAACCTACAGTCCTAAAATACTTTGCCTATAGATGCCATACAAGGTTTTCTCAGTTTCCTTGTTTCCCTAATAGAGGTAAAGCAGCGAACAAAGTCGGAACGGTGGGACAAGAAAGGAAAATTTAAACCATACCACTGCAATTGGGATGGTTGAGAGGCATGCTCTAGTGCCATTTAGGAAGACAGCCATTAGAGGTTTCCGCAACTGGATTGGCTGAGATCATCAATCTTGATGATCTCAGCCAGGGAGGTGGAGCGAAAGCACTGAGATTAGTGTGCAGCGGGAAGTAAGGTGAGTAAAATGTACCCTTTGAACCTTTGCAAGGGTGGAGTGAACACCTACATAGGAAGGTGCTTTAGCATTAGGAATACATGCTTATATTCCTAATGCTATAGTGTTCCTTTTATTTAAAAAAATATAAGTTCTCCTAATTCTCCTTAAAAAGAGGAAGCAGGAAATGACACCATTGGGGGCTGTTTTGTTGTGGTTGTAGTTGACAGAGCAAGGACAATTCTCCTGTGAGTGACAACTTATTTTCTTGAGTTCATTCCATAAACTGTGTTCAGTTCTCATTCATTTATATATATATTTTAAATGTATTATTTATATAATTCCTTTAAAAAGGCACATAAAGGAACACTCCAGAAACCATAACAACATCATCTAAATTAAATTGTTATGGTGGCAGGAGGCCCACAGGGATACTTTTACCTCAAGCGCTTAAAACATTTGAGAACGGTTTAACCCCAAAGTTGCCACCAGCACTGATCTCAACTCCCGCTCCCCCAAGCAGCATCCGGCAGCAGAAATGTAAGTTTCAGGAAGAGCGGATTGCCGCTGGGCATGGTCACTGATGATTGGTTGAAAGCGGTCCACTGTCAGCCAATCAGTGACTCCCTATTCATAGAACTGGCTTTTAAAAGGTAAATTTATTTTCAAGCCAGTTTAGTGAATGGGGAGTCACTGACTGGCTGAGAGCATCAGCTGACCAATCAGTGGCACCCCTCCCGAGCAGCACTCAGGGCTTCCTGAAACTGAAATTTCAGAAGCCTGATGGTGGAGGCAACTTTGGGGTTAAACCGTTCCAGAATGATTTAACCTCTTACGGTAAGACTGCCCCCCTGAGCCTCCTGACACCATAACAACGCAATTTAGATGAGGTTGTTATGGGGCCTAACCTGTCCCTTTAAGACATTTAAGAAGCTATTTCACCTGCAACAAAATACCAGACTCCAGTGTGTGGAGTTCACTGAGGAAATGAAATAGCTGATTGATTTATGTACTATGTACTTACGAAGTGAAATTCATGTCAGAAAGGGAGGGTGAGGGGACGGATGGGAGATGGGAGCTATTACTTCAAGCAGTTTATATAATGAAAACCATATTGCAGTGAACAAATCATAATGCAAAACTAAGAGTAAAAAAAAATCTCCAACCCAGTTATAGTCACAGTTTGGAAATGTTAATTTTGCAATCAGTTTATAATTAATCACAATTTGGAGTTAACTGATTAAACAATTTAGTGATTTGGGTAATAGTAACAACCCCTGGATGTTGGGCTAAGGTAACATCCCCAGGACCTACTCGAAAACCAGAGTAATCTGAATGTACCTTTCCTGGTTAAATACTTTATTATTATTATTATTATTATTTTGTAGCCTGCAAATTCATTTTGTAATCCTCATTCCAAGAGTGTGTGCATATTATATGCTAAAAAACACAATGTGATTGGACTGTCTCTTCAGGTGTTGCAGAAAAAAAAACAGTGTTCCTAAGATATATCTAACACATTGTTTGTGATACAAATCTTAATTATATGTTACAGATAAATCCTCAATCTGCTTGAATGGTGACTAGAAAGATTCAGCTGAACTCTGTAGAGCTGTAATGATTTTTCCGGCTGCGTATATGGTTCTCTATCACGGGTGGGACTTGGTGCAATTAGAAAACCAAAAACAGCAGAGCAAGAAAATCAGCAATATAAGATAAATGATCTAGCCAAGAACATGAACCATTCAGAGCACGTAATATGGGTTATGTGAATCTTTAACTAGGCTAGACTGAAGGGCAAAGCAAAGGAAATAAGTCGTCCAGCAGGGTGTCCATGTACTCTTAAAGGACCACTATAGGCACCCAGACCACTTCAGCTTAATGAAGTGGTCTGGGTGCCAGGTCCAGATAGGACTAACCCTTTTTTTTAATAAACATAGCAGTTTCAGAGAAACTGCTATGTTTACACTGAGGGTTAATCCAGCCTCTAAAGCCTCTAGTGGCTGTCTCATTGACAGCCGCTAGAGGCGCTTGCATGCTTCTCACTGTGAAAATCACATGACGTCACTTGCCCCTCCCCCCCCCCCTGGATTTTTCAGCTTGTGCTGCTATTTTTCGTGTGATTGAAAATGAACTGCAATACCAGCGCTGGCCAGTAGGTGGCGCTGTGTATGGAGAGAGACAGGGATAGGAAGCTGCATCTTATCCCTGCTTCTCTCTGCTGATTGAAACCGCAGGGGAACAACACATGCAGCCAGAGACAGCCTACAGATCAGGTAAGTAAGGGATGGGGGGGGGCAGCAGCCTATAGATTAGGGAGTGAGGCTGGGGAGGGGGCAGCAGCCTATAGATTAGGGAGTGAGGCGGGTGGGGGCAGCAGCCCACAAATGTAAGACTTACTCGGAAGAATATCAGCAGACAAACATAGAAAAGGATGAGGCCGTTAAAACCGTCAAAGGGAAATGGGGTATAAAACAGATATGGGAAACCGTTGGTGATAGGAAGGACATAAGAGGCTAAATGGAAACAGACCAAGGTAGAAACAAGGAAAGAAGAACAATATGAGATGATAAAGAGAGAAGATAAATTCCTGGAGATGACAAAGAGAGAAAATGTCACAAGCACACAGGGAGGACGTTTGGCATGGAATGAAGTTCGCTGTCTGATAACTGGTGTATTTAGCCCAAGGCAGTGGCACTAACCAGGGGGTGGCAGTGTTAGACTCAGAGGCAGCAAGGGAGCTCTCTTGCGCGCCGTTTGCTGATGCCGTGGGAGCCTGAATATGATGTCTTCCGGCTGCCGGCATCAGTAGACAGCCCGCAAGGCACAAGGGAGCAGAGTAAGGAGATCACAGATCCCTTGCTGCCTCTGAGTCTAACACAGTTGCACGCCTCACAGCAGCCTCACTGGACCCCAGGGACAGATCCACACCAGCTCTCCAGATAGGGAGGATGGGTGTAAAATTTTAATTTATAATAATTGTAATAATTTGTGAGTGTGTGTGTGTATGAGTGTTTGTCATTGAGTGTGTGTGTGACTATTGAGTGTAGGTGTGTGTAAAATCAGTTAGTTTGTGTCTGTCAGTGACATCTGTATGTGTGTGACTGCCAGTATGTGTCAGTCAGTGAATGTGTGTGTTTTAAATCATTGAGTCTGTGTCTGTCAGTGGCGTCTGTCTGTTTGTCATTGAGTGTGTGTGTACCAGCCAGTGTGTGTCAGTGTGTGTGCTGAAAGGGACACCATAGGCACCCAGACCATTTCAGCTCATTGAAATGAAAGGTGCAGTGTCCCAGTCCCCTTAACCCTGCAAGTACAATTATTGCAGTTTCTCAGAAAAGCAATAAAATTACAAAAGCAAAGCACATATTGTGGGGTCATAACTCGGCTAATTTCCAGGGGGGTTCCTGTGAGATTTCCTGGTGACAACATATAAAGTTTTCACTACAATGAAAAGGCAAAGTAAATTTCAATTTTGAAAGTAGCCAAACTGTAAACATTCTTTATTCTGTCAGTATGTATGCTCACTTTAGTCAGTAATCCTGATAGTAAACCACTGTGTGATGGTAATCCCATGTGCACTGCATAATAACTGTGGAACTGTAGCCTCTGGTCTTGTTCCACCTGACACTGCCGGTAAACCTTATCTCCATGTTACCTGGAGAATACATCATTTCCAGGATTTTTTATTTTTATTTTGAGACCCTCTTTCCATGGGCAAAAGATGAGAGCTCTATCTTCTCTAAAGAGCTCAAAATTAGGGGAGTGACATTAAAATGAACACCCCAATCACCAATACACATTTGATGCATTTGTTAGGCTTTGACTTTGTTAAAATATTCATAGTTTTTGTACAAAAAAATATATATATATATTGCAGAATGCTGCACCATAAGCCTGCCTCCATAGCCACACTCTCTCATAACAGAAATACTTCCTTATCAATGTATGTACACACAGTCTCAGTCCTAACAGCACTGAGTGAATGGCATAAAATTCACAACATGGCTTCAGACAGACAGAGAAACTATAAACAGGTAGTGATATATTTATTATATATCTTCCTGAGTGTCCTCTCCTTCTAATGCAGGCTGTTTTGTTGTTCATTTTGTTTAGTGCTATCAGTGGCTGAGCTGTGTGCATATGTTGGATAAGGAAGTATTTTTCAGGAGTGAGAGGGTGTTTCTTATGGTACAAAATTCTGGAAAACATTTCTTTTTTTGTGCCAAAACTACAAAATCGCAAAATCTGTTCCTTCCATGCCAGGATTCCCCTTAAGCCTTGTCCTGCCCACCCTGTGGGTGGTCTTTAAGTGGTGGGTACTGTCACGGCTCCCGGTCCCCCTGCCGGTATGGCTGCACAAATACTAAGTAGCCACACCGACAGAGATGTTTCAGACTTATCTTGGCCCCGTTGGGTAGCTCCCCGGTCTCCCTCCGTTCCGGTCCCCAGCAGGTGCGACATTCTTAGAAATGTCATCCGCTGTGGTTTGGGCTTTTATAAGAAACATACCTTTGCCCACATCAAAGATGGCATAGATGCGCACGCAAGTTTTGGGGTCAGAGGTCAGAGACAGCCTATTACAGCCTAAGGAGGGTCATTTAAACTCAAATTACCTTTTTTTTTTATCAGTGCCCTGCCGTGGTTTTTTTACTAGTTGGTTATCCAAGAGTGTGTTCCTGATTGTGTTTTTTTTCTTGTATTTGACTTTGGCTTCCTTTTAACTTCCCTGATTTCTGGTATCCTTGACTTTTGGCTTTCTCCATCGTTGTGTCTCTTTCTGTGTCCCTGACCTCGGCAAGTATTTTGACTATTCTTGGAGACGTTAAGTCCGGTTAAACATTATCCTTAGTCCTAGGTGTGATACTATTCTGCGTGCTGGATCAACAGTTCTTAGAAGCATCTAGTGAGTTTATTTGCACCTCATATAGCACCTGGAGGGTGCTACTCAATGTTTAGACTTTATTTTCCTTTCTATGCATTAGCTGTTTTCTCTACTTGTTTACTTACTTGTAAACTACTACTAGAGAGTATCCCTTTTGATTGATCACTTTCAGAACTCCAGGGGAAATCCCATGTAAAAAAATCTCAGTGCTGCAACCCCAATACAAAAGGGGATAACTAACCTGCAAAAATGAAAATCAAAGTCCTGTGGTCACTTACACGGTTACAATGTTTCCATGGGCAATATACTGCTGCTGGACTGATCCAATATGAAAATATCACCACATGGCTCCAGATATTACTGTCATCCATGTAATATCCACAAGGTTAATCAAAAATAGTGCATTTTTATTTAATAAAAAAGTATAACGACATATAATATAACATCAGAAATAATAGGGTATCCAAAAGGTCAAAATACAGAATTAGTAGTAAACGTACCATAAAAAATAATCACCAGTCCAAAAATAAAACCCTCTGCCTACTGGAAGAAAGGGGAAAAAAAAGAAAGTTGGAAATATATGGAAAACACCTAAGAGGGCACATGTTTTGCGTCTACTTTAATGCTTTATCAACATGAATGATTCATTTTTGGACTGGCAATTATTTTTTGTGGTATGTTTACTACTTATTCTGTATTTTGGCATTTTGGATACCTTGTTATTTATGAGATTTACCTGCTATTTTGATATCATGTTATATATTTTTATTAAATAAGGATGTACTATGTATGATTTACCTGGATGTTACATTAGTGACAGTTAGTGCGTACCTTCAGAAGCGATGTGGTGTTTTAAGAAATGTATTTATGTGATGTGTTTACTTTTTCTAATGACGAGATTTGCCTTGTAGTATGTAGAATTCAGAAGAAGGTGTATTAGATTAGGTAATTAGGCAATGAAGAATCAGGCAGAATGTGCATGATACATACTGCAGGGAAACCTTTTTAATGCATTTTTATGAAGATTATTATTTTGTTACTAATAAAGAGCCAGCAAGTTCCATAGTGCTATACAATGGGTAGATATGACAAAATGATGTGTTCCTGAAAACATGGTGGATCACATGGCCCGCGGGGGCCTTATTTGTCAAGGGGCAGTCCCCGAGAAGCAGATATCGGCAGAGGTGAGTTTTGCAGACCTCCTGCAGTTGAAAACCATTAGGGCATTCCAGGCCGCAGCAAGGGCTTTAAAGCCCCTTAATTTGGGGATGGCATGGAACACCGTAAAGGCGTTATGGAGTTAACCGTGCAATGTAAAACATTACAGTTTTAGAGAAGCTACTGTAGGCGCTTCCTCGATTCACATGGAGTTTAATTCTGTAAAACAACACTGGACCTTCAGCGTCTTGAAAATCCCCATAGGAAAGCATTCATTCGGAGGGGTTAAGGGGGTGCAGAGGCAGAGTGACACTATAGTGTTAGAAATGCAGTTCTGTATTCCTAATACTAGAGTGTTCCATTAAGTGTATCCATTATTTCTGTTCTGAACTAGCAGAGTTCACCAATGCAAAGTCTGAAAATGGAAACGTTGACTTTGTAATGTAATTTGCAGAACGTCATGTTAATAAACAATGTATACTAGTAATCTACATTATTTTTCTCTACAGTAATATTAATACAAAACACATTCTAGTAATGTGAATATGTCACAAGCAGGTGCAATTTGAATGAGGAATATGTAATCCAGTTACAAATGGGTCATGCGAGCAACAGTGTTTTTGCCACTACAATGGCTTATAAACATAAACCACTTTATTATTACATTAGGTTTCTTAAAAATATTATTAATTCGTAAATCTTGTGAATATAAAAATATATTGAAAAAGTCAAATGTATCCAAAGCAAAACAATTTTTTTGTTTCCCTGTATTGTTGACATATTACTTCCTTAAAAACGGGTGCTAGGTATAACAGTCCGTAAGTAAAGATATATAAAATTCATGCTCTGCAATTGTCACATGTCTAAAAATCTGTATCTGAAATGGTAGATATAACAATAGTCAGGTGTGTACTCACTAACCAGTACTTACCTGTGAACTGTAAATAATTTGCATAATTTAGTTTAAAATAGGAAAGCTAGGACTAAAGAGGAACTGAAAAAAAAAATCAAAATTATCTGGATTTCCCCAGTTATAAGCAATCATTTCAATCCACTACAATTCACTGATTAGTGGATAAACCCTGCTGATGATATACGTCAAAGTGTTGTCAAAGTAATGACCAATGAAATATGTCTGCTGATTCCATTGGCTTCCATAGTAAAGGCCCCATTTTTGGGATATTGTACCACTTTTCAGATCACAGAAGTGCAATAATTATCCCCCTATGTGTCCAACCTTCTGGTAAATGTATTCATTTTTTTTTTTTATAAGGAACTTGAAATGATTACTTTGGTTTTGTTTAGTTAACACATACAAATAAACCGTAGATCTGGCTTTATAGTTAGGCTAAGTGCAACTGCATCTGTATGTTCATGTATTTTAATCATTTTCATTGTCTTCAGCTTTGTCTGTTTCTCCAGCACTGTCTGGTCCTTCTGAAATATATGCACTCCCATATTTCTGTATTCTTCTCTCTACCTTGGTAATCCTTTGTTTGAGTTTCAACTGAGTTGAGTTGTATTCTGCCAATAATCTAGCAAATCGGGTCTGTAGACTATCAAAAGAAGATTCTAGCCTTTCAACTTTTTCCTCCACGTCTTTTGGGTCAGCACTTGCTCTTGCTGCTTCTTCATCTATCAAACCATCTTTCATGAGAATTTGACGCCCTTTTTCTTCTAATACACTTTTAGCATCTGGGTATTCAGTGAGGGCCTCCATCAAATCATCCTTTGAAAGACAAAAGAGGTCTGAGTACCCAATGCTTCGGATGTTAGCTGTCCTTCTGTTACCTGATTTACTTCCCTTGATGTTTAATATGCTGATTTCTCCAAAATAACTGCCGTCACTGAGGACTACAAACTGCGTCACACCATCATCTGCCACAACAGCTAGCTTGCCCTCTTTAATAATGTACATTTCACGCCCAATGTCTCCTTTTCTACATATATAATCTCCTGGACTGAAGACTTGAGGTCTCAGCTTAAGTACTAGTTCCACAAGAAGTCCTGCCTCACAGTCTTGGAAGATCCGTACCTTCTTCAAAGTATCTAAATGAACATTGATTGCAATTTCAGCCTTCAATTTGTCTGGTAAACTCTTTAGTACTTCTTTCTCATCCATTGTTTTCTTGTTTGTCCAGAGATAATCAAACCATTTTATAACCCTTGCCTCCAAGTCCTTGGTAACTTTACGAAATTGCATGTATTGTTTTATAGAATCTATCTTGGCCTGGAACTCTGCCCGTGATGCATTCATATTTGATATCATGGACCCAACATTACCCACAATGGTAGCAAAAATAAGCACACCAATAAGAAAGTCAAAAACAACAAAGAGAAACTCTATATCCTTGACTGGTGGTGGAGTTTCTCCAATGGTTGTGAGAGTTAAGGTTGACCAGTAAAGACTGTAGATATATTTCCTTGCAAGGCGCCCATATTCTGGATGGGAAATATTTGGATATACCCATGTGTCTGTTCCAAACCCAATGGCTTTTGATATTGCGAAATATATACAGGCATTCCAATGTATGATAATTAGAATATAAAGAACAAGATTTCCAATACGAAAAATATTTGGATAATTTGTTCTGGTCTCTGTACGATCAAAGAATTCAAACATTCTGGCAAATCTCAGGAGGCGGTTAAATCGTAACTCTGGGTAGTTAAGCCCTACTTTTAAGTAGGCCAAATCTGTTGGTAACAAAGACAATACATCAAGCTTAAATTGTAGTGTCTTTGAATAATGTTCTCTAAGCTTCTTGGCATCTTTCACCAGCAAGCCCTGCTCGAGAAAACCTAGGAAATTAAACACAGTCAATCAGATACTAAAATAATGACATTAACTTCAAAATAACGGACACTTATTTTCATATTTAAACAGATATCATTTTTAAACTGGAGATTTAAATGAATTTATGTTGGACCTTTGTCTCAAAATACTTGAGTTCTCTGTTGTATCGTAACGGAAATGTAGCACCTAAACTGGGCATTTATATTGTAATCATGATTATTATTATTATCATGGGTGGTTTAAGGAGTTGAAGGTACCAAACACAAAGATTGTTGTTTCTAAGTATAAAATAATTCAATAATAACGTTATTTTTTCCATTTTTACCTTAAGGTTAACAAAGAATAACTGATTAACATAGAAGAAAAATTGGGTAAACTTCTTTATTCAATTCTGCACATAAGCGCTACACCGTTATTACCTACTACTTTCTATCACTTTTGTTTAAAAGATTCTCACGGTGGTTAGCAGCTGCTTGGATTATATAGAAATCTTAAGATACCATACTCAAATAGCGCTGATACTTTCCTGTTTTATTTAATAACGTTACAAGAGCTAGTAAATCTGGGTTAGTGTACATTTTATTAAATTATTTTTAAGGGACACTCCTCAGGGCCGATTCTTGGGTCACGGACGCCTGGTGCATATTTTTGTAATTTTTTTTATGCATACACTGCAACCTTTACACACTCTGGATCCACTAAACACACTAGACTCCCTGTACGCAAACACACACTACATTCTCTAAACACACACACTCTACAGCCCCTACACACACTACATCGCCTATACACATCTATACACTACAGTCCTTAAGCACACAATCACTGCAAAGTAAAGACAAAAAGGAATTGGCGGAACATCCAACACATGCATTTCACAGGAATGGTGCTTTTTTTTACATTTTACAAGGCCACTTAAAATCCCTTATCTCCGCAAGCAAAAATGGGGTTCAATTCCATCATTGGCCATATTGTGTTAAGTCAACCACTAAATCACAGGACCCCAATATCGGTGGGTCCTACACTAATTCCAATGTGGAAGACACAAACCTGGTTTTATAAGTTAAATTACGTTTTTATAGAATTGAATGTAACTCACCTGTCCTGAATCGCACCATTGTATCAAGAACATATATGAGATCTGCGCTGTAATCCAAGACCAGCCACAATGTGGTATTAGTCTTCTGGAGCTCATCAAAACAAGCTCTAATGACAAAAAGATTTAGTATTTAACATCATATTTAGAAGACTTAGACATTGACCGCAGTCAAATATATGTATATACACATACCTACATACTAATAAACACCAATTGTAAAGCACCGGTAAAGAGATGATTGAGAGCCATCTATAATAGAAATTGCTTGCTGGATCAATTACAAAAATTTCTTTCTTCTTTCTGTTGAAGAGAAATTGCACGTTGTGAAATTATATACGACGCATATGTACAGGTATTATTGTGTTTGTTGTTTACTATTAAGATTTTACATGGGCGTTTGCTACATGCCAGTAATCAGTAAGACTGGGCAAAGTACTTAGTGAGACTAGGAAAGTACCCTTACTCGATTTGCAAATGTAATTGTAGTGTGCACGAAGTGTTGTAACTAGTCATTATGTCATGCATGGTGAAGGAGAGTTACACTGAGTTACTGTTGATTGTGACCCAAATTGAATTGGTCAAGGTATGAAAGCTGGGGGACATGTGATTAAAGGGACACTGTAGGCACCGTGTCTGCTTCATCTTATTAAACTGGTAATAGTGTTTGGAGTTTCCTGGTACTGTAATTTCATTCAGCATTAAACAGTTTTTGATGTTTTAATGTGATGCTTTGGCTAGTGAGGAAAAGTTAGAATGAGCAGCTGTGGTTGGATAAGAGTGTCAGCTGACTGCTTTAAGCTTATCAGTATAAATGGGTATGACAAAGTATGTATTCTCTGCCTTGGCCTCACCAAGAAGGGGTTGGACTGTGGGTGGTCCGTGTGACGGAACACTGTCACTGAGTGCCATCCCCTCCCTGAGCGCTGATTGGTACAAGTGGGTTTCATGCCCTTTCTCCCTATTGGCCGCCGCATGGTTTTAGGCGCTAAATTTGAATAATCGGTTGAAACCAAGTGATTCTATAGAACTATTTTCGTACATTCGATCATTCCGCTATTTGCAGGGATCCTAGCTGGGACCAGGAGCTATTCTGGAATGTATGGCATGTGGGGGTGCGTTACTGTATTGTGTGTATTTATGGGGTTTTTGTGTGTTTGGCTTCCTGTGTCTGGGAGATACCATTATCTCCCAGTCACAGTGATGCCGGGGTGGGCTTATATTTTATATTGCTGTAAATGGAGACCCCCTGTGGAGGTCTGTGCATAAATACCGTGTATTTTGCCTGACATAAACAGTTCTTTTTCACCCTTCACTAAGTCCTGACTAGTGTTTGGGTGATACCACAATTGCCCTTCAAGCGACTATAATCACTAGCTCACAGCTATAATCACTCTAGGGCTGGGCACAACTAGAAAGGGGTGACCACAGGCAGTAGTAATCCATCCTCGAGAGGGCATACCTCCACATCTATCCCACCTCTGCCAACAGATGTGGTGGTATAGCCTCTCGAGGAAAAGTTACTACCGCCTGTGGTCGCCCCTTCCAAGTTGTAAATGAGGTCTCCACTTACAGCAATATAAAACATAAGCCCACCCCAGCGTTGCTGTGTCCCAGACACAGGAAGCCAAACACACACACACAAAAATATATATACACAATACAGTAACACACCCTCTGGCAGATGGGTTACTACTGCCTATGGTCACCCCTTACTAGTTGTGCCCAGCCCTAGAGTGATTATAGCTGTGAGCCAGTGATTATAGTCGCTTGCAGAAGTGCAAATGTGGTATCACCCAAACACTAGTCAGGACTTACTGAAGGGTGAAAAAGAACCCTTCTTTCAGGCAAGATACACGGTATTTATGCACAGACCTCCACAGGGGTCTCCATTTACAGCAATATAAAACATAAGCCCACCCCGGCATTACTGTGTCTGGGAGATAATGGTATCTCCTGGACACAGGAAGCCAAACACACAAAAACAGAAAGGAAAGGCTGCGCCAAAAGGAATGATTTAAAACAAATGGTAAAAGTATATAAAAATAAATAAAATATTACAAATAGTCCCAATATATATTAGAGGTTGAACTGAAGTAAAAATTGTCTTAGGCAATGCTTCAGCTGGTGGAGTATCTTCTCTGTTTATAGTAGTTCTGATCGTCTCGTGATATAGAAGACACAAGAAGAGAGGGCCAATCGTGCAGAGTGTATAAAGTGAATATTTGTGAATTAAATTATAGATATTACACTCACATTTAGATGAGCTATGGCCAGCTCAGGTATAACAGGCATACAGCGGAACAACCTCCGGAAGGGAATGGTGTCTAACTCTCAGGGAAAAAGGAACATAAAAACAACCAATAGTGCTCTCTGATGACATGATATAGAAGTTGATAAAATAAAATATACTATATAATAAAATATATATAATATATATAAAATATACTCACAAGTGGAGTGCAGGCCTAACTGCACTCTGGTGATAGCGTTGGTGGTATAATCCCCACCTCAGGATAGGTTTATGGAATAAGTAAATAATAATTATTTCTGTTTTTTTTATTCCTTTTATCTTCAAAAGAGAGGGATAGCTATGGGGACCAGGTTTGCCCCCAGCTATGCCAACCTCTTTATGGCAGACTGGGAATCTAGTGCTGTCTGGGGACGGCATGCCTGGGAGCATAGCCTGGTCTCCTATTTTAGATACATTGACGATTTGTTTTTTATATGGAAGGGCTCTGAGGATTCCCTCAACTCTTTTATAACACATCTTAACTCCAATAACAGAGGGATTGTCTTGACTTGTGAATATAGCAAAGACACAATTAACTTTTTAGATTTAAATATTTTTATTAAAGATGGGACAGTACACACTAAAACTTTTTTTTTTTTAAAGTATGCACTAATACAGCAATAGACCAAACCAGCTGTCATTACAAGCCTTGGCTTGAAAATGCCCCCAAGAGCCAATTTTTACGAATACGTAGAAACTGTTCTCACATTGATGATTTTAATGAGCAATCGTTGGTTCTAAAAAAACAATTCATAGAAAAAAATTACTCACCTACACAATTGAACAATACTATAGAAACAGTGAGAAACAAACCAAGAGAAAGCCTTTTAACTTATAAGGATAAAAGTACCTCAGAAGCCCCTACCCTTCCTATAGTTTTTAATTATAATAATAATGAAAGCGGTTTTATTAAAAAAACTATTAAAAAACACTGGCACCTTTTAAAAGATGACTTTCTCAAAGAGATTTTACCAACAAAACCCAAAATTGTTTTTAGAGGTGCACCTAATTTTAGATCTATTTTAACTAATAACTATACTAGAGAAATCAAAAATACCAATCACACCTTTTTAGATGGAGCAACAGGTTTATATAAATGCAAACGCTGCATTGTGTGTAAAAACACCGACCCCTCTACACATTCAAAAGTTACCAGTTTTAGATCTAATATAACTAATAAGAGTTATAACATAAGAGATTTTATTGGATGCAATACAACTAATATTATCTACTTATTGGAGTGCCCATGTGGCCTCCAATACGTGGGTATGACCACTAGGTGCCTAAAAACAAGATTAGCAGAACATTGCAGAAACATAAAAAATGGGTACCCAAATCATTCCGCATCTAAGCATTTCGCTAAACATAATCGAGATCCAAAATTTCTAAAATGTATTGAAATTAAAAAATGTAAGGTCCCTTGGAGAGGCGGTAATATAAAAAACATTTTAGGAAAATCAGAAATGGAGTGGGTCTTCAATTTACAGACCCTAGCCCCCAGGGCTTAAATGCAGACTTTGATTTATACAATTTTTTATAATACCATTTGTTTTAACTGTTCCCATTATTTTAACTATTTTAACTATTTTATATGTTTCTAGATTTAGTATATGTACTGATTTTTGCTGTCATATTGGGGCTATCCTATTCATAGTTGTTACCTACGGCATTATAGTCTAGGATGCCCCCAACCTGACCGCATTTCTATCAGTATGTGCTATCATAATGCTTGTCAATTTACATTTGTAAAACTTAAGGTTATATACTTGAATATTACAAATAGCTGTCATTTTCCTTTAATCATTACTCTAGCCTTTGTTTTATATTTTATATTTATTTTATTTTGATCTTAAATATTTACATGCATTTTAATCTTTTTTTTTTATATGTATGCCCACAGTTAATATGGCTTCCCCTATTAATGTTTTCCCACACAGCCCCTTGACATACATCAATTTACTAGTTGGTACAAAACCAGCACCATTATAAGTCTTTTCCTTCTTTTTATCAGTTTATATGCTGATACATTTACTAATATTATAGATATAAAATCCTGCCTAAAATATATATAAGCCGCATACAAAAATGGCGGCCATACTTGAAATCACTCCATTTCCCATGTGGCCATGCGCCGCCATAATTCCCCTATTGATGCCGATCACGTGACCCGCGCACTACACTTTCCTATGTGCTGCAAGTCACGTGACGCATCCTAAGCCCGGCCAAGTACCACTAAACTTCCGGATCTGTGTGATACTGTGGACGCCGGTCACGTGACTCGCGCACTACATTTCCCATAGTGCTGTGCGAGTCACGTGACATGTTATAAACACATACATATATATTTATGTTCAGAAACTTTGTTTTTCAATAACTTTTATCACAAATGATTGTGTTTGACAGTATTTCTATTACCAATCCTTTTATTCTCTATTTTATTTTCAATTGTAAAGTCTACTTTTATTATGTGCATTGCTCTGATTGGCTATTAATTAATGACGTTTTTTTTGGTGCCATTTTTTAAATGAACATTGTACCTATATATACTCTTATTTGCCAGGTTTTAATGTTATTCCATTTTGATAAAGCCCCAGTGGCGAAACACGTGAATGGTTTTATAAATTGTGTATTTTATATAATAAAAAGATTTTTGGGCTATATTTTTGTGCCATTATCCTTTTACACACAATTTTATTTTATTTTTTCCTGGCATTTTACTTATTCCATAAACCTATCCAAAGGTGGGGATTATACCACCAACGCTATCACCAGAGTGCAGTTAGGCCTGCACTCCACTTGTGAGTATATTTTATTTTATCAACTTCTATATCGTGTCATCAGAGAGCACTATGGGTTGTTTTTATGTTCCTTTTTCCCTGAGAGTTGGACACCATTCCCTTCCGGAGGACAAGCATCCACATATCCTACAAGCGGGGATTGTTCCGCTGTATGCCTGTTATACCTGAGCTGGCCATAGCTCATCCAAATGTGAGTGTAATATCTATAATTTAATTCACAAATATTCACTTTATACACTCTGCACGATTGGTCCTCTCTTCTTGTGTCTTCTATATCACGAGACGATCAGAACTACTATAAACAGAGAAGATACTCCACCAGCTGAAGCATTGCCTAAGACAATTTTTACTTCAGTTCAACCTCTAATATATATTGGGACTATTTGTAATATTTTATTTATTTTTATATACTTTTACCATTTGTTTTAAATCATTCCTTTTGGCGCAGCCTTTCCTTTCTATTGTTGTATAGTTCTATTATAGAGGGTTAGAGGGTTACCCTCTGTCAGGCCGCTGCCTATTCATTGTGTTATTATTAGCGCTAACCTACCTTTTTGTTCTCAAACACACAAAAACCTATAAATACACACAATACAGTAATGCACCCCCACATGCCATACATCCCCGAATAGCTCCTGGTCCCAGTGAGGATTCCTGCAAATAGCGGAACGATCAGATGTACAGAGCCAGAGAAATTGTCAAACAAAGTCTGGGCTTGAGGCTCTGTGCATACCCTAAAATAGTTCCATAGAATCAATTGGTTTCGACCGGTGATTCAAATTTAGCGCCTAAGCCACGCGGAAGCCAATCGGGAGAAAGGGCGCAAAATCCACTTGCACCAATTGGTGCTAGAGGAAGGGTATAGCACTCAGTTACGGCATTCCTTTAGAGCCAGGGACCATTATTTAGTGTTAAACTGCTCAAACATGGTTTAACACTGAATGGAGGGACAGTGCCCGGGCACTATAACCAATTCAATTAGTTGAAATGGTTGTAGTGACTACAGTGTCTCTTTAAGGGTGATTGGAGAGGTCTCCTGACACAAAGTTCTGTTTCTCTGTTGTTTATCCTGTTACCTATTCTTTCAACATTTCATGAATAACTTATATTGGTGTTTTGCTAAAGTTTTGTTTGTCTATGTTGGGAAATTTCGAGGCCTTGTTTTTTTTTTGGTTTTTTTTTAACTGGTGAATTTGAGTAAAAGAACAACACGTTCAAGCTGTTTACCTTCATCGTGTACAAACATGAACATAATAACCATTAATTATAATATTGCAGTAAAATGATATAGCTTGAAATACATTTTTAGCCATTGTAATGTTACATGTAAATTACAAACTGAAGAGATAATATGCGTGATTTGGCCTTCAAACTGAAGATCAGTGAAGATCAGTGATCCCCACTGTAAAATAACAATGCCAATTAAATCATTGGCACCTTTGTATGTAGCATCTTCTAATCACTTCCGACTTTCATTTTAATATGTTTAAGCTTATAAAGAATAAACCCTACAATACTTCACCAGAGTATGTTTACATTCCATAATGTTTCCATAAGAAGCTTCATATGAGATTTCACTTCAAATCACTGTGGGGAGCTGAGCAGGGAAAGCTTACACTCAGTGCTCCCTCGCCGCGGCCTGCGAGTTTGACATGTCTGCACTACAGGAAACATCCTAATAACATATTCGGAAGTATCCTGAAAATTGATGCACTAAAAAGAGCACCTTCCAAATGCTGGGCATAGTGTTGGTTCAATGCCTTTCGTAACCTTGTTATTATTGTATGGGTTCAGGGATACTTAGAGTTACAATTAAAGCATAGTTTAGGTTAGGGGGTAATCAGGTTAGATTATATGGAAAACATTGGGATTAGGGTGTTCTGAGTTAGTGCCCACCGCACCTTCAGTGTCTAGAAGGATTAGAGGATACACCGCTGAACCACTTTTGATTTTACTCTGTTGTACCAAACAGTGATTTACTATTATATAATGGTGCTGTAGTTTCACCTTTCTGTAGCTCCATTGGTCAGCATTTAGAAGTTGCAATTTTCACAGCTCCATTTAAACGTGAAATAAAGGATCTAAGCCATACAATGCGGCTTACATTAACCTATCTTTGAAATGTTGTGGCACCTTGCAGTGCTGACATAGTTACATAGGCCGAAAGGAGACATGTGTCTATCAAGTTCAGCCTTTCTTACATCTGTTTTTCGCTGTTAATTCAAAAGAAGGCGCAGAAAAAAAAAAAAAATTCCCTCTTGACCCCAGAATGGCAGTCAGATTTATCCTTGGATCAAGAAGCTATTACCTTACAGTTAAAAAAAAAAAAAAACTATACAATTGAATATTCTGTTTTTGCAAGCATGCATCTAGTTGCTGTTTAAAAATCTGTATGGACTCTGATAAGACCACTTCTTCAGGCAGAGAATTCTGAGAGTTTTTATGGTAAAAATAACCTTTCCTTTACTTTAGACTAAATCTTATTTCTTCCAGTCTAAACCCATGACCTCATGTCCAATGTATAGTCCTGTTTGTGAATAGATTTCCACACAGTGGTTTGTATTGGCCCTGGATATATTTGTATAATGTTATTATATCCCCTCTAAGGCAACGTTTTTTTCTAAACTAAAGAGGTTTAAATTTGTTAACCTTTCTTCATAGCTAAAATGTTCCGTTCCTTTTATTAATTTTGTAGCCCGCCTCTGCACCTTTTCTAGTGCCATAATATCCTTCTTTAGAACAGGTGCCCAAAATTGCACAGCATATTCAATATGTGGTCTTACCAGAAATTTATAAAGAGGCAAAATTATATTCTCGTCCCGAGAATGAATGCCCTTTTTCATGCATGACAATACCTTACTGGCCTTTGCCACTACTGATTGACATTTCACATTGTTGCATAATTTGTTGTCTATAACAATTCCCAAGTCCTTTTCGTGTGTTGTTATCCCTAATTCGTTTCCATTAAGGGTATACGTTGTTTGTGCGTTCTTTACGGCAAAGTGCATAACTTTGCATTTTTCTACATTAAATTTCATCTGCCATTTGAGTGCCCAGTCCCCCAGTCTATCTAAATCCCTCTGCAGCAAAGTAATATCTTGCTCACATTGTATTACTTTACAGAGTTTTGAGTCCTCTGCAAACAATAACAATTATTAATAACTACTATAACTACTTTAAAAGCCCATTAAAATAAACTACAATAAAACCAATAGGAGCAAAGTGACATCAGTTCAATTGGCGATTGGAACATTTTATGTCATTAACAGCATACATTACTAAACCCTTATTATGACGCTCACATGACAAATGAAGTGCCATTTAAAAAAAGATCTCAATGCAAAATATTCAGCAGACTTAATTTAATACTGGCAACAATTCACTCAGGCCCCTCCACTTATTACCCCACTTTACATACAAAAACTTTAACTGCCCTGTCAAAAAATATCTTTCTGAAGAATTATAAACTATTAGCATACGATTATGATACTGTTTAATTGAGTTTCATATGTAATGTGTCTGCATACAAAACTACATTTATTTAGCATTACTGCTGGTTGGCAAATTTATGACAAATGCCTTAAGCAGATGGCGAGTAAAAAAGTTTTTTAGAAAATGTAGATCTGTCATCAATCTATATATAATAAGCTCCTTTGGAACTAATGTAATTACTTTACGGGGGGAAAAAATGTAATACCAAAAAGAAACTGAATTTCACTTTAAGTCTCATAATCACAAGTATAATTCAAACTGCATATTTCATGATGAATCGCATATATACTCATTTAATTGGTGTGGGGTTTTTTTTAACACTGTACTATCCAAATATAAATTATGATATTGTTAATACTCTGGTTTTAGTCATCATCTCATTTTTCCGAGCATATTAATATACAGTTAGTGCAGATTTGTTTAAATCATATAAATAGTACAGTTACAGCATAGATGGACATCATAAACTATGTGGCACAAGTGCATATCCTGAAGAACAACACATGGTCAGAGCAATATATGGCTGTGGGGATTCATTATTTAAGACATTTACATGGTGTACGTTTTCCTTTTACCATTTGCATTAAAACATTCTGTCTTCTTTTTTTAGATTTGTTATGTGGATATACTCTGCTAGAATAATTATTTAGTATATATATATTGAGATATAGTGTCATTCTATAAATCATAGTTTGCTTTATCACTGTGTGTTTTTGGGGTAAATGCTATTTCATATTAGAATATATGTTTAATTGGAATATTTGTTGTATTCGCTATTTTAGGCAGTTATTGACCTCACCTGCACTCCTTTAGCCAAGCAATGTTGTGACTCTCAGTTTTGCTGGGATATAAGTAGAAATCAAGCCTATAAGTCACCTATAGAAATGGGGCAATGATAAAAGCAATAAGTGCCAACATGAGAATTATTCGGCCTTGGAATCATCTACCTGTGCCAGTCTGAGAAGTATCCCCAAACTGTCAAAATGATTTATATACAAAAGATTCTGGTCTACAGTTCAGGTCATTTTAAAATGTTCCTGATTTTATTTGTACATGATGGAAGTGTTCTCTCGTTTTTTTTGACAGACATGGTCTTGCAAAATCCCTTATTGTCTCAAGTCAAGGGCAAACTATATGTGTTGGGCAGAATGAAAGTGTGCGGCTAATGCATCAGAACCAACTTTTCTAAAAGAACTTGCAAAGTCACTTTAAGTTAGGGAAGAATATCACAAATTAGGATTTATGCCATTTTGTTTCAATAATAATGCGAATGAAGAGTGGAATCTACAGCAATATCTCAGAAGACTTACTCATTTTCCTTTTTATCATCTTTTTTGTCCTCTTGTTTTGGTTTGTTGGTGTCATTCGCTGGTTTTTCTTCTTTCTTTGTGCTGCCCAATACAGTATATTAACAGGAAATCGCCCTTTATTGGAAGGAGGGGTAGAGGAGGAATTTCCACAAGTCTAAGCTGTGGAATGTGTGACCATTATTTAGAAAATGCATTGTTTGCACCTGATGTTTGACAAGTCTTATTCATTGATTTATGGAGATTAGCTATAGTATATGTTTGTTGTATTTGTTATTGATACATATTACGTGATCATGTTCTATAATAAAGTACGGTATGGATGGTGATGTTATGCATGCAATAATTCCTCTGTAATGAAACAGTGATTAAGCACACATCACAGTCAGTTTACCTGAGATTAGTGGGAGTTGGACTCCTGAGCAGCACCTGCTGCCATTTTAATTGTAGTAGCTGAAATGGTTGCTGTCCAAAACTGTAACTCCTACTAATCTCAGGCACACCACACTACCACTAAGCATTAACCCTTTCCCAAACCATTAGCACCCACACTACCTTAACACTAACCCTAACTCAAAAGTGTAATGTAATATAAAAATGCATAACACATTGAGTTAAAATACATTATAATAAAAAAGCAGGTACCGCTTAAGAGTGTAACTGCCGCTGATCTGTGTCTGGGAGTGAAAACCTATTTGAGATGAACGGAAGCAAATAAAGAGTCGTGGTATTAAACGCATTTAGTTGGTTTTCTATCCTTTCACGCATGGAAGACTTGTGAATAGGAAATAAGTGTTTAGTTTAAACACTTACCCCTGCTTGGCATCCCTGGTGCTGTACGTCTGTGTAGCTGTTGAATTCTCCATTTTTCTCTCTGCAGAACCTGTAGATATGCTTCACTGCATCCCTTGCAACGCTGAACGCATATCATTGACTCAGAGAAGCAATCTGCAAGAATTAAGTCAGCTTTCAAGAAGCATTTAAGAGTTTAATTGCTGGTCAGCTTTGAATTAATACATGCTTACTGAAAACTGGCATAATTGGAGCAAAATGTCACTCGTGAGCATCAATAGGATTTGTATCAGGGAAGGGGCACTGCTTCATCCCTACTGATATCACAATATAATTGCTTGAGAGGGTGGAAATGAAATCTGCGATATAAAGCCCAGACTGATCAGTTATACAATTTATACAATGTGCAGTAAGGTAAGAGCCGTTTTTGTGTATGTGTGTGTGTGTGTGTGTGTGTATATATATATACACACACACACATACACAAAAACGGCTCTTACCTTATTGCACATTGTATAAATTGTATAACTGATCAGTCTAGGCTTTATATCGCAGATTTCATTTCCACCCTCTCAAGCAATTATATAATATAGCCTCGGTGCTCCACAGTGGAACTATAATACATTCTTTAAATATTGGAAAGGAGTATGAAAATGTAAAAAAAAATCTAATTGTGCAGCGTCAACGTTTCGGACCCACTCGTGGTCCTCTCAAGACCTTGAGAAAGGACCACGAGTGGGTCCGAAACGTTGACGCTGCACAATCAAAAACTTTTTTACTTTTTCATAACAAAGTCCTGCGAGTGCCTCCAATATTTGAAGAATATATATTTATACTACTGCATCACTGCAATGTAACTGCTTCTTACAATATTACTAACAAGAAAAACATAGAATATTCGAACCCTGAGAATGGACAAAAGCTTAGAGAAACTCAGTAGCATGCCCTTCGGTAAATCCCCGCTCAGGTCTCAAAAATGTTTGTTCACTTGTGCCATTACAAAGAGAACCATTTGCACATCAGACTGATCCCACCCATAAGGGCAGTCCAGAACCAAAATGTTGGCAAATTCCCTCTGCACAAGAGATACAGCAACCTTCTTCGGACCTCGTCAGCGAGGTATAGCTGATACCCCTCCAGGCACAGTGAGCACAGGGTCCATGCCTGGATTACCGTTTTAACTTGGGGAGAGCCTAAGCAAATGCATAGAAACAAAAACTGATAATATGAGAATGCCGAGAACCGGCAAAAGCTTAGGGAAACTCTGTAGCTTTTATTACTAACATAACACAAGTGCTCTTCTTTCTACAATGAACTTGCTTCCATGTTTTACAAGGTTTGCCTGCCGATTTATCTACTTAACTCTAGGATGAAATTGGAGGAGGTAAATTGGAATGTTTCTACATTAAATTATTCTAGTTTACATTTTTTTCAAAGTGTACTGATTGTGCCATTCCACAATTCGTACCCCGGGACTGAGCCTTTCTTTCTTTTTCTTTTATATCTGGAACTTAAGCGAAAGCATTTATGAGTAATATTGTGCATTTTATGTACTTGAAAACTAATGGAATTATTTCAGTAAAACATTTGTTTTTCTTTACAAAAGGTACATAAAATAATAATAATGTGTTTTATTCTAGAGTCTGCAAAAATGATGTCTTATAGATAATATGCAATAATGGTCACAATTCTCACACAAACACAATTTATAAAATATTGAAATAACAGATGGATGGGAGCTAATTAACACTAAAGAGAATGCTAAAAGGGTCAGAGGGTGTTACAATCTATCTTTAGGAAATATACTTGGCTATCTAAACTAACATTCATTTAAAACTACCAAGATACATCATTAACCAAACTTCACAAGTAGGGTTTAGGGATCTTGAGTCATCCTATGAGAATAATGAGGACTGACTTACTCTTCTGTGTTGTTGCTGTTGTTGATGTTATAACTGGCAAAGACCCAATGGCTTGTGAGTGAAATCAAAAAGAAACAAAGAAATGAAGCACAAGACAAAACTATCAATAAAAAGAAAACACAAAGACTGAGCACAAAAAAGAAGCCTTCAAAATCAAATATAAACAGTATAAAACGCAAAAAAAAACTATCATTAAACTTAACACTAAGTGAATTAATAATGTCAGAACATTACTAACCTTACATCCTGTGTAACAGCGCACTGTTATTTAAGGTACGTTATTATCTTGGGGGCACCATAATCAGTAAATTGCTGCTCAGACCTATATGAAGAATCTTGAAACTTTTTTTTTTTTGTATAATTCAATTCTGATCTTAATTCTGATTACATGTTCTTTTTATGTTTAGTTTTCTAATATGGTCTGTCATTAACGTTATTGTTTAAATATAGGGACTGTTTGTTCTTACAACACTTCTTTCCAAAGGTCATCTTAGACCCAACAAGACTATTAAATATAAGCAGCACGAGTCCTCTCGTAAAGTACAGACAGTTTAAACATATATACATAAACACAACAGTCTAATTCAGTGGTGTACACACAATCCATGGGGCCCGGTGCGAAAACTGATCCGTGGGCCCCCCCACGCTTACTCTGCGTGGGCCGTGGCCGCAACACCTGGTGGCGAGCACCTAGTCGCAGGGGTCGCAGGGCTGCGACCGCGGTATGTACGCTAGTGCATGCAGATACACATACACTTAAAGGACCACTACAGACACCCAGATCACATCAGCTCAATTAAGTGGTCTGGGTGCCAGGTCCCTCTAGTTTTAACCCTGCAGCTGAAAACATAGCAGTTTCAGAGAAACTGCTATGTTTCACTGAGGGTTAATCCAGTATCTAGTGGCGGTCTCATTGACAGCCGCTAGAGGAGCTTCCATGATTCTCACTGTGAAAATCACAGTGAGAAGATGCTGAACGTCAATAGGAAAGCATTGAGTAATGCTTTCCTATGGGCGGTTTGAATGTGCGCGCGGCTCTTGCCGCGTATGCGCATTCAGAGCGGAGAGGAGGATCGGAGCGGAGGGATCCCCAGCACCAAGGGAGTCCGGTGCTAGAGAAAGGCAAGTGCTGAAGACACACACACACACTCTCACGATCAGACGCATACACACTAGCTAACAGACACACACTCCGTGACAGACATAAATACACACTCACTGAGACACACATACACACTCACTAACAGACGCACACAAACTAACACACTCAGTAACAAACACACAGTAACACACTCACTGACACACAAAAACTAACACACACACACACTAACACTAACACACACACGCGTTTTAAAAAAAAAAATGTAATCCCCCAGCCTCCCTACCTTTAGGAATGCTGAGGGGATTCCCTGAGGTCCAGTGGTGTTGCTGGGTGGCCGGTCAGCGGGCAGGCTGGCAGGCACGCGAGGGAGCACTTTCCCCTGAGCACTCTCCGCCCAGCGCGCCCACCAGCCTGCCCGCCAGGTGACACCAGGGCCAGCCTCGGGGGGGCCCTGAGGTGGCCAACTCCTGGGCCCCCCAGGAGAAGAGGCTGGCCACACTGGTGTACATACTCCCCCCTGCGACCCCGGCATGTATGCCACTGGTCTAATTATAGAGGGGAGCTGATGTTGTGAGGTTCCACCTCTATTTAGCTATCCAAAAGTATACATCGGTCAGGCCCACACAGGGAACACCAAACACATCATCACTTTCCAAGATATTTAAAACTGCAGTACCTTTATATCATCATTTAAAAATAAAAATAGACTGGAGATCAATGCAGGGGACCACCACACCGGGAAACCTGGACCACAGTCTTAAACTTTTTGTGCATTTAGGACTTCACCTGATTGTTGACCACAGCTTTCAATAAAGCTACATGATAGAGATAGCAAATTAACATTTTGAGAGATTAACCAGGAATCAACCAATCCATGTGTGGAGGTTCATGCATGAATTGAGTAATGCTACCATGTTCTTTGAGGATGTTGTCTATCTTCAAAATTTTAACCACAGCATAGTGATAAAGAACAACAATCTAAACAGCACTACAAAAGCTATTTTTTAGATTATTTTTGTACATTTGCAATTTAACAAGAACAATGTATAAGCTATATTTTTTTTGTTTACACTATGTCACATTTTTATCCATTTTCCCTACAGTTATACAATATTAATTTGAAATGAAAATGCAGACCATATAGAATAGAATAGTTCTATGTTTCCATTTGAGTATAGTGTTTGCTAAACTTTCTCTGGCACTGTCTTTACTTTGCATAACATAAAGTAACAGAATATCACTTTTTCAGTTTTGAAAACATAATAATGTTACAGCAGACCTGCAAAGGGTGTCAATAACTTGTGTCTTTGGCCATGTCCATAATAGACAGGCCTGCCCACTTTAGAGGCAATTCAACCTGGTGTTAAGCCAGGCTTACAGATAGCCTACTGTACAGCCCCCAACATACATGACCATGCAGAGAACACTGCTACGGTATTCTCTACCTTGTTCTAGCACTCACTGGACCGTGAATGTGTGTCTAAATTTGCATTTGCACTGTGCTCCCTTGGGTCAGTTGCCTGATTCCCTGATCTCCCTGGATGCAGGACACCAGAAAACTAAAATCTAGATGGTGCAATAGGATCCTAAAAAAAAATACAGACTGTTCCATCGAAAGCTGAACAGTTAGGAGGCTTGCAGCACTACGAGCTCTCTAGTTTCATATCACCACATATCAAGCTTTATTCTATCCTTATGTTGAAGAACCAACATAAGAGGGATTTTTGGGGGCCAGGGTCTGACCTTAATGGCGGCTAGACGTGTTCTACATGAGCTCCACATGTAGTCGCCAATCTTACTTAACCCCTTAAGGACCAAACTTCTGGAATAAAAGGGAATCATGACATGTCACACATGTCATGTGTACTTAAGGGGTTAATTTACCGCCAGCCAGCATTTATATTTTGTTCCCAGTGGAAACTAACCCGAGTCCTGACTTGAAGGATCAAGTCGGGAGCAGCTAAAAACTGAGACTGGCACAGTAAATCCAGGAGAAAAAGTGAGGCCCAGCTATTCTGTTGGACAGGAGGAAAGGCCGCTTTCCAAATCTGCAAAAGCCTGGACACACGCTGAATTTATCTGTGGCCCCATTTCCCCCTCTCTGGACCAGTGGGGGTGATCATAGTTCACCTCTTGGCAGCCCTATTGCCATACCTGAACAACACCACAGCTCTGAACCAGTGATATCTGGTACCGGTAAATAGTGATGTCGCGAACATGAAATTTTCGGTTCGCGAACGGTGAACGCGAATTTCGGCAAATGTTCGCGAACCCGCGAACCGCCATAGACTTCAATAAGCAGGCGAATTTTAAAACACACAGGGACTCTTTCTGGCCACAATAGTGATGGAAAAGTTGTTTCAAGGGGACTAACACCTGGACTGTGGCATGCAAACTCCGATCCGCAGCTGCATCTTGCAGCCGCTTAGTAGATAACTCCCTAATTCCCACGGTATTAGAGAGCTATCTACTAAAAGGCTGAAAGACCTAAACTGGTCTTTCAGCCACATTTACTAATACTAAGTAAAGATTACTTAGTATTAGTAAATTCTGCCCCTACTCGCTATGCAGCGAGTAGGGGCATGTCTAGTAAGCAGTGAGCAGCCAGTGGCTGCTCACTGTAAAAAAAACAAAAACAAAAAACAACCTATTGCCCCCACCCCTGTGTGGACCTACTGTCCTCCCCCCGGACCCCACCCCTGGGCGGCGGGTGGGGGCCATAAAGATAATGAGGGGGGGGACCTACTATCCTCCCCCCCGCCCCCACCCCTGTGCGGTGGGTGGGGGCCATAAAAATAATGAGGGGGGGGACCTACTGTCCTCCCCCCCGACCCCCACCCCTGCGCGGTGGATGGGGGCAAATAAATCTTGGGTGGGGGAAAGTTCTTTGGAATTTTCCCACGCTGTGTAATTTGACTCATAACTCTCTGATTGGTTACTTTCAATCCACCAATCAGAGTGTTATGAGTCAAATTACACAGCGTGGGAAAATTCCAAAGAACTTTCCCATGCTGTGTAAAATGACACAGAGCACTCTGGTGGATTTCAAACCAACCAGTCAGAGTGCTGTGACAGGTAAATGTAGAGACTTACCTGTCAGTCTCTTCATTTACCTGTCAGAGCACTCTGATTGGATGGTTTAAACCCACCAATCAGAGTGCTCTGAGCCTAATTGCAGGGCGGGGCAAGGCTTTATAAGCCTTCCCCCGCCCTGCAGAGCTCAGTCTGCGCGGAGCCCTTGCCGGGTGAAGATGGATTATTTTTTTTGCGCTCGTTTTTTTTTTTTTAATTGCGTCGGTTATTATGGTTTTTTATTTGGCCTTTTTTGGGGCTGAAAAAAGAAGATTTAGAAGAAAGAAAACATTGAATGGTAAGTTTTATTTTATTTTTTTACAGGTACTTAGTTAAAGGTCCCCCCCTCATTATTTTTAGGGTGAGGGGGGTAGGTAGGGGGTTAATTTTTTTTGGGGGGAGAGGGGGTGACTAGGGGTTTGGGGACCCCTAGTCACCTGGGGGGGGACACATTTTATTTAGGGCCCCCACCCGCCGCTCAGGGGTGGGGGCCGGGGGGGAGGACCTTAGGTGCCCCCCCTTTTTAGTATTTAGGGCCCCCACCCGCCACTCAGGGGTGGGGGCTGGGGGGGAGGACATTAGGTCCCCCCCCCTTTTTAGTATTTAGGGCCCCCACCCGCCGCTCAGGGGTGGGGGCAAGGGGGGAGGACCTTAGGTCCCCCCCATTGTGATTTATTTGCCCCCACCCATCGCTCAGGGGTGGGGGCCGGTGGGGAGGACATTAGGTTTTTAGTATTTAGGGCCCCCACCCGCCGCTCAGGGGTGGGGGCCAGGGGGGAGGACCTTAGGTCCCCCCCATTGTGATTTATTTGCCCCCACCCACCGCTCAGGGGTGGGGGCCGGGGGGGAGGACATTAGGTCCCCCCCCTTTTTAGTATTTAGGGCCCCCACCCGCCGCTCAGGGGTATAGGGGGGAGGACATGCGATGTTTGCCGGGAACTATTCGCCGGCGAACTGTACGGGACATCTCTACCGGTAAATAACTCTGATGGCATTCTCCACATTTCTCCCAGATCACCTTAGGTCCCCCCCCCTTTTTAGTATTTAGGGCCCCCACCCGCCGCTCAGGGGTGGGGGCCAGGGGGGAGGACCTTAGGTCCCCCCCCATTGTGATTTATTTGCCCCCACCGCTCAGGGGTGGGGGCCGGGGGGGAGGACATTAGGTCCCCCCCCTTTTTAGTATTTAGGGCCCCCACCCTCCACTCAGGGGTGGGGGCCAGGGGGGAGGACCTTAGGTCCCCCCCTTTCTAGTATTTAGGGCCCCCACCCGCCGCTCAGGGGTGGGGGCCAGGGGGGAGGACCTTAGGTCCCCCCTTCTCTTAGTATTTAGGGCCCCCACCCACCACTCAGGGGTGGGGGTCAGGGGGGGACAGAAGTTCCCCTCTATTGTTTTTTTTAGGGCCCCCACCCACCGCTCAGGTGTGGGGGCCGGGGGGAGGACAGTAGGTCCCCCCCCCCATATCATTGAGTAAACTTTGACAACCCCCACCCCCGAGCGGCAGGTGGGGGGGTTGTCAAAGTTTACTCAATGATATGGAATAGGGGGCGGACCGAACATCGCATATGTTCGCCCGCCGGGAACTATTCGCCGGCGAACTGTTCGGGACATCTCGACCGGTAAATAACTCTGATGGCATACTCCACATTTCTCCCAGATCATCGCTGCGAGCCAGCTGACATACTCACTAAGCTCGACAAGATCTTTACCAATTTCTGGAGAAAGCTGCACAACCACATACACCCCCCAGCAACAAGAAGCACCTAACGAAGCACCGAGGCCGACTCTCCCCTGCCGGTCTATGCAGGGCCGGCACTATCCGAGCGCCGGCCCTGCTGCATTCCATGATGGGCCGGTGGGGAGATCATAGATCTCCCTCATCGGCCTACATGCAGTTTATTGCGGCCGCCGGCGGGGGAGAGAGGGATGGAGACAGGTTCCTCTTGCGAGACTCGGAGTGTTGCCATGGCAATGCTCCAGGTCTTCCGAGAGTGAACTCTAGCCCCACAGACTAAAGTTCACTCATCACTAGCACCACCAGGGATGGCAGCAGCATGATCCCCCCCCCTCACAGGATGAAGGTAAGAAGGGAGGGGGGATATAATCATTCACACAAACACTCTGCACCCTCACTCACACACACATTGCACCCCTGACACTCACAGCACCCTCACACACACACACACACACTGCACCCCTGACACTCACAGCACCCTCACTCACTCACTCACTCACACACACACACACTGCACCCATGACACTCACAGCACCCTCATACGCACATAGCACCCTCACGCAAACACAGCACACGAACACTGCACCCCTCACACACACACTGCACCCCTCTTGCACACACACTACACCCCTTACACACACACACAGCACCCTCACACACAAACAGCCCCCTCGCACACATACTGCACAATACTCTTTCCTGGCATTTTTGTCTCATGGTATCCCATTTATGGAGACACCAGAGACAAATTTCAAGCAAACACAGTGCAAGCATGTTATTAAATTTGCTTGCACTGTGCAGAACAAATACAGTGTCTTTTTATCATGCTAGAGCTCTTCAGCAGAGCTCTGCGCATGGTCTGCCCTGGAAGAGAGTTGAACCAACATGCTCACTTTGTGATGGGGCGTGCTTGTCATTGGTGATGACAAAACACACCCTATATGGCCCGCCCCCTTTTAAGTGGGCCGCTGTAACTAAAAAATGCCCGGGCCGAATTTTCTTCCTAGTCCGGCCCTGACGACAAGCCTGTCTGTATCTATGCATCACAAAAAAAAAGAATTACTTTTTAAAAAAAAAAAGGGATTTAACAGACTTTTTTCAGTCCAATTATTCAAACTTATTAGAAGTATCATATGTTAGGGACTGAGGTAGCAGAAGACCACATGAACATGAATCTGTCAGCAAAGGACTTTCAGTAGAATATTCAGTGCATTTGGTTTTAAATTGTAATTTGCAATCAATCAGTGATTCATTCCTCGAATTCCAATAGCCAGTGGCGTACATACCAGGGTCGCAGGGGTGGCGGCTGCGACCGGGCCCACCAGGGGGCCCGGCCGCCCTGCGACCCGGTATGTATGCCACTGTTGCCAGCCTCTTCTCCTGGGGGGCCCAGGAGCTGGCCGCCTGAGGGTCCCCCTGAGGCTGGCCCTGGTGTCACCCGGCGGGCAGGCGAGGGAGCACTCTCTGAGTGCTTCCTCTTCAGCTCCCTCGCGCACCGCACTGATACCGGACCCGGAAGATGACGTCATCTTCCGGCTCCGGCATCAGTATGCGGCGCCCGAGGGAGCTGAACAGGAAGCACTGCGGGGAGAGTGCTCACTCACGCGCCTGCCTACCGCCCGGTGACACCACTGGACCCCAGGGAATCCCCTCAGCATTCCCACAGGTAAGGAGGCTGGGGGATTCAATTAAAAAAAAAGTGTGTGTGTGTTAGAGTGTGTTAGAGTGTGTCAGTGAGTGTGGTACTGTGTGTGTCTGTTACTGAATGTGTTAGTTTGTGTGCGTCTGTTAGTGAGCATGTGTTTTTTAAGTGAATGTGTATGTGTCTGTCAGTGAGCGTGTATATATGTCAATATCTGAGTGTGTGTCTGTCAGTAAATGTGTGTGTCTGTTAGCTAGTGTGTATGCGTCTGTTCGTGAGAGTGTGTGTGTCTGTTAGCTAGTGTGTATGCGTCTGTTCATGAGAGTGTGTGTCTTAAGCACTTACCTTTCTCCAGCGCCGTACTCCCTTGGCGCTGGGGATCTCTCCGCCCCGATCCGCCTCTCAGCTCCGAATGCGCATGAGTGGCAAGAGCCGCACGTGCATTCTAACCGCCCATAGGAAAGCATTACTCAATGCTTTCCTATGGACGTTCAGCATCTTCTCACTGTGATTTTCACAGTGAGAATAACGTAAGCTCCTCTAGCGGCTGTCAATGAGACAGCCATTAGAGGCTGGATTAACCCTCAGTGAAACATGTTTTCAGCTGTAGGGTTAAAACTAGAGGGATCTGGCACCCAGACCACTTCATTGAGCTGATGTGATCCGGGTGTCTGTAGTGGTCCTTTAAGTGTATGTGTATCTGCGTGCACTTGTGTACATATTTTATTTTGTCACAGATTCAGATGAAACCAATTTTTCCACCTTTCACGTTTAATTTTCACCATCACAGTAAAATACCCGGCATTTTGGAAGAAATAACATGGGAGACAACTATGGGCTGCACTGTTTCCTATTTACATTTTAAAGGTTCCATACACAATTATTCACAAATCTTTATTGGTAAAGGATAATTTTCCACTTCTCATTCCTTGTGTATGAAGGCCTGAGCTATAGCCAGCAATCATCTAGAGTGAGAAATCTGAATGTGAGAAGAACAAATTACTCATTTAATTTGTGTTCTTCCGGTCTTCTGCTTTGTTTCACTGACTAAAAATGATTTGAAGAATGTGTTCAAATCTGCATGTTTAGAACTAAATTTCGCAATTTATTTTTCAACACACAACAGTTCAATGTTGAGTACATGAACTCACCGTGACTGCTCCCTAAAGCATTTGTTGTTAAAATTGTTCTGTTCTTTTATATGCAGCTGAAGAAGTAATCCTGGTAGCAAAGAAGTGCTCATTTTCATGTTTGCCGGTAAAAAAGTAGTTGTTAAAGAACCCTATCTGCACCCAGACAACTTGATCTTAATGATCTCAATAATGGATGCCATGTTCCTGTCTTTTACCCTGCAACTGAAAACATTGCCATTTTGCAGGATGTAATGTAATGGTTACAATACAGGGTTAACATGCCTACAGTGGCTGTCTTCCTGCCACTAGAGGTGCTCCCGGCCCAATAGTCGAGTTAAACTTTGCTATTCAGTCAGATGGTCTGATACTATTTGATCGGCGTAGCATGAAATTTTGCCATGCATGTGCCATCTCTCTATGGGGAAACAGTGGATTGGCTGAGCTCATTAATCTCGATGATTCCAGCCCAAGAAGTGGAGCTTTGGATTAAAACCAGCATGCCATGTGAAATAAGGTAAGTATATCCTACCTTGGGGGGGAACTACACATGTACAAATATGTACTACTACATATTTGTGTTTCTTTAAGTAAGCATTGTTAAAGGATCAGTCAGTGGTGTATCCTGGTTTTGTGCTGCCCTAGGCAGGACAAAACTCAGGCGCCCCTCCACCCCCCGCGCCAGGCCCACCCAACCCTTCCCCCCCGCCCCGCCTTCTAAATACACACACACACATTCACTGACAGATACGCATACACACGCTAACAGACACACACACACTCACCCTAACAGACACACACTCACTCTAACAGACACACACACACACTCTAACAGACACACACTAACAGACACACTAACGCAGACACACACACACACAGTCAGACACATACATACAGTCAGACACACACCACACTAAACAGGCCTGACTGTCAGACACACACACACTAACAGACACAGACACACTAACAGACACACACAGTCAGACACAAACATACACACTAACAGACACACACACACTGACAGACACACACAGTCAGACACACACACTGACAGACACACACACACAGTCAGACACACACATACACACTAACAGACACACACAGCCAGACACACACATACACACTAACAGACACACACACACAGTCAGACACACACATACACACTACCAGACACACACAGTCAGACACACACATACACACTAACAGACACACACAGTCAGACACACACTAACTCACTAGCAGACACACACTAACTCACTAGCAGACACACTCACACAGTCAGACACACACACATTAACAGACACACACACACACTCACATTAACACATTTTTTTTTTAATTTACCCCCCCCCTTACCTTTGGGAATGCTGGGGGGGGGAGGTTCTTTATCTCCCTGGTGGTCCAGTGACTGCGGGCGGGGCTCGGCTGGGCGGGCGGCTGGCGAGGGAGCTCTTCCTCTGAGCTGTCTGCTCAGCTCCCTCGCGCGCCGCAGAGTGAGGCTGGGAGCCGGAAGATGACGTCATATTCCGGCTCCCAGCCTCACTCTGCGGCACGTGAGGGAACTGAGCGGACAGCTCAGAGGAAGAGCTCCCTCGCCAGCCGCCCGCCCAGCCCAGCGCCGCCCGCTCAGCATGTCTGTTAGCCACCCACTGAAAAATGCCGCCCAAGGCAAAAGCCTTGTTTGCCTCGCGGCTAAAACGCCCCTGGGATCAGTATAGGGTCATGAACACAAACATGTATTCCTGACCCTATAATGGTAACACCACCATATAGGTGGCTTGCCCCCCCCTTAGATCCCCATAAAAGTTGAAACTCACCTTATTTCCATTCCCGTCCTGTCGGCGTTGGCTCCGCCCCATTTGTGACATAATCAAAATGGCCGATTTTTAACCAATCCAAGGCTTTCCCATAGGATTGGCTAAAATCGGCACAGGGGAGGGGCCAAATGCTGTTTTAGCCAATCAGGACCTCCTCATAGAGATGAATTGAATCAATGCATCGCTATGAGGAAAATTTTGCGTCTCCATGCAGAACGTGGGGACGCTGAACGGCAGGGTGGCTTACTGTGCAGTCCTGAGCCAGGAAGCCCCTCCAGTGGCCCCTCCTAGGGACAATGTAAACACTGCCTTTTCTTTGAAAAGGCAGTGTTTACATGAAAATGCCTAAAGGGAGCTATTATACTCACCTTTAATACCAATATTCAGTTGAGGTTTGTGATTTGGAAATACAAAGGTTTCCATGATCATCACTTATATTTAACATTTGAATGTTACTCACATCTTCCTCCACCGATACTGACCACCATTTAGCTTTATCTATTTTGCAAACTGAATGTATATCAAGAAAAAGACATATTTTTTAAATTAATTGCCATAGGAATTTCATAGAATACCATAGAAGGCTCCCATATGTGAGATTAATTTGCGAACATCTGGGCATGTTGCACTTAGTGTTTACATATACTTTACTTGCCAAATTGAATGTATTTATTGAAAACTACAAACATCATAGTTATAGATAGATCTGAGTAGTTAAATACTGTTAAATATACAACATAAGTTTAATGTCGGATGTACTGAGAATTTGAAGTCATTAACTTTTATTTTTAAATCTAGATGACGTAGTTGAAATTCATACTCAAATAACAATAGGTGGTAAGTAACCAGGTGCTACTTGGCTTTTAGCAACTACTATCAATTAATTAATTAATATACCTGTTAATTCTTTCGAGTCTTTCATGATGTTCCTGTAGTGGCTGAGTGTTGCTGTTTCTGCTAGTAACTTCCTTTAGTTCTGGTCCTCTGAAACGCTCCAGAAATGAATCTGGTCGCTGGTCCTCTCGGGTTAGGTGTCGCACTGCCCAGGTTCGCATTGAAATTAGAAATCTTGTCAACCTAAAAAAATATAAGAAATATTTGTAACTGTACCCTAGATGATGTCATGTGCTGTTCATATTTCCTATTGTCTCCGTAATCATCCTTAAATGTTATCCTGTGTAAATATGTGCCTTGTTGCTACTGAATAAGGTGAGTGTCTTTGTCCCCATAGACTTGGCCTCATCCTTGTATCTAAGGACCCATTGGAGTAAACAAATAAAACAAATAATCACTTTGTCAGGCTGTAACATACCTTCTCCCAGGTCTCACAATGGCTGCCACAAATTCGTGGGAGCCCCAATTTAACTGTAAGAACTTGGGATGCAAATGCTGACCCCTCTGGGGACCACTCGGCCCTTTGTGGCATGCACCTGTCAAAGAGACATACTTCCCTAAGTCTAGGGCATACTCCAACATGACCTTGACCCTTGCATGGGAGTGCAGCTAGTTTTCATGCTCGGATTGGCTGCCTGGTGATGTTCGCCATGACAGCCAATCTTAAGTAATATACAATTTAAGGGGCAGCACAGGAAGACCAGATGGGGAGGGATGGTGACCTATCAGTTGCCACTTCTAAAATCCCAGAATTGACTAAGCAGGTTGCTTAGTCTTTCTGTGCTCCTAGCATAGTTTTAACTGCACTTTACATCACTACATTCATACTACTCTGGATTCTGACCCCTGGATTTGATCCTGATACTGGATTGCCTCTTTGTACCTTACCTGAACTATTGTCTCTCTGGATTCTGACCTGTTCCCTGACCTGTCAGGATCAGAGTGCAGGCTAAATGTACAGGCTATAACACAATAAATAGACAAACAGGATACTGGTCTTTAGAGAGGCCAGACTAACAGTATAAGAGTCAGCTAGAATGCCGAGGTCAAGGACAGGAGAGATACAAATAAATGTTCTAGCAAACCAAGGTCAAAGGATACCAGAGATCAGGAGAAACACCTACACAAACAAAATCAGAAACCAGGAACAGGAGATACAAGGAAACTGCAATTTGGCTACCAGGACCACAACAGGGCAATAAGGAGTGGGAAATGTAAGTATACAGGAGGAGTTTAATTTATATTGGTCCATTTCATAAGTGAATTCCTTATGATTCATGGATGGTAGAAATTCTTATTAGCATACTTGTCAATGTCATATCTGTGTGCCAAATTCGGTCCAGAACATTCTCCAATAAGACCCAAATTCTGTCTGGTGAATTCAGACCGGAATCTGGCTGCCCATAAAACACAGTGGTGCCGGTGCACAGAGGCGGCTCTCTAATTAGGCGATTTAGGCGGCCGCCTAAGGCCTCGCGGCCGCCTAAATCGCCCAAGGGCAGACATACATGTCGGATCCTCGGTCCATGACCGAGGATCCGACATCAGGGGGAACCCGGCGGCTTGCCCTTTATGCCGCCGGGTGCGAGGCCCCCTCGGTCCGCCCGGAGAGCCAGCCTTCAGTCTGCAGCTCCTCCGTGTCTGAGCTGCAGACTGAAGTGCCTCACGATCCCCAGCCAATCAGAGCGTTGCCGCGGGTTTCCACGGCAACGCTCTGATTTCTGGAGATCGCGAGACTCCTATCACGTGGTCTGCAGCTCACACCCGGCGGAGCTGCAGACCGGATAGGAGGCCCACCGGACCACCAGGGAGCCAGGACACTGGACCACCAGGGACACCTGCAAAGGTAATTACCCCTCCCTCACTAAGGCCCCTGTCACCCCTCAAAGTCCCCTGTCACCCCTCAGTCCCCTGTCACCCCTCAAAGTCCCCTGTCACCCCCTCAGTCCCCTGTCACCCCCTCAGCCCCCTGTCACCCCTCAAAGTCCCCTGTCACCCCCTCAGTCCCCTGTCACCCCCTCAGCCCCCTGTCACCCCATCACTGGGGCCTGGCACCCCTAACTAAGCCCCCTGTCACTCCTAAGTTCCCTGTCACTCCTAAGTCCCCTGTCACCCCCTACCTAAGCCCCTGTCACCCCTCACCAAGCCCCTGTCACCCCTCACCAAGTCCCCTGTCGCCCCCTCACCAAGTCCCCTGTCGCCCCCTCACCAAGCCCACTGTCATCCTCTCACTAAGCCCGCTGTCACCCCCTCCCTCCCTGACTCTGCCCTCTGTCACCCCCTCACTCTGCCCCCTGTGAGCCCCTCCCTCACTGACAACTGTCACCCCCTCACTGTGGCCCTCACTCTGCCACCTGTCACCCCCTTTACCCTAATTCTAACACCTGTCACCACCCTCACTCTGTCTCCTGTCACCCCCACCTACCCTCACTCTGTCCCCTGTCACCCCACCTTCCCTCACTCTGTCACCTCATCGCAAAGCCCCCTGTCACCCCCTCCTACCCTCCCTCAGCCACCTGCCCACCCTTCACTCTGCCACCCCCTAACTCTGTCACCCATCCCTCCCTCAGCGACCTGTCACCCCCTTTCACACTCTGTTAATCCCTTCCACAATCTGTCACCCCCTTCCACACTCTGTCACACCTCTCCACACTCTGTCAGCCCCCTCCACTCTCTTTCACGTCATTTCACACTCTGTCATCCCCTCCACTCACACACACAGTCTCCCCTTTCGACACCCTGTCACCTCCCTCCACACACCCTGTCACCATTCCCCACACACACACTGTCACCACAGACAAAATGCACAAAGGCCACAGTCCATATACAAAAAATACCGCAAGCAGCTACCACACACATACGGTCCTAGACACAAACATACACATGCTCACAGAAACATACATTCACATACAAGGGTACTCACTGTCAGACGCACTCTCAGGCACATACACAGACAGACAATGCCAGACACATTCAGAAATACACACAGCCAGATAAACACATTGTGACTGTATGTCTGTATTAGTCAATATGTGTGCATCAGTGTGTTTGTGTGTGTGTGTAAATGCATGTGCATGTATCAGTGTGTATATGTATTTGCGTATTAGTGTTTAAATGTGTGCGTGTGTCTGCAGTGTGGTTGTGGTATGATATGGGCAATGCAAAGATAAAGTTGCAAGCAACATATATATGCATACATACATACATACATACATATAAAATACATAGGGAAACACATATGTGATAATATACATGTTAAGGAATTTAGAATATGTGGGGAAATGTCAGACTATACAACCATACCCAGCAATCGTATACAAATGATTAGCAATTTATGTCATATCTACAGTAAAAGTGCTCACAACGCAGCGGCATAGGGAGCTGCGGCAATTTTTTTCACTAATGGTGTAAATGGGGGGCCTCATGTTTGACTTTCGCCTAAGGCCTTGCAAAGTCTAGAGCCGCCTCTGCCGGTGCATGAGCGTTCAGCATCATAGAGAATGCTGGGGGATTCAGGTAAGAAGTAAGTGATCCCGACATGACCTAACTCTGTTATTCTATCATTCCTTCTTGGTCTGTGTTCGATCTGGATCTATATAATGGATTTCTATCTCCTCAACCTTACACACTTTAACTATTTCACTTCAAGTACTTTAAAAGGTGCTATTAGCCAGTCTTTCTAAACAAACTGTCTTGTGTACACTTTCTGGGCTAATACTGCTACATCCCAAGTTGCTTGTAAGCAGGTAATGTTCTTGGGTCGTGAGAAGACCAAGGAGTGTTCCAGCCGCCAATTTTTAATTAATAATGGTCATGTGCCAACTTTGGTGCAGTGGGACCACCCCAGAGTAGTAGGTATGTACAGACCCAGGACTTGTACAAATCACTGTGATTTTAGGCATTAGCTGTCCATCACAGGTTAAATGGAAAACAAAATAAAAGCTAAACTGCAGAGAACAATATCTAAAGAACAGTTACAATATCACTAAATAATTGTTCATTTCCTTCTAAGTCATACCTCATTTAGTACTCAGAATTTAATGACTAATTGGTCAATGTCACAAATTTATGGTTATACATTTTTACTATGTTATTGTGAATATGTTTTCTATTTTGTTCTGAATGAGACCATAGAATCCTGATATTTGATTCCTGATACACTCTTTGAATTCATCAAGATCTAATTCTTGGGAAATTACCCAAAATAATTTAAGGTCACTGTAGTGATTGCTATGCTAGGAGTGACCTGGCCTGTTTCACAGCAAAGGGGGAAACAACTATTCCAACAGTTTGTGCCCTTACCTGGGTTCCTGGCGGCCAGCTTCAACATCCAGCTTCTGCAGAGCTTGTGAAGGCAGAACTCGATCCCATCCATTCAATGGCTGAGAGTGTCAGCTGACTGCTCTCAGCCAATTAATGCAATTCTGTGCATAGGAATTTGCACAGGATTGACAATAACCAGTCATGAATTCTTGGGCTGGTTAATGACAGCTATATGATGCTGCCAGCGATGGAGTTACACCTAATCCAGTAAAAAGGTTAAACCATGCATGAGCAGCGTTTCAAGTGAAATGCTTCACATACAGGTTCCAGGCACAATGTCCACTTGATATCACTGAAGTGGTCGTGGTGCTTGGAGTAACCTTTAAAAAGGGATATCCTTAAAACATAGGCTTTTAATAATCCTCAATACTTGATTTGAAAAAGAGTGCTGTATGAACAATGAATAAAAAAATATCCCTATGGGTGCGCCCCGCTGCCCACTCGTATTGAGACCACTCACTTGGTGACTATTTTCACCTCCAATCCTAAAAGTTACCGAATACGCTGACAAACACAGGAGACGAACTTGCACACCGACACCACCCCACACCGAAAGGCAAATCATACCTCACACCGTGAACACTCTGCCCGATAACGATTACACGGGAGGCGTTTTCATATCACCACAAACTATCGGCAAAAATCGTCAGAAAAGATACACTACGCATTCTAAACACGCGCCCCACACAGGGTAGCACCCACACCCTACACACATTGGAGAAGGCCAACTGACACAACACAACCTGAGCCCTAACTCCAGCGGATGACTAGCCCATGGGTCACCACACCAATTGAAGACATAGGACCAAAAATGCCCCAGTTGGTCTCCGTATAAACCCCCACACATCTATGTGTTTATAAGGTTATATGTTATACCATGTTACATCTACATATTTGAAGGTTCATTTACGCCTATGTAAAGACTGAAGACACATTCTGACGGGCAATAGATGACCTAACTGTGATGAGATTCAAAACTGCGTAACCACCCCCCATGCAACCATATCACCCATTCTCCTATGGCTTCACAACGTGGACTTATGCATGCCTCATGTAACCCTTCATGTATTCATTTATCCACCATGTAACTTCATGTCTTATTCCTGTACTATGGGTTTTATACCAATAAAACTTAAAAAATATATATATCAGGTACCTGGCCATTGCTCCTCTCCCAGTAAACGAGCTCCTGCGTGACTCTGTAAGGCCTCTGGGATCCAAATTAATCACACGTTGCAGTTCCGAGGATGTGTCCTCACACAGTGAATGGGTCCTGAAACAATCATAAAGATACATTGATATAGCACTAGGTGCAGGTTATCTGTTATAGATGAAAAAATCGTATACCTTTACACAATCTGAGTTATCCTTTACCTAGAGTAGATGTGCCCAATAGGTAGATCCCCAGATGTTGTTGAACTACAACTCCTATAATGCTTTGCATGCCTTTTGAATGCATTTCGAATGACAAAGCTTCATTGGGAGCTAAAACATCTAGGAATGTAAGATCCTAATGATTCAATATTGATATTATTCATCCAGACAATTGATGTGCTATTAGCCTTTAAATTGTGCCTTTTTAAACATATTATTTTTGTATAATATCATTTAATAATACCTATGTTAATTGTATTGGCACCTGTGTGATCCAGCCAGCACTGGGAATATATTGATTCAATAACAAGACTTCTGTATATATGAGATCAATGAAATCATGTGTTCTGTGCAAACTAACCCAATATCTAATTGGCTACTATTTCCCTAATTGCATAGTGGTTAATAAAGAACAAACATGTTACTTATACAGTATTTTATGGGAGCAAGCTTCCTTGACATAGTGATGCTGTTTATCAGCCATGAACCATACATTAAAGGATTACACCAAGCAAAATATCACCCTAAGCCTTGTGTACAGGCCATAGTGCATTAAATTCCCCTGTCACTATCTATGGTACAAACAGTCTCAAAACTGCAGTTATGTCTTGGGAAAAAAACACTACAGGTATATACCCTTCCCACTGGCCATCCAAGTACTAGTATGCCATGTACGCACTGGTTATTAGAATCAAAAATGCCTTTCAAAACTACTGCAGTTTAAATGATGCAACTATACAGTCATTGTATTTGTTGTGAATAGTGGTTTATGAAATGTATATATGGTGGAACTCAATAAGCAACATATCTTTGTAGGATTAAATGACCAGAGCAATTCAACATTACATTCACTATAAATGATCTCTTCAAATTCATGACCATTACGTGAGTCTTTTGTTACAATATTATTGTCATTTAACAGTTTTAAAGGATTGTTTTAACATTAAAAATAATGAAATATATTTGGTTTTTAATTGAGAATGTTGGTGTTTATATTCAGGGCCTTCCTACTTGTTTTTGATTTATTTATTTTTATAGTAAAATAAAATAATACAGCACATGAACAGTCTCTTCACTGCAGAGGATCCAAGTCCAGTGCCGTCATTAATAATGTTGACTTTTGTCCAATTTAATGATTTTCATTGGACATTCGGAAGCTCTGTATGTTAACTGTACTGACTTTTGAGTTTTGAAAGTCTTAAGAAGGAAGAGCCTCTAGTGGCCACTGGTGTGACATGTGGTAAACAATGTAATTTCTCCGAAACTGATAACTGTTTGATAGAAATTGGTCTGTGAAATTTTGTTGCTTAGAGTGTCCTTTACAAATCAGTGTTATTTGTAATGTTCCCGGCATTTCATAAAATATAAATTAATTCAGAAAATTTTCTGATACTAAACACTGCAGATTGTACAAAAAGGGCGCAGTCAACATGTGCAACGTTTGCACATATTTTGCCATATATTCTCAGACACAACAATGCTGGCTATGGAATGCAATAAAATTGGAAATATATTCCCTTCTGTCTCTCCCCAATGGAGTAAGCTTATTCTCAATTGAGAAAGTAATTCATACTGCATAATAAATGTTTTTTTCTATGTAGGAGAACAACAGAAGTCCTCTTTTAGATAGGTATTCAATAATGCATTTCCCACCATCACCACTTTTCACTCACTGCTTGTTTCTAACTCTTCCCTGTTCATCCCGTTTATTCTCAATCTAATTAAATGTAAGTTGGTTTGAGCATGGCCTTCTTCGCCTGTTGTCCCTGTCAGTATTCTATTGTATGTGATTTACTTACTGTCAGACATTCCCATTCTATAATTGTACAATGCTGCGTAATATGGTGGTGATACATAAATTCTAAGAATAATCTTAGATAGTGGGATGTTAATCTTGGCATGCTGTGTACAATAGGAAGGGCTGTAGGTGGCACTGTTATGCAAGAGGACACAGGTGGGAGCTCTTGCCAAGCAGAAGCTAATAGGATCTAGAGCAGAACACAATTACACTATTACTGTACAGTGTTTTAAGCCCTTGCATCCTCTCTCTGCCTCTAATTAGAAAATAGATTAGTTTTCACACATTTTCACTTATAATGAATGCAGTCACGCTATGCTGTCTCTGTGATCCTGCATGATGCAAACAGACAGTACATTAGCTCTCACAAAGGGACTTGCTCTACTGCAAAAGGTGATAAGATAGGTGACACCTGTTACCTGGACATATACATTATCTGCATTAGGAATATCTACATATTAGTTTAGTCATTTCTGTAAATTATTGGTGATTTGGTTAAAGTGCGTGAGTCCACGTGATGACAACATATTACATTTTTATTTATAAAGTATTTTACTATGAACCATGCAATTTAACAGGATTTTATTTGTTTTTTTAAATAGACTGTTATTAATACAATAAGTGTGTGATAATTCCTGCAATATATATATATGCAGCAACAACTCTTGCATCGGCAATGACTATGTGAAATATATGCGATGTACCTCGGGAAAGAATACACTTCATAGGGTCAATTATCTTTACACAAGAGAAAATATAAAAAAAGGAATAAACAAACTCCTGTGTGGCAGATCCTCATTATCTAGATTAAGGTAATGCACCTATGTGTTAATAAGGGGAGCAGTTTCCCGGACGGTTTCCAAAACACGTAGCTTTATTTCCAGCCAAATAAAACCAAAAAGGTTCTAATTCACAAGGGATAAAAACACTTCTGTCATAACACCATGGCTTTAGCAATCAGTTAAATGCACCCCAACTATGACTACAAAATGAGTTCACATCGAGAAGAAATTTTTTGATAAGAGCATGAAACTTAGACATCAAAATGTGAGATGAAATCTGACTGCAAAACCAGAAATAGTGCTCTTATTGAATGGCTGGAAGCAGGGTGCTAGTGCAATGGGAAACAATGGGAACTCAGTACCTCTGCTATATTTCCACAGAGAACTGATGTACATCATACCAACACATATTAGCAGCAGCAGCAGCAAAACACAGAGAAGGAAGGTACACGAGAGGGACAATGTAAACTCATAGTCAGAATTACAACTGACCGAGCTTTCTCTTTTCTGAATGCTCCATCAGACCATAATGAGGGAAGTTGGAGGGCGATTGTCAGGAGAGTATTATATGTTGATAGAACGTCCTAGTATACACATTGTGTCACATTAAAGGACCACTCTAGGCACCCAGACCACTTCAGCTTAATGAAGTGGTCTGGGTGCCAGGTTCAGCTAGGGTTAAACCTTTTTTTTTTATAAACGTAGCAGTTTCAGAGAAACTGCTACGTTTATAAATGGGTTAATCCAGCCTCTAAAGCCTTTTAGTGGCTGTCTCATTGACAGCCGCTAGAAGCGCTTGCGTGATTCTCACTGTGAAAATCACAGTGAGACGACGCCAGCGTCCATAGGAAAGCATTGTAAATGCTTTCCTATGAGACTGGCTGCATGCGCGCGCAGCTCCTGCCGCGCATGCGCATTCAGCCGAAGGGGAGGAGAGGAGGAGGAGAGCTCCCCACCCGGCGCTGGAAAAAAAGGTAAGTTTTAACCCTTTCTTCGCCATCCAGCCCGGTGGGAGGGGGACCCTGAGGGTGGAGGCACCCTCAGGGCACTATAGTGCCAGGAAAACGAGTATGTTTTCCTGGCACTATAGTGGTCCTTTAACAACGACATTGAGTGTGGGGTAGGAGGATTAAGAGTAGGATGATGTGAGTTATTTAAAGAAACACTCCAAGCAGCATAACCAGTAAAGCATGTGGTGTTGGTTTTGGGCCAGGAGTGGCCTGGCAATCCCACCCACTTTAAGTAATTAAGCCATTATAATGAGTTGACTTGTTACCTTGTGTCTGCAGAGCACCACTCCCTACCATAACAACTTTAGCTAGAGAGCCAGAAGCTCCTAAGCAGAAACTTTCATAATATTTTCTTATCAGTTTTGAGCATTCAGTTGCCTCTTGGGCAGCAGAGCCAGGAGTAGAGGTTATCATTGACTTACAGCAAAAAGGGGGTGAATTTACAGCAGGACGGGACTGTGACAAAAATTTGTCCTGGGCAGGAACAGATGTGTAAAATATTTTTTTGTTGGTACACAACTCCAATGCTTGCATAGAATGGGGAAGACTGCCAGAGACTCTTGTTTGTCACCATGTGGTCTTTGGGGTACTTACAGACAGACAGACAGACTGCTGAATACATGCACACAGTCCGCTGGGGATCAGTGTATCTCCCTTGCCGGCCCATGCAGAGTCAGCGCTATCATAGCGCCGGCCCTGCTGTGTGCCTTCATGGGCCAATGGAGAGACAAACTATCTCCCCACAAGCACTGAGACACGGCCGCCGGGGGGAGGGATGGAGGACCCGGGGGAGCTCTATATATATATGTTGCAGTACACTAACAAGAGTATTACACTGTCGAAAGCAACCAATAAAAGTAAAAGAAGGAGCAGTAAAATAAATTTTTATATATTCATATATTATATATTTATTAAATATAGATGTATTTATTTTTTACTGCTCCACCTTTTTATGACTATTCTCACTTCTCACTTGATGAATAAAAAAATCAATATAAAGATTAACCCCTTCGGGACCGAGGACGGTTCAGGACAGTCCGCGGCATTTTTGCGTTGCCAATCGGAGATCACTTCCGCCTAAATCCCGCTGTTACTATCTGCCTGGCATCCCAGACAGATAGTAACAGCCAATTGTGGCGTGTGAGTGATCCGTGATCGCTCACAATTGGCTGGTGTCAAAGTGGGTGTTACAAACACTCACTTTGACAGTGATCTCTGCCTCTCTCTCCTCTGTATCGTTTTGTGAAGTGAGAGAGACAGAGATTGTGATATATTGTTGCAGCAGGTGTTCCACAGACTTTTAAAAAGTATCAGCAGTGAATAAAAATTCCCTTTTAACCCCTTCCCTGCCAGATCTGTTACAGACAGTGCATTTGTACTGTCTGTATTTTATTTTTGCCCTTAAGGGTTAACTTTATTTTAAAAATCTGTGTCTTAGTCTGTCTTAGTCAGTCAGTTTCCTTCCCCCAAATCTCCATTAGATTCTTTTAACAGGAGTTAGTTCAGGGATTACTGTTTTAGTCTGTTTTAGTAAAAAAATAAAAATAAATAAAAAATAAATAAAATAAAATATATATATATATATATATAAAATATAAAAAACAAAATTTGTGTTTAGTATTTTGTTAGTTTAGTCTGTTAGTGTAAAACATGTAGCGCATGTACAGCTTGGAGGAGGCATATGCCTTCTTGGTGTCAGACTCTGACGCCACTGACACTGCGTCCGATTTTGACCCAGGTCAGTTTAGCGACACGTCTAGTGACATGTCATCTGTGTGTGAGCCAGCTGCTAAAAGAAGCTGTGCTTCCCCTGCTACGCCGAATGTGGAGGAGGACTGGGTACCTCCACAGTCAGCTGAGCCCAACATACCCCCTTTTAGTGCCAATGCAGGCATTAATGTGAATGTGGTTGACTTCTCCCCTATACAATATATGGAGTTATTTTTAGGGGATACCATCTGGGAGGAGATTGTTTCCCAGACTAATTTATACGCTAGCCAATTTACTGAGACCAATCCAGGTAGCTATACAGTCAGGGAGCATGCTTGGCATCCCACAGATGTCCCTGAACTTAAAAAATTCTGGGCTCTTACAGTGCTCATGGGGATAATAAAGAAGCCATCAATCCGCTCTTACTGGAGCACCAACCCAATTTGTTCAAATCCTATATACTCCCAAACAATGCCTAGACCAATATACAGGGAGTGCAGAATTATTAGGCAAATGAGTATTTTGACCACATCATCCTCTTTATGCATGTTGTCTTACTCCAAGCTGTATAGGCTCGAAAGCCTACTACCAATTAAGCATATTAGGTGATGTGCATCTCTGTAATGAGAAGGGGTGAGGTCTAATGACATCAACACCCTATATCAGGTGTGCATAATTATTAGGCAACTTCCTTTCCTTTGGCAAAATGGGTCAAAAGAAGGACTTGACAGGCTCAGAAAAATCAAAAATAGTGAGATATCTTGCAGAGGGATGCAGCACTCTTAAAATTGCAAAGCTTCTGAAGCGTGATCATCGAACAATCAAGCGTTTCATTCAAAATAGTCAACAGGGTCGCAAGAAGCGTTTGGAAAAACCAAGGCGCAAAATAACTGCCCATGAACTGAGAAAAGTCAAGCGTGCAGCTGCCACGATACCACTTGCCACCAGTTTGGCCATATTTCAGAGCTGCAACATCACTGGAGTGCCCAAAAGCACAAGGTGTGCAATACTCAGAGACATGGCCAAGGTAAGAAAGGCTGAAAGACGACCACCACTGAACAAGACACACAAGCTGAAACGTCAAGACTGGGCTAAGAAATATCTCAAGACTGATTTTTCTAAGGTTTTATGGACTGATAAAATGAGAGTGAGTCTTGATGGGCCAGATGGATGGGCCCGTGGCTGGATTGGTAAAGGGCAGAGAGCTCCAGTCCGACTCAGGCGCCAGCAAGGTGGAGGTGGAGTACTGGTTTGGGCTGGTATCATCAAAGATGAGCTTGTGGGGCCTTTTCGGGTTGAGGATGGAGTCAAGCTCAGCTCCCAGTCCTACTGCCAGTTCCTGGAAGACACCTTCTTCAAGCAGTGGTACAGGAAGAAGTCTGCATCCTTCAAAAAAAACATGATTTTCATGCAAGACAATGCTCCATCACACGCGTCCAAGTACTCCACAGCGTGGCTGGCAAGAAAGGGTATAAAAGAAGAAAATCTAATGACATGGCCTCCTTGTTCACCTGATCTGAACCCCATTGAGACCTGTGGTCCATCATCAAATGTGAGATTTACAAGGAGGGAAAACAGTACACCTCTCTGAACAGTGTCTGGGAGGCTGTGGTTGCTGCTGCACGCAATGTTGAAGGTGAACAGATCAAAACACTGACAGAATCCATGGATGGCAGGCTTTTTGAGTGTCCTTGCAAAGAAAGGTGGCTATATTGGTCACTGATTTGTTTTTGTTTTGTTTTGAATGTCAGAAATGTATATTTGTGAATGTTGAGATGTTATATTGGTTTCACTGGTAATAATAAATAATTGAAATGGGTATATATTTGTTTTTTGTTAAGTTGCCTAATAATTATGCACAGTAATAGTCACCTGCACACACAAATATCCCCCTAACATAGCTAAAACTAAAAACAAACTAAAAACTACTTCCAAAAATATTCAGCTTTGATATTAATGAGTTTTTGGGTTCATTGAGAACATGGTTGTTGTTCAATAATAAAATTAATCCTCAAAAATACAACTTGCCTAATAATTCTGCACTCCCTGTATGAGCTGCTGCGGAGATACTTACATTTCAACGACAATATGCTCTGTCACCCCAGAGATCACCCCCAATAAGATAGGCTTCATAAAATTTCTGAAATTTATACTCCCCAACAAAATGTATCTATTGATGAATCCCTTATGAAATATAAAGGGAGTTCAAACAGTATATCCCCTCAAAGCGGTCTAGGTATGGCATTAAAGTGTACAAATTGTGCGAGAGCGAAAGTGGCTACACATTTGCCTTTCGTGTATATGAGGGGAAAGATGCTGAACTGAACCCTCCTGGCTGTCCTGACTCTCTGGGGACAAATGGAAAACTTGTTTGGGACGAATGATCCCCTTGTTCAATAAGGGTTACCACCACTTGTTTAAAATTCTTTATCGTTTGCAGACACTGGCCTGCGGCACTGTAAGAAGAAATGCCAAGGATTTCCCCAGACCTCTCATAGAGGCCAAATTAAAAATAGGTGAATGCAAAGCTCTGCGCAAAGCTGAACTGCTGGCGCTAAAATTTAAGGACAGGAAGGATGTTCACATGCTAACAACCATCCATAACGAAGGCATGTTATACGTCACTGTCCGAGGCAGGGTACAGACAAAACCTGTTTGCGTCAGGGCTTATAACAGGAACATGGGGGGGTGTTGAATTGGCTGATCATCTGATGCAGCCATATCTTATCTTAAGAAAGACAAAAGCCTGGTAAAAAAAGGCCTACCTGATGCAAGTAGCAACACATAATTCATTTTTACTCTTTAAAAAAATGAATCCAGAAAAAAACACCTTTCTCCAATTTCAGTTCAAGCTGATTTCCACAATAATTTATGGAGATGGTCAAGTTCCAACAACGGTGCCAGAGGAGTCCAGACATTTCCAGACATTCCAGACGATTGCCCTACAAACCCTGGACTGTGTATTGGAGCATGTTTTAAGGTCTACCACACAGAAAATAAATTTTTATAATACTTGTTCCTGATTTATTTTTTTTGTTTATTTTGAAAGCAGCAAATTTCTGTTAGTCAGTATCCTTCCCCCAAATCTCCAGTTAGATTCTTTTTGCAGGAGTTAGTTTACAGATTGCTGCTAATGGAAGTTTTAGTCTCACTTAGTCTGTTTTTTATCAGTTTTAGTCTGTTTTTAGTATAAAATTTAAAAAAAGTGTGTGTTAGTAACTCTGTGTTAGCCAGACTCTGACTTCACTGACACTGCGTCCGATTTTGACCCAGGTCAGTTTTCTGACACATCTAGTGACATGTCATCTGTGTGTGAGCAGGCTGCAAAAAGAAGCTGTGCTTTGTCTGCTACGCAGAATGTGGAGGAGGAACGGGTTTCTCCACAGTTAGCTGAGCCCAAAACCCCCCCCTTTTAGTGCCAACACAGGCATTAATGTCAATGTGGATGATTTCTCCCCTATGCAATACATGGAGCTATTTTTAGGGGATACCATCTGGGAGGAGATTGCTCCCCAGACTAATTTATATGCTACCCAATTTATTGATACCAATCCAGATAGCTATGCAGTCAGGGAGGAGCGTGCTTGGCATCCAACAGATGTCGCTGAACTTAAAAATGTCTGGGCTCTTCCAATTCTCATGGGGATTATAGAGAAGCCATCAATTTGCTCTTACTGGAGCACCAACCCAATCTGTTCTAGTCCACTGTACTCCCAAACCATGTACAGAACAAGATATGAGCTGCTGCTGAGATACTTACATTTCAATGACAATACCCTCTGTCACCTCAGAGATCACACCCAATATGATAGGCTTCATAAAATACACCCACTGGTGACCATCTTCAGCACAAATTTACTGAAGTTTATACTCACCAACAAAATGTATCTATTGATGAATCGTTCATGAAATATAAAGGGAGATTAGGATTCAAACAATACATCCCCTCAAAGCGCTCTAGGTTATGGCGTAAAATTCTACAAACTGTGCGAGAGTGAAAGTGGCTATACATTTACCTTTCGTGTATATGAGGGGAAAGATGGTCAACTGGACCCTCCTGGCTGTCCTGGCTCTCTGGGGACAAGCGGGAAACTTGTATGGGACCTACTGATCCCCTTGTTCAATAAAGGTTACCACCTTTATGTGGAAAATTTTTGTAGCATTGTCCGTTTGTTTCAAACTCTTTATGGTTTGCAGATACTGGCCTGTGGAACTGTGACAAGAAATGCCAAGGATTTCCCCAGACCTTTTATAGAGGCCAAATTAAAAAAAGTGAATGTAAAGGTCTGCGCAAAGCTAAAGTGCTTGCAATACAATTTAAGGACAGGAAGGATGTTAATATACTAACCACCATCCATGACGAAAGCATGTCAAGCATCACTGTCCGAGGCAGAGTACAGACCAAAAATAACTTACAGTAGTGATGGTGCGCAACAGAGAAATAAAAATCGTATTCACTATGGACCTCTTATAGAGAGTGAAAGTAACTCTGTGTACATAAAATGAGGTGTTTACAGAGTGGAAATATTATAAATACTTTAAAACCAAACAGTGGTTGTGGTAAAACAAAACACAATCTGTAGGTATACTTGCAAACATGGAAATCACTCTGACACCTATTAAGGAGACAAAAACAGAAAAAGAGCTCCTAGTGCAGCATAGTAATTCACTTATAAATATATAAAATTAATAATTAATATAACAATTAAAAAAACAGCAAAACTTGTTGTGGAGTTAGTTAGTCCGCTCACCAACCAGCACGGACCCGGAACCAGGAAGTGATTTGGAGACAGTCGGCAACAGCAACCAGGATAGCAGCCGGAAGATTTTTTTACATTACATAAGTATATGGAACTTTCTTTGCGGTTTCCTGAGGCTGGTGAGCGGACTAACTAACTCCACAACAATTTTGCTGTTTTTTTAATTGTTATTAATAAAGTATACTTACCTGAGATCCGGATTGCAAGCTTCCTTTCCACGGATCCCACGCACTCTAGGGGCTGATCCTCCCTGAGTGCTATAGCAACGAGTGGTGCTTTTACCAATCCAATCTTGTGAGTGTAACACCTAAAGGGCACCTCTGTTTGCTTTATTTTATTTATAAGCGAATTACTACGCTGCACTAGGAGCTCTCTTTCTGTTTTTGTCTCCTTAATAGGTGTCAGAGTGATTTCCATGTTTGCAAGTATACCTACAGATTGTGTTTTGTTTTACCACAACCACTGTTTGGTTTTAAAGTATTTATAATATTTCCACTCTGTAAACACCTCATTTTATGTACACAGGGCTACTTTCACTCTCTATAAGAGGTCCATAGTGAATACGATTTTTATTTCTCTGTTGCGCACCATCACTACTGTAAGTTATTTTATGTTCAAATCGTTTTACCAGGATTTGTTTTTGTTGGTTGCTGCATGTACTAAGATCCTTCTCTCACTTGCGCCATCCTATTTATAATCGTTTTTTCTAGAGTACAGACCAAACCTGTTTGCATCAGGGCTTATAACAGGCACATGGGGATGTTGATTTGGCTGATCAGCTGATGCAGCCATATCTTATCTTAAGAAAGACAAAAGCCTGGTAAAAAAGGCCTACCTGATGCAAGTAGCAACACATAATTCATTTTTACTCTTTAAAAAAATGAATCCAGAAAAAACCACTTTTCTCCAATTTCAGTTTAAGCTGATTTCCACAATAATTTATGGAGATGGTCAAGTTCCAACAACGGTGCCAGAGGAGTCCAGACATTTTATTTTTAAGATACCACCAACTGCAAAAAAAACAAATCCCCTGAAATGTTGCCGGGTCTGTTATAAAAGGCTTATCAATAAACTGCAACCTTTAAGTTTGAATTCCAATATTGTTGAATGGGTAAGACAGTGGCTGGGTGACAGGCAACAGAGGGTTGTAGTTAATGGAATATATTCGGAGCTTGGACTTGTCACCAGTGGGGTACCTCAGGGATCTGTATTTGGACCCATTCTCTTTAATATTTTTATTAGTGATATGGCAGAAGGTCTTGATGGTAAGGTATGTCTTTTTGCTGATGATACTAAGATATGTAACAGGGTTGATGTTCCAGGAGGGATAAGCCAAATGGCAAATGATTTAGGTAAACTAGAAAAATGGTCAGAATTGTGGCAACTGACATTTAATGTGGATAAGTGCAAGATAATGCATCTTGGATGTAAAAACCCAAAGGCAGAGTACAGAATATTTGATAGAGTCCTAACCTCAACATATGAGGAAAGGGATTTAGGGGTGATTATTTCTGATGACTTAAAGGTAGGCAGACAATGTAATAGAGCAGCAGGACATGCTAGCAGAATGCTTGGTTGTATAGGGAGAAGGAAAAGGTTAAAGGATCTTAACATGTATAGCTTGGAGGAAAGACGAGACAGGGGGGATATGATAGAAACATTTAAATATATAAAGGGAATCAACACAGTAAAGGAGGAGACTATATTTAAAAGAAGAAAACTACCACAACAAGAGGACATAGTCTTAAATTAGAGGGACAAAGGTTTAAAAATAATATCAGGAAGTATTACTTTACTGAGAGGGTAGTGGATGTATGGAATAGCCTTCCAGCTGAAGTGGTAGAGGTTAACACAGTAAAGGAGTTTATGCATGCGTGGGATAGGCATAAGGCTATCCTAACTATAAGATAAGACTAGGGACTAATGAAAGTATTTAGAAAATTGGGCAGACTAGATGGGCCGAATGTTTCTTATCTGCCGTCACATTCTATGTTTCTATGTTTCTATGTTTAAAAAAGGGAAAAGAACAGACACCCCTTTGCGCTGTTTTTTTTCTTTTGAAAGCAGCAAATTTTAGTTAGTCAGTTTCCTTCCCCCAAATTTCCAGTTAGATTCTTTTTGCAGGAGTTAGTTTAGAGAATGCTGCTAAAGGTGCGTTTGATACCTGCACATTTGGTTAAAAAAGTTTTATGGCAGTAACATATAACTGGCTGGCCAAAACCAGATGACGTGTGCATAAAAAGCAGAATTAAAAAATTACCACCATGCACGTAGTCTGAAATTTGTTTAACACAATGGTTGGGGGAAGGATGTGAAAACACCCCATATACAATACCCTGGAATGTCTACTTTATAAAAATATAAACTTTCATGATATTAACATTAATAGGGGGATGCAAAAATATGCCAAACTGAAGATAGGCCAAGCATACCTATATATCAAGTTGAAAAACTGATATGTACAAGTCTCGATCATTGCCTTTTAGCCCTCAAACAACCCGACAGGCCTATGCATGGGTGATATCACTGTACTCAGGAGATGTTGCTGAACACATATTGGGGTGTTGTTTGGCAGTGACACATAACACGATCTGTTAATTCATGCCTAAAGTACAATGTGTGTGAAAAAAAACACACAAAAAATGACTACCTAAATGTTTGACAAAGTCTGGTGGTAGAATTAGTGCATGGAAAGTGTTAAAAAACCACCATTTGAAATACCCTAGGGTGTCTACTTTCCAAAAATATATGGTTTGGTGGGGGTAAAATACATTGGCCGGCCTTACAAATGTCCCAAATAGGACATGTGCGCAGGTTGACTACATGTCAAAATTCCAAGTTGAAAAATGGATATGCGCACCTGCCAAATGTGGCCTTTTAGCCCCCAAACAATCCGACAAGCCTATGCATGGGTGGTATCACTGTACTCAGGAGATGTTGCTGAACACATATTGGGGTGTTGGCAATCAGTCTCTAACAGCATGCAGTAAATCCCCCCAAAGATAAGACAGAGCTCCGTTTTGAGGGTCAAGCCGTGGTCTGCTTTATTGAGGGCTACCTGCCCAGTATTTATGCAGGTCTCCCACCTGGTGGACACTCCCCTAGGGGACCAGATGGGAAACTGTTAAACAGACAGAAGTAAAACATTCCCACAATGCATCCTAATTTCCCTCCCTCTATCCTGGAGATAGTAATCCAATTATCTCCCAGGACAGAGGAAAACTCCATTATACACGTGGGGACACAAATACAGTAAAATACTTTAAAATATACAAAGTTACATTTTATACATAAAATACAGACATGTCACATATCCCCAGATAGCTGGGATCTGAGCGCACATAACGACCGAATAGCGCTCAGATCCTATTTCACACAGTTCAATTGCCATGGAGCCAAAGTCTTTAATTACACGAATAGGCTCCATGGCATAGCTATCTGGGTTAAAACATTCACTGAAGTAGAGTCCTGATCAATTCAGCGTTTGGCTAAACAGCCACGAATAGAAGCAGGGAAGGCTTGAGGCTCAGCGGGGCCTGCACGTAAAAGTGTCCGCTTTTAGAGCACTGATTCCGGGCTGAGCACCGCTGGCCATCCAGGAAGCTCCATAACACCGTGCAACTGCGACCACCCAGTAACAGTCAATTATGCTGCGGTTAACAGCAGCTACTGGGTGGTCAATTGACAGCACATGCTAGCTTCAGGGAGGTGAATTGAAGGCACACGCCAGCTTCCCAGTGGTCGCGCCTTCGGTATTTTGTTTGGTAGATAAAATATACCGAACACCCTGGCAGAAAGGCATGAATAAGCCTTTCTGCAGGGAAAATAAAGTATTTTAAAAGTCCGGTCCATAGTCTAAAGGGAGCAGGCGGGCAACCAGACTCCTCCAATGCAATGTGGCGAGATTGCTCTCGTCACACCTGGGTTGTCTAAAATATGTACATGTGGGGTGTTTTCCAGAGATTTATGACAAATAATAGTGTTACAATGTCACTATTGATAAATTTTTAAAATGTATGTTTTGAAACCGCAATATCCTACTTGTACTTATAGCCCTATAACTTGCAAATAAAAGCAAAGCATGTAAACGCTGGGTATTTTTAAACTCAGGACAAAATTTTGAATCAATTTAGCAGTTTTTTTCATTAGCTTTTGTAGATGAGTAAAAGATATTTCAAGTAAAAGTAAAAAAACATGTATTTTTTTCAATTTTGCATCATATTTTTTATTTTTTTTAAATTAAATTACATGAGATTATATAAATAATGGTATGTAAAGAATGCCCTTTTTGTCCTGAAAAAAACAAGAGCAGAAAATTACAGAAAAATACAGCTAAACACAAACACCACAAAAGTGTAAAAAGAGGCCTTGTCGCAAATGTACAACATCGCAAAAACAGTCCGGTCCTTAAGGGGTTAATCCTCTTTTTTTTGTATCATATAGCTATGTTTTTAGTGCCACGGGCAGAATCCAGAATCACAAACTGAAACAAAAATGCTCGGCCATAGCACGTTTGAGTTAGTTCATGATTCAGGTACATTTTGTCTGAGTTAGACCTAACACCCAAATGGGCCAAATTTGGACCAAAGTGAATCTGCATGTCTATCCATTACAATGATCCTGGCTTTGTGTAATAGTATAGTACATCTAAATTGTGTCCAGCTTTGTGTATGGTATATTTGTATTGTACTCAGCTATGCCTATTGTATGCAGGGCAGGCCCGACTGCTTAGTGGGTTAGGCAGCCACCTAGGGCACACTGGCCCGGGAGGTGCAATGCCCAGACGACAAGCAGGAGGGGAGCGCACAGCACAGAGCTCCCCTCCTGACAGTCTCTGTATGTAGCATGACTGAGCCACGTACCATGGTAGAGGAACTTCTCTATCTCCTACCTCGTGCTCACTGAGGGCTCAGAACAGCTTCCTTATAGATTGGGTAGAAGTTACAGGAACTTCTTTCATGGTATATCTCTTGGCCACTCTGCATGGAGGAATTAAAGGACCACTATAGTGCCAGGAAAACATACTCGTTTTCCTGGCACTATAGTGCCCTGAGGGTGCCCCCACCCTCAGGGTCCCCCTCCCGCCCAGCTCTGCTGAGAGGAAAGGGTTAAAACTTACCTTTTTTCCAGCGCCGGACGGGGAGCTCTCCGCCTATCTTTTACTCATCTACAAAAGCTAATGAAAAAAACTGCTAAATTGATATAAAATTTTGTCCTGAGTTTAAAAATACCCAGCGTTTACATGCTTTGCTTTTATTTGCAAGTTATAGGGCTATAAGTACAAGTAGGATATTGTGGTTTCAAAACATACATTTTAAAAATTTATCAATAGTGACATTGTAACACTATTATTTGTCATAAATCTCTGGAAAACACCCCACATGTACATATTTTAGACAACCCAGGTGTGACGAGAGCAATCTCGCCACATTGCATTGGAGGAGTCTGGTTGCCCGCCTGCTCCCTTTAGACTATGGACTCCTCCTCTCCTCCCTTTCGGCTGAATGCGCAAGAGCTGCGCGCGCATTCAACCGGTCTCATAGGAAAGCATTTACAATGCTTTCCTATGGACGCTTGCGTGTTCTCACTGTGATTTTCACAGTGAGAATCACGCAAGCGCCTCTAGCGGCTGTCAGTGAGATAGCCACTAGAGGATTTGAGGGCTGGATTAACCCATTTATAAACATATCAGTTTCTCTGAAACTGCTATGTTTATAAAAAAAAAGGGTTAATCCTAGAGGGACCTGGCACCCAGACCACTTTATTAAGCCACTTTATTAAGCTCAGAGGGAGAACCGGCCACATGTAAGTAACCGGTCTGGGTGCCTAGAGTGGTCCTTTAAGTGAGCTGGCACAGGGGGAAAGCACAAGGGCAGACACAGAGGAGTGGCACACAGAGTGCTGGGGGTGGGAGGGGGGAAAAGACACACAAATGAGTTGGGGGAGAAAGAGCTACACAAAGATGACCTTTTTTTTTTGTGGAGGGGGTAGCTAGTCTTGTATAACAAAAACAAGGACTGGAGTATTTGACCAAAGTTAATGGGAAAGTTGCAAAATGGATCATTTTTAAAACCTCATTTTTATTTCTTAGATCAATAAAATTTCTACAACCACATGTCGTTTCAAAAAACAAATAAGGGCAATGGTTTCACAATTGTGCAGACCGTGTATGTATGTACATAGAAAATAAGGAAAAAAGAAGGGGGTTGTAGATACAAATGCAAGTAGAATATCACCTAAATGGTGAATTCAAAAACCCAAACAAAATGGAAAATGAGAACAAAATGCTTAATGCACCTTACTGCTAGTACATACTGTCACCTGAGTCTGATTTGTGGTACAGTAGATGAAAACTAAATGTCAGCAGGGTAGATCTAAACAAAAAAAGGCAACCCTCAAAATTAGAACGGGGAGTATTGCTGTTCAATGACTATGTATACATGCAATTGCTTATGATATTGATGTTGTGATAATGCTAGAATAAATTAAGTCATGCCCCATCTCAGAATTTCGTTTACTTTGCTAGTGTTCAGTAACAGGTTTAAGCTTATTGTTACCTGGTATGTGTTGTTAGTATGTAACAATGTACAATATCCCAGTTATAGCGTGTGGCTAGTAAGGTGATTCTGATTTGAGAATTGTTATAAAAAAAGTTGTACTGACTTCCCTGCCTCTCACCATGCATTCGAGGGCATCTGTCTCTATAGCTTGAAAGTTTATTATGACTAAACAAACCCCTATAACTGCCACAGCCTCGCTAGGAATTGAAATATTTTTAAGATCAAAGGAGGTCTCTATCAAGAAACATACTGCTAAATAACAGTATGTTATGCAAATTTGTGGTTTAGAGGGAGCACTCAGATCCCCTGACAGGCACATTTGACGGCAAGGATCATCAGAGGGAGAACCGGCCACATGTAAGTAACCGGTATAAAATGGGGGGAATCCCTTTTCTGATTGGTATAATTTGAATTTCCCAGTGAGAGTGGTCCAATTCCATTCTCAATGGTATTAAGAGACGGTGGTTATTAACTCTTACAGTAGTTATCATCTCCACTAATAGATATTGATAAAATTATATGTTAGATGAAGTTGGGAAGCTTGCGAACTAATTGTAAATTTGACCTTGTTGCATTATGTGCCTTGGTATGGAACAAATCTAATCGAGTGAACTAGAATTCTGTTTTGGACCTAATTCACTTAAAAATGGCTCATTCGGTAAGATTGGATGTAATAATTGTATCAAAATCTGGAACAATTGATGATGATTCGAATAAGATGTATGGTGTGTATACCTTTAAATCTGCTAAAGGCAGATTCTGCGTGTTACACGCCAACTGATCTGCTTATTAAAAAGCCACTATTTATTACAGAACAACAACATAAAAAATAGTCATCTGTTTAATGTAGTTATACACACATTTATATAAAAAATAGTAGTGTGTTAGGCTTAAAATTGTCTGATAGCAGACTAAATAGTGCAAAAACAGTGCTTCACTTACAGTAGAGAGATACACAAAATACTGAATCTCTATATATTGTAATAAGATCGCTTGAAATGTGGATTAATGAGTGCAGGTTCCAAAAAAACACTGTTTGGAAGATAAAAATGTTTTAAAAATAATGTCAACATTTTATTTATAGTATATTCAATAAAAACATGATTAAAAGAATAATGAAATTAAAAAAATACAAAAATAAGAGCCAGGAACGATTAACAAGTCATTTGCCAGTAGAAATATAGTTCAGCTCGCTGTCAGTCTGGATACGAACACAGTCAGCCAGCAGCAGAAGGACACTCTCCCCGTGCAGACTAGCACCTACGATCTGGGGACCGACGGACTGCCAGCATCTGATATTCAAAGAGAGGTTTGGGACGCACGCCAACCTCACGGTGAGCCGGCAAGTACAGCAATTCAGTTTTGATACAAAGTATCCACTGTAATCCTGAATAGTTTCAGTGGATATCACGTTACATGAACTATATTTCTACTGGCAAATGACTTGTTAATCGTTCCTGGCTCTTATTTTTGTATTTTTTTTATTTCATTATTCTTTTAATCATGTTTTTATTGAATATACTATAAATAAAATGTTGACATTATTTTAAAAACATTTTTATCTTCCAAACAGTGTTTTTTTTGGAACCTGCACTCATTCATCCACATTTCAAGTGATCTTATTACAATATATAGAGATTCAGTATTTTGTGTATCTCTCTACTGTAAGTGAAGCACTGTTTTTGCACTATTTAGTCTGCTATCAGACAATTTTAAGCCTAACACACTACTATTTTTTATATAAATGTGTGTATAACTACATTAAACAGATGACTATTTTTTATGTTGTTATTCTGTAATAAATAGTGGCTTTTTAATAAGCAGATCAGTTGGTGTGTAACACGCAGAATCTGCCTTTAGCAGATTTAAAGGTATACACACCATACATCTTATTCGAATCATCATCAATTGTTCCAGATTTTGATACAATTATTACATCCAATCTTACCGAATAAGCCATTTTTAAGTGAATTAGCTCCTGAACACACTGCCTTATAGGTATCACCGTTCTTTATATTTTCAGACAGGTTTGGGTGTATCCCTGTCTCAGTACAGTTGAGCAAATTCATTTCAAGTCGGACTCCCTCACCTCTGTGTATTGCACTAGGCAGACCAGATCCCATATAGTATTCTGTTTTGTACGTATAAAACTGATTAGACTTCTGTTTTTGAAGGTTTGCCTTAGAGGGAATTCTACATTTCCCGTCTTGTTTGTTTGTTACTTATTATGGCGTTCAGTTTATAGAACGGGTTAGCTCTCTTGGAGATTGTTATAAATGTATTAAAATAAAAATGTTAAACAAGTTAAATGAATAAATAAGAACTCAAATAGAAAACAATAATAAATCGAAATAAATGGAAATTCCTATGTACAAAATCTCGCTCTATTACAGAATCAAAAGGGGAATCTCCTTACGGAATCACAACGGGAAACGTCGCCTAAATGCAATTACATATATAGATATATTTGTCTGCCACTTATATGTGCCCAACTTAAATGTAAGAGGTCACCTGATGGGAGGAATCGCCCAATCGATCGTAGACTATGGGGAGATGGTGTATTAACCAGCTGTGTGATTATTAGGGAGCACTCAGAGCTCCTACCTCCATTTCTACTGTGTGTATATATATATATATATATATATATATATACAGGGAGTGCAGAATTATTAGGCAAGTTGTATTTTTGAGGATTAATTTTATTATTGAACAACAACCATGTTCTCAATGAACCCAAAAAACTCATTAATATCAAAGCTGAATATTTTTGGAAGTAGTTTTTTAGTTTGTTTTTAGTTATAGCTATGTTAGGGGATATCTGTGTGTGCAGGTGACTATTACTGTGCATAATTATTAGGCAACTTAACAAAAAACAAATATATACCCATTTCAATTATTTATTATTACCAGTGAAACCAATATAACATCTCAACATTCACAAATATACATTTCTGACGTTCAAAAACAAAACAAAAACAAATCAGTGACCAATATAGCCACCTTTCTTTGCAATGACACTCAAAAGCCTGCCATCCATGGATTCTGTCAGTGTTTTGATCTGTTCACCATCAACATTGCGTGCAGCAGCAACCACAGCCTCCCAGACACTGTTCAGAGAGGTGTACTGTTTTTCCCTCCTTGTAAATCTCACATTTGATGATGGACCACAGGTTCTCAATGGGGTTCAGATCAGGTGAACAAAGAGGCCATGTCATTAGATTTTCTTCTTTTATACCTTTCTTGCCAGCCACGCTGTGGAGTACTTGGACGCGTGTGATGGAGCATTGTCCTGCATGAAAATCATGTTTTTCTTGAAGGATGCAGACTTCTTCCTGTACCACTGCTTGAAGAAGGTGTCTTCAGGAACTGGCAGTAGGACTGGGAGTTGAGCTTGACTCCATCCTCAACCCGAAAAGGCCCACAAGCTCATCTTTGATGATACCAGCCCAAACCAGTACTCCACCTCCACCTTGCTGGCGTCTGAGTCGGACTGGAGCTCTCTGCCCTTTACCAATCCAGCCATGGGCCCATCCATCTGGCCCATCAAGACTCACTCTCATTTCATCAGTCCATAAAACCTTAGAAAAATCAGTCTTGAGATATTTCTTGTCCCAGTCTTGACGTTTCAGCTTGTGTGTCTTGTTCAGTGGTGGTCGTCTTTCAGCCTTTCTTACCTTGGCCATGTCTCTGAGTATTGCACACCTTGTGCTTTTGGGCACTCCAGTGATGTTGCAGCTCTGAAATATGGCCAAACTGGTGGCAAGTGGCATCGTGGCAGCTGCACGCTTGACTTTTCTCAGTTCATGGGCAGTTATTTTGCGCCTTGGTTTTTCCACACGCTTCTTGCGACCCTGTTGACTATTTTGAATGAAACGCTTGATTGTTCGATGATCACGCTTCAGAAGCTTTGCAATTTTAAGAGTGCTGCATCCCTCTGCAAGATATCTCACTATTTTTGACTTTTCTGAGCCTGTCAAGTCCTTCTTTTGACCCATTTTGCCAAAGGAAAGGAAGTTGCCTAATAATTATGCACACCTGATATAGGGTGTTGATGTCATTAGACCACACCCCTTCTCATTACAGAGATGCACATCACCTAATATGCTTAATTGGTAGTAGGCTTTCGAGCCTATACAGCTTGGAGTAAGACAACATGCATAAAGAGGATGATGTGGTCAAAATACTCATTTGCCTAATAATTCTGCACTCCCTGTATATATATATATATATATATATATATATATATATATATATATATATATAATCAGCTTATGCTGTGTATGAGTAAGTTGATACTTATTGGAGACTTGCTTCTGTTGTGCTTTTGCTCTTTAAGTCAGTCTATCTCATTGTTGAGAATTTAGGAGAGTTGGTGGGTTACAATGTAATATTAATGGTATATTATCAGGCATTGTTAAATTCTATATTCTGTGATGCAGTTATGAATATTGGTATACATATCTCGCATTGCTATCTCGATTATCAAAATTCAATTAGAATGGAATATGTTTCAAGAGAAGATTAGTCACTATTATGATTCTGAAAGAGGGTTTTTAAGCAATAGTGTTTGTGGTGTACAGATCTAACCAAATATGAATCTTTTCTGAGGAGAAGATATGAGTGCAAAGAAATTGAAAGATAATAAAAATGATAAGTCAGAAAACTATTAAAAAAAGATGTAAAATAATAAAAAAATTAAAAAAACATTAAAAAAGATATAATGGAAATGATACTAATGGTAAAATATGCTGAATTTAAGAAGGAATGACTACACGAGTATAGGAGAATTTTATTAGAGAGACATAAAATGGCGTTAAGTGATGAATGAAAGGAATGAAATTGAATTCCACATTTGGTCCTCGGGGTGACAGGGTTTGGAATTCATATATCCACATAGAATCCTTCTATAGAAGTTTTAGATTAAAGGTACCTTCTCTCGAGTTCAGGGTGATTTGTTCCAACGCCTGAAAGGAAAAATGTGATGGGTCCCTTCCGTGAAATACTCGAACGTGGTTTGCCACCGGGTTTGAAATGTTGGGATTTTTACTGAATTAATGTTCTGTAAAATTCTTCTCCTGAGCTGCTGGTACATTTCTTCAATGTACAATGTCAACAGCTGCATGTGATGCTATAAACAACACGTATGAACACGTTTGAATGAAATTGCAGGCCTCACAGTTTCCACTCTTGAAGATTCCCTTGGTATTTGATAGCCATGTAGAAGAAGATTTATTGCTACAGTTCGGTTATGTTAGAGGTTATGTAACAACCCTTCCCGGTTGTGTTTCCCTCCCTCCTCCTTTTGCCGGTTCCTGGGTGTTTAGGTTTATGTTCGCCGTTTTCTCATTTTTACATCCCAGAGGGTCCGGGGTAGGCTGCATGGACACCTGTGCTGCCTTCCTTGTCCAAGGGTTTAATTATCAGAGCTTTGTTCTGACTTAACTCTGGTAAGGCTCTACATTTGCTTGAGGTCAAATTGTCTTTAGGAATCTTTGGTGGAGGTAACTTCTCAATATTGTCCATTGTCTTTACAAAGAGGTACACATTAGAGACCTCCTTGAAACTTAGTGTAAACCAGCTTTGTGATTTTACAGTTGTTAATGGTTGGTCACATTTTTGTTCTTCTAAAAGTGAAATCATGGTTTTAGGATATTTAAAGTCCTCTGGGAGGACACCCAGTTTTTTTGATAGTTTCTGTTCCTTTCTTTTGTGTAAGACATTTAAAACTAACTTTCGACCAAATAGATTGGTTTCTTTAACCCATTCAAATGTATTGGCTCCTGGGGTGGGGACAAAAGAGAGACCTTTATTGAGAAGGGAAATATGTTCTGGTTTTAAAATAAATTTGGACAATGTGTGTTTTTGGGAAAGATACTGTTTTCTCAGGACCTTTGAGGATGCTTTTAGTATTGTGTTGGGTCTTCCATTCTGCCCTACGTGAGCTGCTAGTACTTCTTGAGTGGTCTGAATCTTTGTACTGTACTAGGCTTTATATATTTTATGGGTATCTCTGTGTTTTTTTTTTTTGTTTTTTTTTTTAATTCTTTATTTTGGTCGTGCATTAGATAACAGACAAAATTCGCACAGCCACAACAGCTAGTGCTAGCCTAATAACAAACAATCAATAACAATGGTTTGGCGTCTCATACATTGCACATTTTATGTATTTTTTGAATCTATAGCTGGAAGTATGTTAGAGCTAATTGGGTTTAATAACATAAGGTAGTATTGCAGGGTACCCCAACAGTAAAATAACATGGTGGGTAGTATGACAAGAATGGTACCAATGCATCAGGGGGCAACGGTTTAGGTTGGATATGCATGAGTAATCAGATGAGTAACGTGATACAGCGTACAGAGATGCATTATAGAGTTTAAACATGGCAGACCAATTAAGCACAGGCAAAAAGAAGTACACATTTTAAACATTCTGTGGCATGCGGTATCAGCACATTTTTTGTTTTTAAGACTCGAGTGTTACTGTCAATACGTTAGCTTGCTAGTTAGCTACTAGTTATAGCATTTAAGAGATAGGTAGCATAGGTGGCAACAAGCCTAAAATAAAATAAAACAAGTTAAAATAAAACATATGCGCTTTTACGTGAGTCAGTCCGTTTTGTATCAGCCAATGCCCGATCTGGAGGCTTTGTCTGCCTGCTTAGAACGGTGGTCGCCAGTGTCAGTGAACCGCCAGAGGCATGCTGGTATTGCCCTCCTGCTCCAGGCTTGTTGTGGGGCCAGCATCATTTCACCGCGGACTCGGGGACGTATATAGGCCGGGTCCTTCCCTGAAAAGGTAGGTCTGGAGGCTGTGGTGGTGTTTCGCCGCCTGTGGCGTGCAGGCCTCCACCTATGCGGGGGATGCAGCGGGGCTTTGCCCCTCGGGGCCCTCAGCCCGGATGGGCTTGTGTGGGGAGATGCGATCTGTGCAGTGCGTTTTATGCCCGAGGACTTCCCAGGACCTCCGTGGTTGACCCTTTCCATGTTCCAGGTTGAGCTCTCACTCGCCTGCACCTGTGCTTGTGCGGCAGCATGTCGAGCCTCCACTTTAGCCCAGAAGTTTGCAAACAGCTTTTCCAGGTGGGTGTCTAGGGATTCGCAGATGCTGTGTTTGGGTTCTGGTGCTGCGAGGTCTTTGTTGGGCTGCGTGTCCGCCATCTTAGGGCAGCGAGTGGTTTGCTGCTTTATTGCTAGTTTTAGGCCTGTCTTGTCGTTTACCGACCCTCTAGGCAGACTGGTTTGGACGATTGGGACCGGGATAACCCCCACCGGTCCAAGGGGGGGAGGGTACGCCCGATGCTTCGGGTGCCACATGCTTTGGTGAGCTGGGAGAGCGGCCGCCTCTCCCCTGCTTTGCATGGTGTAGGCCCCAAGCCTCCGACCCGGCAATTCAGCAGGCAAACCGGGTGTGTGTGGTATCTTCGGGATCCCCAGCTTTGGTATTACACGATGAAGTAAGTTGTGGATCAGGATTGTGAGGCTTTCCCGTGATTGTCGTCGAGTATCGGGTCTAGGCTCGGGAGCTCACAGATAGTGCGTCTGTTCAGCTCCCCGGTCAGGCTCCGCCCCCCGGGTATCTCTGTTTTTTACCCATCTCTGTGTATTGTATGCAGACTACCATCAAAGGCTGAGTAACGTAAAGCAGATAGATCTCACCATAACAGAATAAGATGCTCATTACAGAATTAAGGTGTGGAGTCAAATTCTATGGGTGGAGTTTCGCCTGGAGTTTAGCCAGAAAACCTATGCCAACATCTTAAAACTCCACCAACTACCATTGATATAAAATGTCCTTACACTCCCGGGGTTAAGCATATTTATTGATTCAGATATGACTGAGAATTAAAATCATATAGTATCAGACTATGTAAAAAATAAGTTTACCTCAAATAAGGCAAATGTGATATTTGTAAATGTAATTTTTTTGTTATAATTTCCACTTTAGGACCGCAATTTCTTTAATTTTTTTTTAAATTAGATAGTGAATGCTGTATAAGTAACTATTGGTTAAGTAAGTTATTTTTATATTTTTAATTTAACATTAATTAACATTTAATATTTTAATATTTTTTCTTACTGATTGACTTAGCATCTGCCCAGGTTCTAATACTAATATATATTTTGGAAAGTAATCTTGCAATCTGAAAAATATGATATATTCCTATATATTACATATATTATGTCAAATATAATATGATATATGTCTTATATTCAAAGTATATTACTATACATATACAGAGGCCAGCAAGCCTGGTGGGGATATCAAATCTCTCTCTCACCATGCCAGTGCTTCCTTCCGTGTATATACACTCACACACATACACTACATTCCCTAAATATATATATTACATATACTACAAACACACACTACAGTCCCTATACACACACTCACTACATCTCCTATGCACACACTACAGTCCCTATACACACACTCACTACATCCCCTATGCACATAAGCTGAAGTTTGCTGTAATTACTGGTTGCTTTATTTTTCTTCTAAATTTCTATTAGAGTGTGTCTTATAAACATGACTTCCTCATGTTTTCAGTGGGTCCTCAAAACACGAGGAAGTCTGTAATATAATTACAGAACAGTATTATCTTTTCTGATTACATCATTATATATATGGTTTTAATGTATATGGATTTGTATTTGATGTCTCTCTTGTCTTGATGCCCCGTGCCACGCAAAATATGAAAATATATAAACTTTGATAGGACACATTCAGAGGACTCTGCAAGTATCTTTAAACACTTCTGCTTCATTGTGCAGGTTGTAGTAGTATACAAGTTAACATTTCAGTCCCGAAAACTCCTGTCAATGGACTGAAACGTTGTCTTGTATACCTTTGGTTAGTTGGTTGTTTTTTTTTTTGGATAGAAGGATAAAGGATAGCAAATGTCCAAGCTCCATGAGCCTAGGTGCCCAATAATCATACCAATTTGCAATATATTATTCCAGGATATTTTTTCAGAACCTTCAAACTGTCTTTATTAAAACATTTAGGAAGACCAACCACCTCAGTTTGCAGTCAGAGTGTTCATGTGCATGATGGTGACCAACTATGCAGGAGAACGTTCATTTTCAAGATTAAAACTGATTTTAAAAAATCAGTTTCACACACAATGGGGCAGTAGCGTTTGAACTGGTTTTCACTCATATGTACGGAAAATGACATCCTGAAGACCACTGACTTCATGCAATTCTCTGCAAAGAAATTTCACGAATGTTTGTGCTGAACCCTTGATTAATAATAAAGAATTCATAGTAACTTCATACTGTAGGATCTGTGTCTGTAGGATTTACCAGCCGAGCACCATTATTTAATGTTACATTTCTTGTTTTTCAACTTCAAGGCTCATGTTATATTGTTCAAACGTTTTTGTGGATTAATCTCTGTTGTACAGCATGTTATTTTAATGTTTAAACACTGATTTTACTGGCGGTACCAATATATCAGCTTAATTTAATCAATTATTTATATTTTTAATAATTGAGCACATAACAAAAAAACTGTGTTTGAAGTGTGCCCTCATAAGTAGGTTTTGCATTATCATGGTTTTGACACTAAAGACAAGATGATGGGTTCCAGTGCTGGATATTAGTTTTCAGATCATATTGCAATGAGCAATAACATTTACTGAATTATGTAACCAGAATAGATAAAATGTTCTGTAATTATATTACAAACAACCTTGTGTTTTGCAAATTCTCCCATTTTGCAGGTACTTTTTATTCATATTAGAAATTCCTATATTTTATGCAGATGTTCTATTGCTGACATGACTATGACTATTTTCTAATTTCCATTTTCTTTACATTTGTATAGAAATGAATAATTCAAATATGGAAACATTCTTGGAAAATGTACAGGGGAGAAAGAACTGCATGGGACATGCCAGCTGGTGTAAAACTGTAAAACAAAATATAGAATAAATAAATAAATAAAATATGCAGTATTATTTAAAATTAACGTTTCCTCTTATGCACAAAGTATAACGTATAGAACACTCAATCCATAACCCTGGGTCACTGTGAAATAATGTTTTAATCTGTAAGCAACAAAATGTGATCATCAAACACTTAAAAAAATGTAGAACTTAATTTCTTACACGTTACACTCTTTCTCATATGACTTGTGCCAGATGAATTCTGACTGATTACCTATATTTGAGTCATTTAAAAAAACAAAGACGGGGGTGTGGCTAACCGCCGGACGAAATGGATGCTTAATCCTGAGCTCCGGCATCTGGGCTAACAATCCAGCGCCATCCTAGCATACAGAAAGCGGGAAAAGCTTAAAATAGCAAGATGTCACAACCTAAGGCAAGAAAGAATACTTCTAAAGCCGAAAAACTAAATTTCTTTGGCCAAAAACCAGATCAAGCTGTGGGTGACTGTCAAGTGGCCAACCAGGAAGGCGGAGAGGAGGTAGAAAATGGCGATCTCTCACCAACTACTGGGGGCAAAGAAGAAGTGCTCACCCCAAGCCACCTCACAAAAGCACTGGATGCTCTCTCGAACAAGCTCATCACCGCCTAGCAGCACTCCATGGACTCCCTGCGCAAGGACGTCCAGGAACTAGGCCGCAGAACGGCACACATGGAATCCAAAATGGACGACTTCGCGACGGCTCACAATGATCTGGCTGATCACACGGAGAATATGGCAGACAAAATAACACTCCTGGAGCATAAACTAGCCGACCTGGAAGACCGGTCGAGGAGAAACAATCTCTGGCTCCGAGAAGTGCCAGAATCGGTGACACAGACGGAACTACCAGCCTACATTAGAGGCCTGCTTAAGGCCTACAGCCCAGAGGTACCAACAGACATGCTCTTAGTCGACCGAGCACACCTGGTCCCGCGCCCGCGGTTACATAATTCAGTAAATGTTATTGCCACCTGCCCGATACCACGCCAAGAGATGTGCTCATTCGCATCCACTACTTTCACATCAAGGAGCATATCCTCCGTGAAAGTAGGAACAAAAGCAAACCTCATGATGATTACCCCACTGTTCAACTATTCACAGACCTGTCTGCAACCACACTCCGACGGCGGAAAGACTTTGCTCCAATCACCGACGCCCTCCGCACAAACGGCATAAGGTACAGATGGGGATTCCCCACCAAATTGCTAGCACACAAGGATGGCAGCTTCAAGGCCATTATGTCTCCGGAGGACGGACTTAAAAAACTGAAAGCTTGGGGCATCACCATGCAAGAAAACCGACACAGACAACACGCAAGTGGGGAGACTCCGCCTAGAGTGGACGAAACCACCCTCCAAACGCTAAAGTCGAACGCTGGTCTGAGGAGTAAACCCGCAAGTATTCCGAGCCTGATGGCTCACTGCACCTTCCCATGTCACCTGAGCCTCTGGCCCTCATGAACTTACTAGCTACAGACATTCTCCTCCAATGTATTGTGTATGAACCAGTTGTATGTCAAAGGCGGTGAGCCGGGTCCTGGGCGTCTCGGCCCGCCTTCCTCCACGGGGGGAGGCCGGGCGGGAGGATGCGGCCCGGGGCTGGGCGAATGAGCTTAGGATCGATCACAGGCCTCACTGCTACAAGATATAACATGCTTAACTGTACAATAACTATGTAATGACCTCAAAACTTGCATTGTTTGATGTGCTGTCTGGGCGCTCCGGACCTGCTCTGGAGCCGGGGCGCACAATTTGAGAGCAAAGGAACTGCACCTGATGTGGGATCAAGAGGTTAAAACCGAGAAGGAGAGAGAGGAGACTGGGGAGCGGGGGCCTTGGCCTCCCTCTTTCCGCCTGAAGCGGACTGGGGAGTGCCGACGCGGCCGTGACCCGGTCGGAAATAAGACGAGGAGGGAGAGGGGGCCTTGGGAAGACATGGAAATCTAGATAAGCGGTAAAACTCCCTAACCGACCAACTCCTGACACGAGCCCTCACCTCTGCGTTACCCCTATAAGACCTTCACCTGCTACACGCTAACCCGTGTAACCCTTTCTGTCCAAAGACATAATGACAAACACCATAGCCCAAAAGCCACACGCACTGGAACCTACTGTTCCTAACCCCATGCTGCACCATCTATGCACCACACTCCCCTTTGGGGAATCCTGTACATACTTACTCCCAATGTTCAAACACGACCCCAATTAACACCCTCCCACCCAAGTTTTAAACTCCCTTAAAGGAACACTACTCATAACTAAATGCCACCCATACACACCGAACACCGATGTCATGATTCAGAAAAGCACTATACCTTACCTTAAAAATTCATAACAATACGCTCCATTAATGTTCGTGGAATAAATACGCCGCACAAGAGACGAGTCCTACTGAACTCGAAGAAAGACAAAATAGATGTTCTATGCATTCAAGAGACACACTTTGTACAAAACCGCACAAGGTGTATCCATAATGATACACAACTCCCTTACATTCGAACTCCTACAACTTAAGCAGGATACACAAGGGAGATACATTATTCTACACTGTAAGATCAACAACAAGACATACACATTAGTCACAATATATGGCACAAACTCTAATCAGCGCAATTTCCTCCATCATGTGCTCTCCAAGATACCAGCGCCACAACTACCCTATTTGATTCTGTGTGGGGACTTAAACCACATACTACACCCCCAATTAGACACGACGGTGCTCCCGCAAACCCGAAGACACACATCCCTCACGTCCAAATGCAAAGCGCTCACCAAATTACTTATGGAATATGACATAAATGACATTTGGAGAACCAAGCACCCCAATGATCGGGAATACACCTACTTCTCCCCTATGCACAAGACACACTCGAGGATAGACCATGCACTAGTGGCCCGAACTTTTTTATCCTCAATAGAAGATTGTCACATAGGTGACATAATTTGGATGGACCACGCCCCAATAGACCTAACCCTCACGGACACCTTCCCACATAGGGGGAAAACCCCGTGGCCCTGCCTGACTACTTACTAAACAACCATGAATTTAAAATGTTGTTACAATCAGAACTCACCTCATACTTTCATACAAATGACACACATGACGTTTCCCCTGAGACAATATGGCAGGCACACAAAGTGGTCCTAAGAGGCCTAGCAATCAGTAAAGCAGCCTACATTAAATGTACAGCACAACAAGAATACAATACCCTCCTACAGACATTGCGAGACCAAACAAACGAACATCTACTCAAACCAACAGAGACAGGACTGAATGCTATAACGCAAACAAACAAGAAACTCAGTGAGTATCTGCTAGCCAAGACAACGTCCACACTACAAAGACTCCGCACCCACACGTACTGTCAGGGCAACAAAGCAAGCAAAGCTTTAGCCTCCCTCCTACGACATAAACAAAGCCAATCTAAATTACCTTACATCAACCTGCCAGACGGCACAAAACTTTTTGACCCTCAAGACATTAACAATAACATGGCATTGTACTACACATCGCTGTACAATCTCAAAAATGACTCCAACACGCACCAACCAACACACCAAGAAATACAAACATTCCTACTGCAAGTCAACCTTCCCACGCTAAACACAAGCCAACAAAACGCTCTACAGGCTGAAATTACACTCTCAGAGCTTACAGAAGCTATCGTGGCCCTCCCACCGGGGAAATCACCTGGCCCCAATGGATTCACGAACACTTACTACAAGACATACTCCGACACAATAGGCCCGTACCTACTCAAAGCATTAAATCATATCATAGACACAGGAACTATGCCACCAGAAATGCTCCTTGCTCATATTGCAACGATTCCGAAACCTGGAAAACCACCAACTACACCCCAAAACATGAGACCCATATCTCTATTAAACAGTGACACAAAACTCCTAGCAAAAATTTATGCAAATAGAGTATCACGTATGCTCCCCTTCCTAATACACGAGGATCAGGTGGGTTTTGTCACGGGCAGGCAGGGAGCAGATGGCACAAGGAAACTACTCAATCTCCTGCACAGCGCGCGACGAGGGAGGAGGCCCAGTGCATTTCTGTCACTCGATGCCGAAAAAGCCTTTGACAGACTGCACTGGAGCTTCCTAGCAGCTGTCCTCGCAAAATATCATTTCCCCCCAAGATTCATGTCTCTAGTATCAGCATTATACTCTGCCCCGTGTGCCAAGGTAGCAAACAGCGGTTTTCAATCCACAAAGTTCCCAATCACGAATGGAACCAGACAGGGTTTTCCCCTTTCCCCCCTCCTTTACGTTTTAGCCCTGGAACCTTTAGCGCATCTCATACGAAATGACCCGCAGATACAGGGAATTAAAGTAGGGAAAACAGAACACAAGATCACAATGTTTGCAGATGACATCATGCTAACAATCACGAATCCACGCACGTCACTGCCACGTATCAAAGCCCACCTATCGGCATACAGTGCCTGCTCATATTATAAACTGAACATAACTAAGACAAAGGCAATGCACCTCTTCTCGCCACACAAGACACTAAGCATTTTAAAAACTACATACGCCTATCAATGGGACAACAATAGCCTCACATTCCTGGGTATAGACTTCCCAACCGATCCTAAGCTCCTCTTCCAAGTCAATTATGTAACGATAGCCAAAGAAATCAAACAACGATTATTTACCTGGAAGGGAAAGTATGTATCCTGGCTTGGCCGCATAGCGACCATAAAAATGATTCTCCTCTCCAAACTGCAGTATTTATTCCGCACTCTACCCATTGCACTCCCACCAATCTACCTGAAAAATATACAAAAGACACTTAGTGACTACATTTGGAACTACAAAAAACCTAGGGTAGCAGCTACGATTCTCCACAGACCATTCAAGGAAGGAGGCCTAGGTGTACCCAACATAGCCAAGTATTACACAGCATCGCAATTGAACCCATTAATCTCCGTACATCATCCCAAAACCCTGCCGACCTGGCTTAATATAGAGGCTTCGTACACAGGAAACCACACACTCAAAGAACTTATGTGGCTCCCATCCCATCTCAGACCCAAATACGACTATATACTACCTACCACATCCCTAACTCTCTCTATGTGGGATGCACACCAAAAACAAACCAAGGAAAAAGTCTCTATTTCACCAACAACCCCTCTTATTGCAATCATGCCCCTTCTCCCCACTTTTGATACCGCATGCGGAATCTCCCAAATACAACAACTATTAGATGGCCAAACTGTACACTCATTCCTATATCTCCAAACTACATTTGGACTGTCCAAATCTGCCTTTCTCTCCTACCTCCAGATTAAATCTTGGCTCACAAGGCATATGCCCATAACAGCTACAGAAACAAACAACAAGCTCCCATATACCTCGAATCGTAGAACTTTGCACTCAAAAACGAAATCCCACGAAAATCATTTCTTCGCTATATGCACTCATTACAAAACAACCTAACACAGGAAAACCCTCCTTTGCGAGAGCATGGGAATCAGACTTTGGTGAGACACTCGACCAAGCACAGTGGTCCAAAATCTACCTAGCTAACAAAACACTTCCCCTATGCGCTACACATATAGAATTAACCAGAAAGATCCTCTACCGATGGTATATGGTGTCTACACGGCTCAAACACATGGACCCTAACAGGTCAGATCTGTGCTGGAGATGCAAATCAGCACCGGGCACTATGTACCACATATGGTGGACATGCCAAAAAATTACAAAGTTCTGGGAAACAGTGAGGCAACTAATACAGGACTCAGCAGGGGTAACGATACCATTACGACCGGAAACCTACTTATTACAACTCTTCCCAAGTAACATGCCAAAACCTGCAAAATATCTCTCCTACCATATCATAGTAGCAACTCTCTCTACAATCAGCAGAGCCTGGCTCTCTGAGGCCTCTCCGGACATTAATCTAAGTATCCAAACGGTACAAACCACTAAGTCATATGAGGTTATGGCTAGACTGACCAAACCCCCCAAACCGTTCTGGAGGGAGGCATGGAAATTATGGGAATCATGCCTAACCAACAGGGGGGTGACAACCCCCACCCAAAACGCCCAATCCTCCCCCTGATACCTGAGACCCGCTCCAACTAAAGCACAAATATTTAACCACACACGCCTTCACACAACGTTACGGCATATAAGGACGAAAAGTGTTCTCCCCACCCCAACCACCCTGTGTTATCTTCCCCCTCCCGAGTTTACATTCCTATCTAGCAAAAGGAAAAGACTCAAGAAGAGGTTACACTGCAACTTGAGTTGTAAATAGAGATGATGGGTTACAATCGACACAAAGGTACATATAAAGATGTACAGAGGTAAATGAGAAGTTGCAAAATGAAGTTTTTATTAACCTCAATCACTTGTTATACCCTTTTAGAAATTGTATAAAAAAGCAAAATTCCCTATATTGTAATAGCAACTTAAAAAGTGATACCTCTTGAACAACAACTAATGTATTTTGTGTCTGTAATAACCACTGCTTTCTTCTGTAACCACTGCGCTTTTACTTAGGCTCTCATTTATCTCTTTGAGATAAAAAACCAATAAAAGAAAATTATAATAAAAAAACAAAGACAGCAAAATTAATTAAAACAATATGGATTAACAAGATTGAAAATTGGACAGAGCAAACATAATTTAAAATGAAGAAAAAAAAACATTGTACACATTAATTTCTTGATCTGCTCGTTATCTTTGTTGTATTATTATTCCATTCATTTTCTTAGTGATTTTCTTTAACCAAATAGGTTTTTCTAAAATATTTATTTTGTTTAATATGTCATATGTTTAACCCCTTAAGGACACATGACATGTGTGACATGTCATGATTCCATTTTATTCCAGAAGTTTGGACCTTAAGGGGTTAACTAACTGATTTTCTAAACTGTAAACCTTTAAATGGATTGGAAATAATGTTGATGTAACCTTAGAATGAGCATGGTGGCAGATAGTAAACATGATATTCCAGACAATACTCCCAAGCATTGGCAGATAGATACTGTAAATTAAAATATATTGCATGCAAAATATCATTAAAGAAACACTCCACTGTTACAAATAAATGCATTCGTTGCTAACATTAGAGTGTTCTTTTATTATTTTAGATTTTGGACCCCCATATTAAAATTTAAATAAAAAACACTTTATTTACCACTAATCCTGGTAATGTTTTCCCAGTCAATCCAATGCTTCTCCAATACATTGGGACATAGGGTGCATACGGAAGAAGTGCTGTGAACCACCAGTAATACTTCTCATAGAGAAGTCCTAATTTCTGCTCTTAGAAAGCTCACAAAGTGAGTGAGGAATCCAATCAGACAGCCTAGTGGTGTTACCAAAGGGGAATTATAAAATAGCTAACTTCTTTTGAAATATTCATTGCTATAAAATAAGGCAGAGGGAACATGCTTTTAACCACTAAAGCACTTCAGCATCCGTTAGAGGTTTGGAGTTTTCCTATAATCATTTGGTCTTCTTCATTTGTAATATTTACACATTCTTCCAAGACACAGATAAGCGGCTTGCTTTAAATATGTTGTAGCTGCTACTTTCCTTTGCTAGGTCGCCTTTGATTTTGCTTATAACTGTCAGAAAGTATGTCCCAGACAGGATGTTATCAATACTGAACTTCAGACCTTTGGAACTTATTAAATTCTTATCAAGACCGACTCGTGTTGCCGGTCAACTTGGTCGTTGAGGAATTGCCACCAAAGCACGAAACACCCAAGCATCTACCTGGTGCTCTCCTCTGTTATATTGTCATGTTGCTAATACATTATATACTACATTTTTTTGCATTTGTACCTCAGCTGGTTGAGATCGCTCTTTTTTTTAAATTTTGCACGGAGGTCAACCTCAGGAATTTGGTGGTTTCTAACAGGAGGAGGGCATGTGACTTTCTTCCAGCGAGGACTGCAGTCACTGGATGAATAAGATTAATCTTTACCCGTTAATCTACCCTGTGCTCACATTTATTTCAAACCTACATCACACAGGAATCCAAAATGCAAGAAACTGTGAGTATGACTTTACTACCTATTGTAGTGTCTGAGCAATACTAAAGACAGAATGCTACAACTTGAGTATGAATGGGAAGTAGTCCCCACTTCAGGTAATGCCTATCCCTGCCCTTACCCACTGAGATTGTTATCCTGTTATTACCTCGTTTTACTGTGTTTATTATTCCTCAACAACATCTGAAAGACTTTACTGAGAAAACCAGACTTGCAGGAGAAACATGCATCACAAAAAATGATTTACCTGGATCACCACTCAAGTGTTGTATATTTTTCATGCATGGTTCTATTCTATTTTATATATTTACCTTATATATGTTTTTATTTGAATAATGGACTTTGTGTGCATGTATTTAATGAATTTGGCAAATTCAGACTCCTTAGATGTGAATTTTTAATTTGTCTGGTTGAAGACAATAATGCAGTGTTCTGACCCAGATACGTTGTATACTCATAAAAGTCACACAAATAAAATGTTTCATGTACTAAATGGGGGTTTGTCAGAGGAGTGGAAGATTCTAACATTTAAAAACAGACTATCTCTACCTTAACATTGTTCTAATATTTAACTCCCATGATTAGGATTCCATATAACCTTTTTTTCTATAATAGTTTATCAAAGCCAGTCTGGAAATTCTCTACAGCACCAGACAATACTCCTTCCCCAAAATGCCTTTTCACTCTTTTTCTCAAAATTTTTAATCTGTAATCAATCCCAATTGGACTGCAGATCAGCTATAACATATACGTTTTAGTTAAGTTATAGTTGCTTTAGAACAGCAGTAGACTACTTCACGGTAGTCCACAAATATAATTTGTCATTAAAAGCTGTCAAAAAGTAATGCTAGTTATATAACTATTTTTTTTCTAAAATTGGAGCTAAATATCTGTAAAAAGATCTAGGAAAAATTATTTTATGTCATAGTCCACTTTCTCTAGAAATGTAATTGTTGGTTAATTAGTAATTAGCAATTGTCTCTGTAACATCTATGTTCTGGGCTCACCATACCAATACACTACAAGTTCCTATAACCTCTCATGTTCTATTACAGAGATTGGATTGTAACCCCATCTGGCTCCATTCATGAAAACATGAATGTAGCTATCTGGAAAAACTGCTAGAAGTCTCACTAGTGTAGCAGTTTCATCAATGTCTTTTTTTTTTAAATAAAAAAACTGCATTGTGCTGCACTTCAGTCAACATGGGTCAGTCTGGGCGTCAGTATGTGTCTGCATGGGTCAGTGTATGTGTGTGTCTGCATCGGTCAGTGTGTGTGTGTGTTTCACCATGAGTCAGTGTGTATTTGTCTGCATGGTAAACTGTGTGTGTCAGCCAGCATGGGTCAGTGTGTGTCAGCTTGCATAAGTCAGTATGTGTGTGTGTCAGTCTGCGTGGGTCAGTGTGCCTGTGTGTTTGCATGGGTCAGTGTGTGTTTGTCTGCATGGTAAAGTGTGTGTGTGTCAGTCTGCATGGTAAAGTGTGCCTGTGTGTTTGCATGGGTCATTGTGTGGATCAGTCTACATGGGTCAGTCTGGGTGTCAGTCTGCATGGGTGTATGTATGGGTCAGTGTGTGTGTTTGTTTTTCAGTCAGCATGAGTCAGTGTGTGTTTGCTTACACAAGTCAGTGTGTGTGTGTCAGTCTACATGGGTCAGTGTGTGTGTGTCAGTCTGCATAAGTCAGTGTGTGTGTGTGTGTGTATGTCAATCTGCATTGGTCACTGTGTGTGTATGTGTCAGTCTGCATTAGTCAGTGTGTGAGTGTGTGTGTGTCTGAATGGGTCAGTGTGGGTGTCAGTCAGCTTGGGTGAGTCTGGGTGTCAGTATGCATGGGTCAGTGTGTGTGTGTGTGTGTGTGTGTCTGCATGGGTCAGTGTGTGGGTCTGCCTGGGTCAGTGAGTGTGTGTCTATGTCTGTATGGGCCAGTGTGTGTTTCTGTATGTCTGCATGGGTCAGTGTGTGTGTATGTCTGCATGGGTTAGTGTGTGTGTGTCTGCATGGGTCAGTGTGGGCATCAGTTTGCATGGGTCAGTATGTGCATGTGTGTGTGAGAGTCAGTCTTCATTGGTCAGTGCGTGTGTGAGTCAGTCTGCATGAGTCAGTGAGTGTGTCTCCATGAGTCAGTGTGTATTTGTCTGCATGGTAAACTCTGTGTGTGTGTGTGTGTGTGTGTCAGCCAGCATGGGTCAGTGTGTGTCAGCCTGCATAAGTCAGTATGTGTATGTGTGTGTCTGCATGAGTCAGTGTGTGTTTGTCTGCATGGTAAAGTGTGTGTGTCAGCCAGCATGGGTCAGTGTGTGTCAGCCTGCATAAGTGAGTATGTGTGTGTGTCAGTCTGCATGGGTCAGTGTGTGTTTGTCTGCATGGTAAAGTGTGTGTGTGTGTGTCAGCCAGCATGTGTCAGTGTTTGTTAGCCTGCATAAGTCAGTGTGTGTGTGTGTGTGTGTGTGTCAGTCTGCATGGATCAGTGTGTGTGTGCATGTGTACATCAGTCTGCATGAGTCAGTGTGCCTGTGTGTTTGCATGGGTCGTTGTGTGGATCAGCCTGCATGGGTCAGTCTGGGTGTCAGTCTGCATGGGTCAGTGTGTGTGTGCCTACATAAGTCAGTGTGTGTGTGTTAGTCTGCATAAGTCAGTGTGTGTGTGTGTGTGTGTGTGTGTGTGTGTCAGTCTGTGTGTGTCTGAATGGGTCAGTGTGGGTGTCAGTCAGCTTGGGTGAGTCTGGGTGTCAGTATGCATGGGTCAGGGTGTGTGTGTGTCTGCATGGGTCAGTGTGTGTGTCTGCATGGGTCAGTGAGTGTGTGTCTATGTCTGCATGGGCCAGTGTGTGTGTATGTCTACATGGGTTAGTGTGTGTCTGCATGGGTCAGTGTGGGCATCAGTTTCCATGGGTCAGTATGTGCATGTGTGTGTGGGAGTCAGTCTGTATTGGTCCGTGCGTGTGTAAGTCAGTCTGCATGAGTCAGTGTGTGTGTCTGCCTGGGTCAGTGTGGATGTCAGTTTGCATGGATCAATGTAGGTGTTGGTCTGCATGGGTCAATGTGGGAGTCAGCCTGAATATGTCATTGTGGGCACAAGTTTGAGTGGGTCAGTGTCTGTATGGGTCAGTGTGCGCCTGCTTGAGTCAGCATGTGCGTGTCAGTTTGCATGAGTGGGTGCAGTGAATGGGGCCCCCCAGGAAGACCATGGCATTATTTGGGGAAGTGGACAATGGTAAGTCGATGCCCCGTTGCATAAATTATTACCTCCCTAAAGGTGGCCAAAAGGTAGATCCATATTTGTCATACTACAACAATGCTTTAACAGCTGGGGCTCTACCATCTTCTAAATCCTGCAGTGTTGTATTTAGCAATGAGAAGTGTTTGTGTGTTTGAATGTAAGCATGTTTTGTATGGAGTATGTTTGTGTCAATGTGTGTTTGTATGTGGTGTTGATGTTTCAATGCAGGAGTGTGTTTGTATCTAGTGTTGAAGTTTGAATGTAGGTGTGTATTTGTGTGTATACACATACACTGTCACACACACACACTGTGATACACATACACACCACCAGTGGCACGGCAGGTAGGGGCATAAATAGTCAGTCAGTCAGTGTGTGTTTGACTGCATGATAAAGTGTGTGTGTTTTAGTTATGTGTCATGATGACCCTCATAGGCTTTTTTTTTTTTTTTTTACTTTAATGTGGCAGCTAGCAAGCAAGTGCTGACCAGCCAACCTATATTCAATAGTTAGAATTTGTAAATTTCAGGCCTGGATTTTAACAAACATTTCATCCGGACTAATTCAGTCTCATTCGGGGGCATACAGTGCAAAATCAAGACTGCCTGGATTTTGCCGTCCGAATGGCACCATACAACACCCGATTGTTTTGCCTCATTCAGTACAGAGCCAGTATGAACTTTAGTGTGAATCTCCATACACGAAGAGAATCCATGCATGAATAAATACATTAAATTGTGGTGACTAGTATTTTTTTTTTTTTTTTTTTTAAATGATCATTATAGTTTTCATTTTTCTGTAGCCACAAAGTATCTCTTCTGGGTAGATAAATATATAAATAAAAAACTTATTTTTTAAAAATACCATTGGAAATTAAAATCAAATTGGGTAAAAAAATAAAGATTTTCAATTTACTGAAAGCACTATAGTTTTCTTATAATGGATCATTACCTGCTAGCACCATTTTCGATTCTTTCAATGTCTTCATCGATAGTCCTGACAGACAGTCTGTGCAGCATAGGGTATGTGTTTTGTGTGTTCACTAAAGCAGCCATCTTGGATCACAGTAGAATAGTTCCCGCAGTCCAGAGAATAACTAGGAAATATAATTTATGCAGCATTAACTATTCGGTGTAATTCTGTCATTTATCTTTTGCATTTCATTGACATCATCTGCAGTTGGTGTATGTTCTATTATGTAGTTAGTGTTCCATTTATATATTTATGTATCAACTATTTATGTCCATCTCAACATCTTTTATTGTTCTTCCTTTATTTTCTGCTGACATCCACAGCGATAATATTGTCAGCCAAACATCAAGAACAGCAGGATGCCACATTTCACCATAGATTGCAGAACTACAGTGGGAAGTACTCAAATAAAAAAAAAGATTAAATAGACATATTTAGCAAGAAGGATGCTACGAAAAAGAGGGAAAAACAAGATGGGAGGTTAGGTTGTCCTCGGTAACGAGGTGGTGCACTGCTATAACCCTTGTGACATCTGAATGGCTTCCTTGTCTGTAAATATGCATTTATTGCAGTCAATCATCCAAAGAGGTTCCCTTCAAATATAGCATAGTTTTAACTCTAAAAAATACAAAGACAGACCTGGGTAATGGAACACTAATTGCATTACAGAATACAAAAACATTGGGGTGTGTGTAATACACAAAGAACTAACACATCCATGTGAAGAGATTAAACAAACAACTGTAACTTTAAAAACACTAACATCTAGAATGTAGATGTAATTTGTCAGATGTAATGATGGTTGTGACAATAAAGGTCATCAAGGTGGTCTTGTTAGACCCAAAGATCAATAATTATCCAAATACTGCAGAAGTTTTATATTAGTGTGGAAATCCCGGTTACAAACAACTTGCAGCAAATTTGTGATTGGCTGACATAGGATACAGTGCTACAGTGCTAAATTGAAGGTTACTAAAACTCAAGGACTGGAAGGCATTCATCCAGCAAGCATTTTTTTTTAGTGCACCTGTGAGCTTAAATACATGGTGTCGAAATTATATAAAGAGTTATTAAGAAAGAATACACTTTGAACAATGGTATTAACAAATCTAAGACAACTACAATACAAGTGTGTAGAGAAAAATTACAACTGGAGTACCTTTTGGGTTCTGCCTTGGGCCCATATATTTTTAATGTTTATTAACAATTTGATAACTTAACGGATATTGTGGTGAAGATCAGGATCCATAATAAGGTGCTGGGACAACTAGGGTTTGGCAGGGAAACAAGGAAGGTAATTACAATGTGGTAACTGATTACAGTCATGAAAATGTAAACTTTCTTTAATCAATGGATACCTAAATAAGTAGTGCATGTGCTGGACAATGGTTTTCAAGATCAACATGAAACACTAGGAAACATGCAGAAGCTGGCTAAAAATAAATAAGGGAAATTTTACAGGACAAATGCAAACATGACCAGTTCATTAGCAGGATCATACAAAGGACATAAGGATGTGTGTTTCAGTAAGAATAATAGAGATATTTAAAACTCTGCCTGGAGAAGTTGTTTTATCAGATTAAAAGTAGTCTTGCATAAAGGTCGGCGTAAAGAAATAAACTGAGTGTTTCAATAGCTATTATAGACTTGTTGATACAAAGATAATTTGCACTTGGACTTTTGAGTCAATAAGGATTTTTAAAAACTTTTTTTTGCACAGTTGGAATTTAGATGTTCCTTTTATTTTGCCTTCTTAGCAAGAACATACATTTTTACGTTTTAGTGTTTTCATTTTTTTTTCCAATCTATACCTAGCAGAACTTTATTTACCCTTACATTTCATCTTATAGTGTCAGCGAATAGTGCTAACAATCCCACTACATGCTCCCTGTTAAAAGAAAAAGGAATCCATTTTGGGCCCATGGCCCAAGGAATCCATTTTGTTTTTTTATATCTAATATATCAACTTTTGCATTTTTAACTCTATCGCTTCCTTGTTGGTCGACTTTGCAACCAGCAGGTCACTGTTTTAGACGAATTTGGAATCAAGTTCAATAATTGTTTGGAACACAGAACAAAGCAATATCTGAACTTTCCAGCACCATCTTATATTTATGTTAGGCCATTTCAAATTGGAGGTGGCTTTAGCAAAATCATTTGATGATATGTCTGTATGTCTATACGTCTGTTGAACCATTATTTACTTATTGCTTGAGACCTAAGGAAAAAAACTTTCTAAAGATGGTCTTTGCGTATTATGTTAGTACAAGAAAAAAGCTATCATTGCAAAACATTGCACTGCAATACTCTGGTAATTTGGTGTGTGTGTATATATATTCTTTCTAAGATTATAATTTTATATGATTTATACATTATTAAGTAATTTTACTTATTATATGTTGGGGATCTGTCTGACCACCCGGTCAGCCCCTCTGCAGTTAATCTTGCAATCCGGCCGATCAGAGCCATGTGATTGTGGAGTCAACATGATCACATGACTCGGATCTGTGGGATTGGCTGTGGCGGGACAGCCTCGGTGGGGGAGGGTAAGTATGCTGGGTGTGGGAAGGGCCATTGTCAAGATATCCTAGTGACCCAACACGCAGAGTGTAAATGATGATAGATATGTTAACATGTACTGGTCCTTAGAGTGGCCTGGCTTACGTTAAGATAGAGAATGGTGAGGGACAAGGTGAGTCAGAAAAAACAGAAATCAGGAGAGCGAGGTACAATAGCCGAGTCAGGGAGAACAGAAAGGACAATAGTCAGAATAACCGAGATCAATAAACCAGAAATACAAACACTACTGGGAACCAAAACTTAGAATCACAACAGGGCAATGATCCTTGCCCTATGAAGCCTTTTTATAGTTTATAGGTCCTGTGACAGCAATATTGTTAGAGCATGCAATGCCACCTTAGCAGCGTTGAAGCCTTTTGTAGGACAGCATAGCACACTCTAATGTTGGAAAAGGATTAACAAGCATTCACATCCACATTTTGGCACTCATACGCAGACACACACTGACATTCATACAGAGACTCACACTGGCATTCATACAGAGACACACACTGACATTAATTCACAGACACACACTGACATTCATACAGAGACACACACTGACATTCATTCGCAGACACACACTGACATTCATACAGAGACACACACTGACATTCAAACACATGTTGATATTCATAAACAGATCCACACTGAAACTCAACCACACACTGACTCTGATATACACACTCACATCAAACTCCTACACAAACCCACAATGACAAAGAGCCACACAGTGGCACTCACCCACACTCACACTCAGTCATACACTGACTTTCATATACAAACTCACAGGGAAACTCATACACAAATCCCCACTAACACTCAGCCTGACACTAATACTCAGTTTCACACTAACACACATACACAAACACATGCTGACAAGTGATGTTTGCCGCCCCCTCGACCTGCACTCCCAGCACCCCCAGGCAGCATGCGGCTCCATTATGGAACCGCACGCACTGTACACTGGGAGGATGGAGCGCCTCCCTCTATGTGTAGGAGCGCCGGGTGTCACGTGACTACCCGGCGCTCAGTCTGACACTGCACGCGCCGTCTGACATCCAGAGGTCCCCTTCTATGTGAGGTAAAACAGCAGGGAGGGGGGGCAACAGTGTGTAGGGGGAGAGCAGAGAAATAAATTGGCAATTGGTATGAATGGAAGGGTAAGAGGGGGGTTATAATTGGAAGGGGGTAGTAATATGAATGGAAGGGGTGGAGGGTTAGTAATATGAATGGAAGGGATGGGGGTAGTAATATGAATGGAAGGGATGGGGGTAGTAATATGAATGGAAGGGGTGGGGTGTAGTAATATGAATGGATGCAATCGTAAAAGTAAGTATCCCTGAATGGCAGTTAGGAAATGTGGTCACTCTAACCATCACACACCACACACACCACATACAGCCAGCACACACCACACACATTACATACTGTTTGTATTTTTTAGCTGATTTTATGGTAAATTTATTTAAAAGATGGATGTCAGATGTGTAGACAGAGGCCACGAGGGGCGGAATTGCAGTATTTTTCAATATGTTTCAATATAAAAGGGAACTAATAGGCAGAGCAGATCTTTCCAAAATGGATAAATTTTGTTTATCTCTGGCCTCACGAACATGTGATTAAAAATGACAGCTAAAATTAGGCCAGATTTTAAGTTAATAACATTGGAAACATTACCAGCAGAAAAGATTGTGCAAATATTTGGATTTTGATTGTGATGAAAACACTTGTGATACTGTCCAAAAGTCAGAAAGTGTTATTGATCATATACTTGCGTTATATTTAAATTTACATATTAGTTGCCAAATATCTTGTTATTTGTCCAATGTACTTTCATACGGTTCAATGTGTTGGCTTATGTAATACAAGTACTGTATTTTGCTGCTTGCAATTAGCTGTTCCTATCGCACTACTTTAAAAATGAATACGTTTAGGATAATACATTCTGCATGCAGGTTTGTGGCTTTAATCCATTCAGTACGCATCTACCAAATGAAAGAAAAGGGTGTTTGATGTTTCTTTGTTAAGCTAATTGCCCGGGACATCTGCTGGGAGAGGCCAGGTCTATGCATCTAAGTCTGAACTCAGTGGGTAATGTAATTGGTGCTTACAAAGGATAATACAACCTGGCAAAGTTCAATCTACTACCTAGTAATCCAACCCGAGAGGCTTAATAAAAACAACCTGCACCTTCTAACCACAGGGGGAAATAGCAGAAGCAGCTTAATTAGGAATAAGCAGCTTGCTTGAAAAATACATTTTATTCCTGATGGTTATGAGAAATTGAAATGTAATTTATTTCTGTCTATTTGGACTATTATTTCATTTCAAACACATGGGTTGCTGTTGCAGGTCTGTTGTGTGGAGCTTTACACTATCTACCCATTATATCGTAATAATACTAGTCTAAAGCATTATCCTACACTTTAATTAAAGTGTCACTCTGGTACAATCAACATGGTTGTTACCAAGCAAAAATATAATAGTGATAGGTTTATACCACATTTTAAAAATGGTGTAC